CACAAGTTTGTAAGCACATTCTTACCAATCTATGTGATGAATCATGCTTAGTAAGATGGCCTCCCAAAAGGTATATAAGGAGCCCATTTTCACCCATGCAATTTAAGCTTCCCACTTTAACTCTTTTCTCAAACCATGTGAGAACCAGTAAGATCTAAGTGCAGGCTATTCAGCAGCCTTGAAGTTAAGAATAAGAAACATATATTCAAGTTATATACTACCTTATAGGGGTTGACTATATAACAAAGTACAGCTACCTAGCTAAAGTTCATCAGCACTACTTTCCTCTCTCTTTTTCAGGAAGGGAGACACGAATCACGAGACACACTTCACGAATCCATGGACACACACTTGCCAAAACATGTACAAACTTCACACTCAGTATTTCGAGACCACGAGGTTTAAACTAACCAAGGAACAAGAAGGAGAATATTGAAAGACATTCCTCCCAAGAACTCAGCACGTTATCTACCACGAAAACTAGAAAAGTTGTAGACCGTGTACTTAAGGACTGGCAAGAAGTCTTATCCTATATAGTTGTGTTGTCACTATATACGTGTCGTATATAAGACCCTTAAGTAACAAGACACCAGTGAGTTACAAGATACAGCACTGCATGTCATTTTGGTGTGTCAGAGTGCTAGTGCCAGGATACCCAATGTTTTGATGAGACCTTGCAGCGACTTCAGTTTTTTTTGAGTAGATTGAACTGAAGTTTATGCTTCAGCTCTGACTCGGAGTAGCTGAGTCATGCCATTCAAGGCTGTACTAAAGTATGTTTGCCAATTGCTGTTTCCCATATCACTTTGGTCACCCCATTTTAGACACCTCTTAGGTTGATTTCTACCTACAGAGGTTTTCACCTAAGAGGTACTTTTCTGCTGGTCTGCCCGGTGTTCTGTAGTCTTTCCCTGTTGTGATTGGGGACCAAAGACCATGTACCATACACAAACTAAAGACCATTGGGAATATGTTATGGGAGTACCATAGGATGATTTGGACCACTTATATTGCATATAATGCAGGGGTGTCTGGGGTCCTCAAATAACAATTTCTTTGGAAATTTGCCACTATATGCATTGCATCTATGCTATGCCCTGCACCTGCCTCCTGCACCCCTCCATAAACCTAACAAATCTTCTTATATATAATTCAAGAATATATCTGGTGGGTATATGAAAAAAATGAAAAGTCATTACTTTAATTCAACCTCTTAATAAATGTTGTAGTATGTATTAAGGCAAGTATATGTGTGATCATACCTTATCAAGATTTTGACATGAAGGTGAGATATAGCCATAACAAAAATCGTTGTCGGGCTTGTTTACAAAAAAACACAAGTCATTATCCTTGATGAAAGTCATGGTCCTAGTCAGGATAGGTCTATACCTGCTCATATTTTGTCAATTTACTATCATTTGGGAAAGATATAAGTGTTATGCAAAACCAAAAGCAGGGAATACCATAGGTATAACATTTGCATACCAGAGAAGACTGCATGCTTAATAGGAAGACCACATGCTTAATGGGAAAGACCATAGGAGTAATATTCATCCAATAGGGAAGACCATAGGTATAATATTTGCATAATAGGGAAGACCACATGCTTAATGGGAAAGACCATAGGCATAATATTTGCATAATAGGGAAGACCACATGCTTAATGGGAAGACCATAGGTGTAATATTTGCATAATAGGGAAGACCACATGTTTAATGGGAAGACCATAGTCATAATATTTGGATAATAGGGAAGACCACATGCTTAATAGGAAAGACCATAGGTGTAATATTTGCATAATAGGGAAGACATGACCATCTTCTGGTGTGAGTAGAGACAATCTGCATGAGGAGACCTTGAGTCTCTCGTCAATATCTGAAGCACCGAGCATAGCAATGACTTTCATGATTGTCTCCATGACCATCTTCCAGCATGGGTAGAGACAAACTGCGTGAGGGGTCCTTGAGCCTCTCATCAATATCTGAAGCACTGAGCATGGCAACAACTTTCATTATTGTCTCAATGACCATCGTCTGGTATGAGTAGAGACAATCTGCATGGGTAGAGGTGATCTGTGTGAGTAGAGACAATCTGGGTGAGTAGTAAGTAGAGGTTATCTGTGTGAGTAGAGACAATCTGTGTGAGTAGAGGTGATCTTGTGATGGGACCTTGAGCCTCTTGTCAATATCTGAAGCACTGAGCATGGCAATGAATTTCATGATTGTCTCCATGACCATCTTCCAATACAGCTCAACTTCATCCTTTGAGTCATTGACAGTTCTAATGATCTCAGCCACACCAAAATCAGTACCTTGAGATGTGCTTCATAGTGTCTCAGTTGCACCACTGATTTATTTGATGCAACATTGCCATAGTATATCAATGGCATCAGAAGGAGACAACTGTTGACTGAAATTGAGTTGGGATGTACTGTGATTCCAGTGGCTTGCATGAATGGGGTGTTTGAAGTGCTGTACTGTCTCGATTGACTCCAGCGTAGGACTCTTTCCTATTCGATGTACGTGGCAGTTAAGAGATGTACCTGGTTCATAGCCACAGGTACCAGGGATATAAACGAACCAGATAGAAAGACAATACATATAAGAGAAGACTGCACACAGTAAAATTCTTCAATATCAGGTAAGTCTCGACAATTGTTATTAGCATGCAACATAAAGGACAAAACATAAACCATGAGTCATAGCTTAAGAAAGGGTGTTTGCATAGGCATAAGGATTTAACACAAGTCATCGGCATGCAATGAGTACAGCAAGTCATAGGCAAGCAGTAGCATAAGTCACGACATGGTAAGTATCACGGTTGAGATCGGAAACTATGAAAGGTAGTGACAACAGCTGTAAAAATCAGTTATACTTCAATTCCTACTCATCTACAGGTGCAAGTAAACGGTGATCCACTGGACAGACATGAGCAGACCGAACACGTGAGTCATATTGGTGCGGAGATGGAGAGCCGTCAGAGTAGGGTATGATTGGCCAATGAGACAGTAAGTGCATAGTGTTCTGGTTCACATGTGTGCCTTTGATAGAGCACGAACATATGGCTCAGGACTACTAAGGGAATAGATAACAGTTACAGTGGCTCAAAAAACTGTCCGCATGTTTTGACATTTTTCACTATCTATGATATTGTGTGAGAATGAACAAATTCCTCAAGGACATACTTATACCACATTGTAGTATGGCTTCAGGGCTTTTATTTGAGCCCTACACCGTGGGAATCGGCGGAGATATGGTGGAGATATAAGGCTTATAAAATGATGACTCATGTGGACAGTTTTTTGAGTGTATATTAAAACTATATAAATCATTATTTATGACACCATAAAAATCATGCCACTATTATATAAATTATAAAGTGGTGTCATTATGTTATTTTATGACTATATCTAACTATATAAACCAGAATATCTCATGTATCATAGTCATAATCACCATGAAAGCCATCTCCTCTGCTCAAAGAGATAATATCCTCTCTCTGTCTTATGCTGGCCTCTCTGCTCGCCAAATTTCCTCTAGAACTGGAATATGCAAGTCCACTGTGGCCAAGTTCATCAAAGAAAGCCACCCAGACAAGGAAAACTCTTGTGGAGGACGTCCATCCAAGCTTACCTCTACTGACAAAAGGGCTATTATCCAACATATCACTACAGGAAAGGCTGATAATGCTGTCCAAGCCACCCATTATATCAATTCCACCATCACTACCCCTTTCTCTTCACAAACTGTGAGGAATGTTCTCAAGGCAGCTCATCTCAAGGCAGTAACAAAGAAGAAAAAAGCCTCTTCTCTCCATCAAACATAGGCAGAGAAGACTAGCCTTTGCCTTAGCTCATCAACACTGGACTGTAGAGGACTGGAAGCATGTTATATGGTCAGATGAGACCAAAATCAATAGGATTGGGTCAGATGGGAAGGTGTATGTATGGAAAAAAGAAGGGAGATGGCCTAACAGACAGAGAGGTTAATGGGACTGTCAAGTTTGGAGGAGGTTCTTTAATGGTATGGGGCTGTATGGGATGGAATGGTGTGGGAATGCTTGCTGAGGTTGAGGGGAAGATGAATGCTGAGCAGTATGTGGACATTTTAAATGACCACTTGCTGCCTAGCTTGGCAGAATCAGGGATTGATGAAGAAGATATCATTTTCCAACAGGATAATGATCCCAAGCACACATCCAGAAGAGCTAGGGAATGGTTTGAAGAACATAACATCAATGTTCTTGACTGGCCAGCACAGTCTCCTGATGTCAATGTCATTGAACATCTCTGGGGAACACTCAAGAAAAAGCTTCAAGCCTATGAAAACCCCCCTAAAGGAGTATGGGAGCTTTGGGAGAGAGTAGCAGTGGAATGGGGGAAGATCACAGCTGAGGATTGCCAGAAATTAATTGAGAGTATGCCTAGAAGGATAGAGGCAGTAATTAAAGCCAAGGGAGGTCATACAAAATACTAGAATACCTGGTTATTACTGTAAAATACTTGAGTCAAAAAACTGTCCGCATGAGTCACCATTTTGTGAGCCTTGTATCTCCACCATATCTCCACCGATTCCCACGGTGTAGGGCTCAAATGAAAGCCCTGAAGCCATACTACAATGTGGTATAAGCATGTTTTTGAGGCATTTGTTTGTTCTCACACAATATTATAGATAGTGAAAAATGCCAAAACATATGGACGGTTTTTTTGAGCCACTGTAGCACAGTAAAATTGGCAACACAACAATGACATACTTATGACCAAGAGTAGACCTCATATCCATGCTTGCCCTGTCCTGCCGCATGAAAAGTAAATGAAGACAAAGATATGGTGCAAAAAAAATACGCACATGGATCCTGCTCCAATACCTCTCATCCACTATTCCAGTCTCAATGTCCTCAGCCTCCCTTGCAGTTTCATAATCATCACGAGTCCATTTTTGAGTGGCTAGCTCAGAGCCCATCGAGCTGCGGATATTTTCACATAGGCGGTTGTACTGGTATCATCCTGTTGTCGCATTCAAACCTTGATGGGCTGCATAAGGAGATGGCAGTGGTGGAGATGACGGTGGGAGATCGTCGTCTGGGTGAACACTGTAGTCCAAGAGTTCATCATGGTCAGTGTGCATAGAGACAGGTGGATTCGAGCGCAAAGCCCCATGTTGTGAGTGCGGAGCCCCAGAGTTGGAGCACGGAGCCTGATAGTTATAGCGCGGAGCTGCGGGGTGCAAGTGCAAAGCTTCCTGGTGAGAGCCTGAGGGTCCTGGGTGAGAGTGCGAAGCTCCCCGGTTAGATCACGAAGCTCCCACAGGGCATGAAGCCCCAGTGTTCAAGTGCTCAGCACCTGCATCTGAGTTCAGAGATTCATCTGAGTTTGGAGACTCTTCACGAATTCTCTTGGTCAGATGCTTGCGAGCAACATGTGGAGGGAGCTCCTTGATAAATTTCTCAGAGTCTTTGAGATGATGCAGAATGATGCCATCCGTGTCGATGACAAGAGGGATTGAGTAGATCTCACCAGCATATCTAGCAAGTCTGATAGCTCGACTATAATGCAAAAAAAAATATTAGCTTATGTAGGGTGCAGACTACCTGAAAATGCACAAGGAGTCCACTCCTGAATAGATAAGATGACATCAGGCTCCTGCACAACAGCACCCCGGGTTCTGCAATTCTCGTTGGACTTGGATTTACCTTTCCGCTTTGTCGTCATGGCTTTCTCTGCATCGTCCTCATCCTCGTCTCGGCCCAGCTCAGTCTCATATGTATTGCTGAGATGCTTCCTGAGATATGGACCCACTAAGGCGCGTAACTGACTTGCAGACAGCGATTTGAGATCGAAATCAGGGCCAGAGGGTGGAACTCCTGTTGGCCAGTCATGGATGCAAAGTTGAGTAGAGTAGAGGATGTCAAGCATCCTCATCCACCTGCTGTTTGATGTTTTTGAGGGCTGACCAGCATCAGCTACTGAGAAATGTGAGTGTACCGACAGCGGAATCAAGTAAGACACCAATCAAATGCTTCACTAATGATTATAGGGGCCACCATGCGATTTCTATCCCTGGTGGATTTGCCATTGTGTAAGAGTGGAGCATTGGGGACTGCGGCAGGCGGGGGGAGAAAACTGAGACCCTTGCCTTCTGCTTGCGCAGCCTCCAAGCCCTTGTATCTGTAATGCATCCCATGAATATTAGCATCACATCCCATGAAAGAAAAAGACAAAAAAAATGCACTTAAGGATAGTAGTGAACTCATCAATCAAGCACTTTACATCTAGTTGTCGAGCGTCAATGAGGGCCTTCACCATATTGGACCCTGCAAAAAAGCCAGAGGCCTGGCGGCCAGATTCCTCATCTCCTGGCTAAATGGTGATACCAGCGATATGAATTCCATGGGTGCAGTACCAATATGAAGCCTTGCAAAGATTGAGTCATTGATTAAGATCAGTCACTGAAGAACACTTACCGATTTTGCAAACGCTTCACAAACAGCTGTCATGAGGCTAGATGACTTGCGTGATGATAGATCCTCTGGGCTGGCAACCACACTATCCCAATGGTGTCGGATTTTCTTCCATAAGGGTGTGTGGTTAGGGTCTTTGTATGGGTGGGCATGATAGTGCGCATTTTGCTTGACTTTCCATGATGCCAAGTTTGCTGGAAGGTCATGAATAAATATCGAAACAACAATGAATACAATAACTTACATTCTTTGGATGGGGGTAGTATAGTTGGGAACCAGGCTTGATGCAGGTTCCAAGGAGACTCCTTGCGAGTTGCCTTTGTCGCCAGTCCTGCCTCAATAAGAATCAACCTCTGATGTTTCCCAAACTCTTTTCCAATTGCAGTTGCTTCAGCCATAACTCTCTTGCCAAATTCTTCTGCTTTCAATACACCTTCTTTGGATAGTCTTCCTGCTTTGTGTGTAGTCCCATCCTCGTCTTCAGACATGTCTTCTTCATCGCGGCCCTCGGCATCGTCAATGTGGTCAGCTGCCGCCGCCGGTCCCCTCTGCTTGTCATTTGCAGACATCCTGAATGGCCTTGCGGGATCTGCAGCGCGTTCTGCTTCCTTTCACTTCTCTTCCGCTGCTGCCCAGTCGCTGTCAGAGTCAGAGCTCTCTGCGGGTTCGCTCTCATGGTTAGGAGCATATGATTTGTAGGCACCAGATCTATGTGGGCGAACAGCTGTGGATGCAACTGCAATGTGACATATTGGCTGCGTACAACGAAATATATAATGAAATTTACCTCCAGTCTTCTCCTGTTTGGTCGTGACTGCAGCACCATCACATTCACCGTCGGAGGGAACTGCAATAAAACATGTTGGTTGTATACTACGAGATATAGATAATAAAACTTACCTGCAGCACCATCACATTCACCGTCGGACAAAACTGTGATACAACACATTAATTGTTTAGTACAAAATGTATGATGAAACTTATCATCATTCGTCCCCGTTTTGTCCATTGCTGCAGGACCACGGCAGTCACTGTTGGCTGGAGCTGTGATACAACAGGTAAGTTATTTACTACTGAATGTACAGTAGTACTTACCTGCAGTTTGCTCTCTGCCGTTCGTCACTGCTGCACATCAATATTTAAATTCATCCTGCAAGTGGGTAAAACACATGCCTAAATCCTCATTGACATCCTTACTATTGCCAAACACAGTACCATCTTCCCTGGGACCAGCTAGTAATCAACAGTCAATGAAAGTTGATAGTGAGTAAAAGACCAAGAGAAAACTCACCTGATGACTGTTTGTCATCTGCGCCATTTGTAGACCCATCAGCAGAGAACTCAGTCTGCATCAGTGCACCGCCATCAGCCAACTGGACCTCAGGGGCCTCATTCACGTCACTGGATTTCTTCCTGGACAGTGACAAGCGTCTGGCAAAGTTAGAGAAAAAAATTTCTTCCTCAGCAGATGATGTCATGGGACCAGAATGTTCGGACCTTGCAAGGGGACGAGCCTTAGGTCGAGGATGCGGCTGATGTTGACTCAGTAGATAATCACGCGATAATTATTAACTTACATGGTCTTCAGTTTGGGCATCCCTGGCAGACTTGGGGGCAGCACGAGACCGAGTTTGCTTTCGCGTAGTACATTTAGAGGCCTTACACAATCAGCAGTAATTGCAGTATGAATGATAAGTAACACATTACCTGGTTGTCACCCACATCAGATTCAGTAGCCCCATGGTCCTTCAACGCGTAAGTACAAACATAGCAGGCCGATGATGGGGCTTTAGTCTGACGTCCTGAATGAGTAACAAGAGGCATTTGAGACTGCTTCCAACAATCATGAAGATACGAGGAAGACAAGTTGAAGAACATGAAGTTGCCCCAACAGTTTTATTTCACCGACACAAAGTCAGGTAAGGATACGAAAAATGTCAAAGAGTTGATAATGTTGGAGTGAATATGAGGGGCTTGAAATTTAGAGTGTCTAAATATTGCATTGCATCACATTATATACAGCAGCCAGATTCTACAAAGATAGTTAGTGCGTTAATTAAATATTTATCTGAAATGGAACTTGCTTGCATATTATCATATAAGGTTGTCACCCCAAAACAAAGTTAGTAATGGTGACCCTTACACAGGGATGTGTCATGGTGATATGATGGAGCCAAAACAATGGTCGAAATAGAGTTGAGAGTCGGAGTACAGTGTTCGTAAGCAGACCATACATGATGGAGAGCACGAGAGTTGGTGAAAGATGATGGCGATAGTTTGTTTTGATGCACCAGGCACTGAAAGTATTCGTATGGTTGTTCACGACGAGAGCAATGAGAGCGTTCTGAAGAAATGGATAAGTGGTAGGGTCGTACTTCATCGTTCATAAGACGCACTAGTCAGCTCATTATGCACAGGACATCATATGATGACGTATGGCATAACAAGGGCAGGGAACAGAAGGCAAATAGAGTGGTGTGAGTGGACCACCACAATACGCAGGTGGTGGAGAAATTGATGAGGCTGGAAGGTGCTGTTTATACAGATTTTGGCTTGTTCTGATGATTTGGGACTCACCCGTTAGATCATGATCACTCAAATCCAGACTTGGCAGCGTAGTACCTGTGCTTCATTTGTGTGGGACAACTGTTTCTCTAATCATAGGTGGATGGTGCATAAAATGTACATGTTAGGGTAGATCAGTAGAAGTAGATAAGAGGTAGATATGTGCAATCACCAATAAAAGACGGAAAGTGATAATGGATTGAACGGACGGCCATAACATGCAGGTGTCTGGATTAACACCGATAACAGTAAGAAGGGTGTTTAAGACCTGGCTTGACAAAACTTACTCGAAATCGACCATGTCGTCGGAAACTTTCTTAAGCACTACGTGGAAAAAACCACGCACTGGGGTAGACGCATCCAGATGCGGTTTGTTGATGATATTTAATATTTTAGCATGTTCTGAGGATTTGGCACTTACCTGCTAGGTCATAGTCGCTCAAACGCAGACTTAGAATCTTTCCAATCTTCTCTGGACAGTGTACAAAAAGGACATCTGAGGGCAGATAAGTAGAAGTAGATAAGAGACAACAGGTGCGCTCACCTATCTGCTAGATCATAGTCGCCCAAATCCAGATTTAGGATCTTCCCAATCATCTGACAGCAGATCAGTAAAAGTAGATAAGAGAGACAATATGTGCGCTTACTGGTGAAAGACTCGTGTCGCTGCTCATGGCGAGAGCAATGAGACCACGAAAAGGACATGTGAGGGCAGATCAGTAGAAGTAGACAAAAGACAATAGATGTGCTCACTGGTGAAAGACGGAAAGTGAAGAACAAAGAAATGGAAAAAGTACGACGCACCAGATAGAAAACAGATGCACTCCCGCAGAAGGTCTTCAACCCTATTGGTGCAGCAACAAATGAGCAGCCAGGGCGACCCTCCAGACACGCAGTCTAGGAGTGATAGATCAGTGACACGAAGTCAACTAATCACTGAGGCTATGAATGGCATGAAGCCAGTTCAGATGAAGAGAGAGGGCCAGGAGTCAGGAGTTGAGGCTGGGAATTGAGGGCGACGACAATCTGATGATGAGGGAAGGACGAGAAAGATGGCAAGGACAACAAGGAAAGGGAAGAGGGACAATGAGTGGCTATACTACCTGAGTAGACAGATAGCACGCTGTGGGTATCACAACCTGGCAGGCACATATAAGAAAAGTGCTCAGCCAGTATAAGTGAGTCTCAGCTCTGCCTAGCTGCTATACTCGCAGAATGCAAGAACGTTCGACCCTAAAGGGGAAGCAAGGAAAGCAAGGATCCACAGAATGATGCTGAACAACCCTGGTGAATGGCGGTGAAAGCGCGAGAAAGCGCGCGCGGGAAAGCGAAGTGCGAAAGTGCGCGGAGCGCGGGAAGGTAGTGCAAGCAGTGCACAGGTGTAAAAGATATATACTGAGACTGATAAGAGGGAAAGCGCGGATCTAGACGGATACTGATAGTGCCACTAGCTATAGACTGATGCTAGGGCCTCAAAACAATGATGGACACATGCATTGCATGGAGCTAACTGGTGATAGATACTGAGTGGTAGGAAGGTAAGGTGGAATTGTTTGGGGTGTAAAACGAACATGAGTGTATGTAAGTTCTACCTAAGCGCTCTCCCAGGGCTCGGAGCCGAATAGGGAGCGCTCTAAGTATGTAAGTGAGGTAAGGTGATGTAAAGTAAGGGTGCATAACGAAATGGGAAGTGTAATATGCTAAATATGGTCAGATAACGAAAAGGGACATACCGAGGGACTGGTTGGACGATGGATGGATGCTCCTGGATGCTGTGCGACATAGTGCGCTTAAGCGCGAGAAAGCGCATGAGGCGTGCACACGGGAATACTGCGCGTTGTGCGGGAAAGTGTCGCGCCTATGGCGCATTTTGCGGGAAGTGGTGCACTCTATAGGGAAGTCATAGTGGATGATAGTGCGAGTCGTGCCATGAAGGCCAGTCATCAGAATTCGTAATATGAGCCCATATGAGCCTGCAGAAATGCGAGTCTCTACAACGCGAAGTAGGAAAATCCCAAATGAAGTTCCGACTGCAACATTCAGTCGGAACTTCATTTGGGATTTTCCCACTTCATGTTTCTATTGATTTCCATACACTTTCTATATACACTTGCTGCTCATCGTCCCTCTTTTCTGTCCTCATTGTCCTTGCCATCTCTCTCGTCCTTCCCTCATCATTGGATTGTCGCTGCCCTCAATTCCCAGCCTCAACTCCCGACTCCCGGCCCTCTCTCTTCATCTGAACTGGCTTCATGCCGTTCATAGCCTCAGTGATTAGTTGACTTCATGTCACTTATCTATCACTCCTAGACTGCATGTCTGGAGGGTTGCCCTGGCTGCTCATTTGTTGCTGCACTAATAGGGTTGAAGACCTTCCGCGGGAGTGCCTTACATCTGTTTTTGACCTGGTGCGTCGTACTTTTTTCGTTTCTTTGGTCTTCACTTTCAGTCTTTCACAGGTGAGCGCACTTACTGTTTCTTGTCTACTCCTACTGATCTGCCCTCACATGTCCTTTTGGTGACCTCACTGCTGTCACTGTGAGCAGTGACACAAACTCTCATGATCATCTTCCACAACGCGACACAAGGTATGTTGACTTTTTCCCTTGCATTACAGACATGCACTTAGGATTTGTAGCACTCATCATGCCTAATGCTCTGACCTTGTTCAAGTCAAATTGCACCACCAGAGACAGTACATATTTCTCAATCTATCTCTGTCATGTGTTAATGCTGATGTTTAAAACAGGTTGGTTGCAAGCTTTCGATGCCCGTGCTGTCGCCGTGCAGGGTAATTTGGTTATCACCATGCCCAACATGCATTTCGTTCCGGAGTTCCACCATTTTGAAGAAGAAGACCTACAAGCCCATGCAGATGGTCGCTTCAGCGTTATCGATTGCTTCCAGTGGCCTCAGTCCTATGACGACGCTTTTTGTCATGCTCTTTGCATTCCTTGAAAGGAGGCATTTCCATTCCTGCACCCGCTACATTGGGCTTGGTTCACCCCTAGCCAGGATGACCTGAAGTCCATTCCAGGGAATTCATTTCCTGTAGGCATGCTGGCCCCTGATAAGGTCTATGGCTTGCAATCCCTTCTCAAACTGGCAGAGCAACGAGTCCATGATTATAGAAAGGATCAGCTGGACAGAGGTCAAGTTATATACAGTCGCCTGTTGTGCCTTCATCATGCCATCGCACAGTTGAAGTCACACCCCCTTACTTTTCGAGATCTTCTCATTTTTGTCACCAACGCTCAGGGCCTCTTTCTCGACATATACTCTTACATAGACTGGGTACTTGTCGCTCAACCTCGTACTGTCCTTGGCTTTTGTCATGAGGTTAACAGTGAATGGATGGGGGGGTTTGCACAAAGCAGCGACATCTGCGACAAGTTATTCTCCGCTGGCGTCCCAGCTTGGTATGTCTGTGCAAGCGCATACATACCCCCAAACATGAAGGTTGTCGAACCCGTTTTGCTTACACGACCTGATCACATCATCATTTCCATGTACGCAGAGGGTAGAAATATCCACCCATTTGAAGTCATACACCGTGGTCAAGGTGGTCGCAATCGTCATATACACATTCGCCGCCTGTATGCAGGCACGACACACCAAGACCCTGGGACTGACACATCCTCTCAGCAATCATCCAGCTCGAGTCATCCTGCTTCTGGTCCAAAATCGTCTACTCTTGGCAAGGCGCCCAAACAAAAGGGCAAACAACGGCATCAGCTTTGTGAGTACCCTTTTTCTTCGTGTACGTTGCATGCTTATGCAAGTTTCAGACTCAATCAATGCTTGGCCTACCCAGTCAGGTGAATCTAGGGATAAGTGGAAAGATCCCGAGACGCCTTACCTTCCACCGCTGAACCTCCATTGGGAGGCCACCATGAAAATTGCCATCAAGGACCAGTCTCGCATTCACACACTCTTACGTTATCGATTGGGGGTATAGGTTCCCCAAACCCGCCCTGCTCCTCGGTCCCAAGCTGCCTGAACATTTGCAACTCTACCTTGCCAATTGGCTTGCTGCTCGTCCACTGTGGATTGGCCGAGTTGACCATAATCCTCCACGCACCTATCCCACTCCTCAGCTCTGGCGCAATTTCCTCAGTAGCGCCCCTTCTGTCAAACTGCAATCTGCCAAAGGGAAAGAACCAGACAAGAGTCTTACGGCCACCAAGAAGGGGAAGCGAGCAATGTGGGACTTATTCCGTGATGATCTATTGGAAATTCAGGGTAATATATTCTCACCAGAAGGAGTTGTTGAATTTCGGGGTGAACAAGTCCCTGTCACTAGTCTTGCCACCCCTCCTGCGCTTCTGGTTCAGAAGATCACATGGGAGTTGTTTGAACTTGGCTTTCAGTACAAGTTGAAGGATCTCAATCGTTACTTGGCGCGGGGATGCTGGGACAAGGATGCAGTCGGTCACGAGCAGCTCCTCCATAGCATCTTCCCGGGTGAGGCTGGTTTAGTGATGTGGTCAGAGTTGTTTCCGTCAGAGAACTATGGGTTGTGGAACAACACCTTGATGGGCTGTCTTCCTTACCTCAAGGGTTTCTGGCAACTGCTTTGCAATTGGGATGATGTGGTGCCTTGTCTTACGGCACTGCTGACCTCAGACAATTTGACAGATACAAAATCTTGGGAAGTTAGACGTGCGGCGACAACTTTTTACATTCAAACATTCTTTGATCATTTTGGCAGGCCTCCTATTGTACCTCACTCCCTCCCAATGCAATCATGATTTCATAATTTTGCCGTATTGTCTTCTGTCTGTAGCAATGTTTTCCATTTTCATTACCTCATGATTATTTGTTAGATTGATGTTGCCCTGTTCCTGCCAGTTTGAATTTGCCTGACATGGTGAGTAACTGCCTCTAGTGTTATTTGATGTTCCTGTGCAGGACACTTCGTTACTTGGCTCTGTAGGGCCACCATATGGACTTCCACTGGTAGGCTTATCCGCCCTCTCATTTATCTGCTCTCATTCATCTTTATCCTCTATTTCCCATATCCTCTTTCATTCCACAAGTCCCATCATAACATGTATCTGGTTCAGTTGGTCGCACACCAAAATCCTCTTAGTCGGGTACTGCAGTCACTGACGTACATACATTATGACATTGAAATGCAGATGATGAGAAGATGTCCGACTATGTTGGGTCTCTGACCCAAAGGGCTTACTCTGATGCAGTTACAGACATTTACCTTGAGGGCTTTGTTTTCCAACTCCATACCTCTTTTGACTTTTCCCTAGTTATCTACTCTGTCCACCCAGCGTCCACTACCATCAGTCACTTCAATCAAATTCTCCCGACTGCGCATTGGTCCACCCAGTGTCCACCATTCACCGCCATCACACTCTGCCGGACTGCGTGTCTGTGAACTGAGGTTCTCCAATTGACTTCGTGTCGTTGTTTTTCTTCCTTGTAAGACTTCGGGTCTCAAGGAATTTCACGATGGTGGTCCGCCATCCGAAGCCTCGATGTCATAAAGCAACCACCCTCAATTCACTATCACCTCCATTGATACAACAGCCAACCACCATTATTTGTGAACCTTGGATGGTCAAGAGATGGAAACGCCCTCGTGAGACTAAGAAACTCAACCTCTATCTTCCTGGTCCACCTCCTGTCTTGGTTATGCCAGGACAACGACATTTAGTACAGCAAAGTTTACCTCGTTCATTGTCCATGTCTAGAACAGAACTAGAACAGGAGGATGGCGAAGCTACCATTCCATTCAGCGACTCTCTACATTTTCTAACGATCCTGGTCCCCGTTGTCTCACGAGCTCGCAGAAAAGGCCAATCAATGGCACAGATGGACAGAAGATGTCATTCCACGCATGATAGTGCCATATCTATCATATATCCAGGAGACCTTATCTCTACGACATGCCAACGCACCAGGAGAATGTCATCGGAATGACGGAGAGTGCGGGACTGGGTGCAGACCTCGTAGTATCAAGGTTGCATGCATATTTTTTGATGGTATGCTATTGTCTTTCTTGTCTTCTAATATTGGTCTGACGTACATTACAGCTTTTGAAGAAATCACCATCTTCACCTGCCCTTGTTTTCCCGCCCCGCTTCAGCTTCTTAGTTGCGGCCTTTTTCCATGTGCACCCATGGCTCCCTCTCTTGCAGTAGACTTACGAGTTCTCAAGTTCATCCGCCTCCTCTTCATCCGTCAGTCTCCCAACCAAACTGCTTGGTGTGATATACTGGAGACCTTTCTTGATGGAATGAGATACAAGTTAACATCGAAGGTCAGTATTTCCCTGCCTACGGGTGCACCTGTATACTTAACCTTCTTTCAGAATAGCTTGCGGTGTCGTTTCAGCAATGTGTTTCACTGGTACCGGGTCTTGACTGTGTTGGCCCGTGATCACGTCTCTACCCTCATTACTGATGCGCGGAAGGACCATTCTCATGTGGACCAGCCTAGTGAGTATCTTCATTCACAGTGCCCACTCTGTTTGGAGGGAACGATTGGTGAAACAAAGTGAGAGATTCTCCTTCCATGTGTGTTATTTATTTATTATGATTCTACTGCACCAGTTGACTATTTCCAGGCCAGATGTTATTGTTTGTATTGATGTGTGCTTCACACAAAATGTTCTACAAATCCCTGCGGTGCCACCGGCAGCGATCCTCCTAGCCCGACAATGTTCTTCTTTCTACCGACGGACAATGTGAAAGCAATGGAAGATTTTGTTTAAAAGTGTCACGGAGAAAGACGTCAAACAAGGTAGAGCCAGACAAAGATTGCTATGAAGAGGGCATGCGTGTACCAGTGTTGGTCTTGAATGGATGTGGAGAATCCTTCATCGCTGCAGACAAAAAGTGAGAGAAGGCAAGTACTCGCTTCTTTACCGATACTGGCCTGATGGCTCTGCTTTGTAGACATGATCGTGTCCTGTGGATTGTGAACCTCACATCAGCGGGAGAAACACAACATTATGTGCTTGCTCTGTTAGACCGGTTTTTTTAAACATATCCCTGCTCAGATGACCATTGGGTTTCTATATGACATTGGATGCCAGCTCGAACAGAGTGTCATAGGTGGAAATTCTTCGACAACTCTATCCTATCTCGCATTGCGTTTAAAAATAGTGCACTGGACAGTCTACATGACTTAGAGGTGGATGAGCATATGCTTCGTGTGGAGTGGAAGGCTCAGATTGATCACCAGACGAAACCCACACCATGTACATGTGTAATGACTAAGTGTACCAAGAGTCCTCAACTGAACTCCATGTAGGACAATCTAGAAACAAGGCAGCGCAGGTGATTACTACCATCCTGGCCCTGGAAAAGACCCTAGAAGCTCAGGAGGCTTCTATCTGCGAGCTCAAGATGCAGTTCCATGGTGGCCGTGTCCCTGACATTGTGCAATTCGATCTGCAGCTCACAGACACCCGGTCCCGGCGAGCGAAAACAGCTGACACTCTCCGTCGTCATCGAGCTGCACTCGGAATGGAGGACAAAGTCAACCTGGAAAAGATGAAGAAGGATATTTTTCTTACAGTTCGCTTGAATGCTCTTGCAGTCAAAACTCGTATTCGCGACTGTCTTCGTCAATGCAAGTTCGAATTGGAGAGACTCGAGAGATCTTACAGAGCAACAGTTAATGGTGCATTGATAGTTTGACAGGACTGGTACACGACTTATGTTTTTTCAGCTGAGCATAAGCTTAATGCCAATACCCATCACTCAATCAAACGGCGAGAGCCTGGCATCCTCAAATTAGTTTCGACATACAACGGTCTGTGTTCTCAACTACGATCTTTTATACGGCAGCGTTGAGCACCGCATTATGCTGTTCCCCCTCATATCATCCCGCATGACGGTATCTTTCTGCTTGACGTCAATGATGATATCTGGCAAGATGTCGGGCTTGATGATGACACTACAATGCCGCCAGCATGGCTATCAGATGATGCCGTCAGGAATGGTATCCGCTTGCAACTTGAAGTAGATCGGTGCATGGAGGAGGAAGCTCAATTGATGCGGGAGAGGGCTGTCATTCAAGAATGGATGTTGGCAGAGTGGGAGGCCATACAAGGTGCCGCGAACATTGCAGGTATGTGTGGCCGTACAATGTTATCAATAGTTGTTAGTGACTTTGAAACAGATGCAGTCATATCTTTCCACCTTCGGTCTCGTGCGGATGAACTTGTTAACATCTGTGTAGTCTGGAAGAAAAGGTTCAGTGTATTCCATGTGCATGGCCGGTTGGTGAAAGCTGGGGACCCTCTGATGCAGCATCACTTCAAGCCGCTTGTGAACAGGTGCGGTCATCTTTTCGGGATGAGGATGATGATGAGAGTGTGGAAGGAGAGGAAGTGGGTGATTGAAAGGGCGACTTGGAATATGGTGAGATTGGAGACGAGGAACTGATGGACGCTATTGAAGACATGGCATTAATGGACGAGTACAGGTATGATCATAGTGATGAGTTGGTGGATGACACGGACAACATTGATGATGACTATATGCCTTCTTCCCCTATCAAATTAACAATAAATGTCGGCGCATATAGAATTTATAGTTTTTACTTGGCGTTTCTGGTAGCTATCACCTCGTTAGGAACCACACTCTCAACATTTGACCACCATATGATCTACACCTCTGGTGTTATCCTTGACGCTGAGAAGGATGCCTCGAAGAACTCCAGGACAACAAACTCTGTCTCATCTGCTCTAAGCTCAACCTTGAGCCTTAATTTTGTCTCCTTGGCAGAGTTTTCCCTATTTATGGTCAAGTTTTCTTCAAAGAGCCCACAAGATTGTCTTTCCCTTACTAGATAGTCCCACGAGTCCATGTGTCCCAAGAGTTCTTGCATTGACTCTAGCACACACAATTCTGCACGGAATCCTTATGTATGTTGCATTTAGGTTCCCCCCGCATAATACACAGTACCATGTTTTTTGTTTGAAGAAAATAAAAGTAGATCTTGTCCCATGGCCAACTTATTGGTGCAGGAGGCTAGTGTTGTGCATGGAAGGCTCTAAAGGTCAGATCACCACATAAAATTCTAGAATGTGGTATGATGGTTATAGGCAACTGCACGGGTAAACCCCCGGGTGTCAGCACTACTACCTGCACCCACACCCGGAGGAATACCCATACCCTCAAAGCGGGTCTGGGTTTTGCGTGGGTGGGCAGGTAAATGACCCGCACAGTAACCCGTGAAGGGTATACTCGTGGGTTGCTGCAAATTCGAATGGTTCATGTACAAAATGTAGCTACTCTAATTTAGTGGCATCCCACCCAATCTCAAGCTCCTGTGCCTCCTCACCTTCAACATCTGCAAGTGCTGCAACAGACATGATGTCCTCTGTCTTCACTAGATTGAGCTTGCTCCAATATCCAAGGCACAGGAGCACGTGGATTGACTGAGCTGATAATCAAGAGCGAACATGTGAAAGGAGGAGACACCCATGACTAAAAAGACATTCAACATCCACGGAAGTAGCTACCACAGTCGAATAGTTAGCTCCTTGATGAATAAAAAAACATACCAGGTATACTAACATAATATAATGCCATGCAAGAAAGGCACGGAAAACGATACGATGTTCATACCACCAAGCAAGGGGGTCCTTGACATGCTCAAGGTCAGTGCCCAGGTACCTGTCGAGTTCGTTTTCGGAGTGACTTGTCAGGGGTGCAAGCACAGGGATATTGTCGAAGATGTTGCCCTGTGGATGTAGTTAGTTTCCAAGGTTATACATGATGAGAGAATACTAAAATGAATTTCTCTGGGGCCAAATGCTTGTCAGGATCATCTGCAATAAAAAAAATGTGCCCCAGATGTGACAATCTATCCAAAGTGTTAGATCAAGATTGTGTAAATCGGAACTCCACAATGATGAAATGTGACAACACACTGTATGAACGGTGCAGACACTGGCTGTAGCAGCCAAGATCATGGGCAGAAATGTCAATGACTTGAAGGATGAAACCAAGCCATACCGGAACATGGTCATGGAAACAATCATGAAAGTCGTTGCCATGCTTGGTGCTTCAGATATTGACGAGAGGCTCAAGGTCCCCTCACGCAGATTGTCTCTACTCACACCAGAAGATGGTCATGGAGACAATCATGAAAGTCATTGCTATGCTTGGTGCTTCAGATATTGATGAAAGGCTCAAGGTCCCCTCATGCAGATTGTCTCTACTCATGCAGATGATCCAGTAGTGTAGGGAAGTTCAACTTCTCTTCATTCACGCCTATGGTCTTTCCTATTAGAAATGTGGTCTTCCCGATTATGCAAATATTATACCTATGTTCTTCCCTATTGGGTGAATATTATGACTATGGTCTTTCCAATTAACCATGTGGTCTTCCCTATTAAATGAATTTTATGGCTATGGTCTTCCTATTAAGCATGCGGTCTTCTCTGGTATGCAAATATTATACCTGTGGTCTTTCCCATTAAGCATGCGGTCTTCCCTATTAAATGAATATTATGCCTATGGTCTTCCCATTAAGCATGTGGTCTTCCCGATTGGGTGATTATTATGCCTATGGTCTTTCCCATTAAGCATGTGGTCTTCCGTATATACTACAACTTCTATTAAGAGGTTGAATTAAAGTAATGACTTTCATTTTTTTTCATATACCCACCAGATATATTCTTGAATTATATATAAGAAGATTTGTTAGGTTTATGGAGGGGTGCAGGAGGCAGGTGCAGGGCATAGCATAGATTAAATATATTTGGTATTGGAAGGGAGTACCATCATCAACCAACACATGACCCAGATGCATTTATCTCTGCAGACCAGCTATCCAACTTTCATCCAGATTTGAATCCTGAACCATCCAATACCAGGGTAGCATCTTCCCCGAAGCCACCTCCTTGGCCTTGGCGAAACATGAGCATCTGGCGCCTCGTGACTATAGGAAGCAACTAATTGTCCAAAGCTAAGGTAACTTGACTAGTCAAGGAAGTCCTATCAGCAGAAGATTTTAGCATACAGAATCTGAATGGCTTTGACACTCATACAGAAATGGGGCATTTTGATTCATCTGAAGCCAGTCTTAATGACAATGATATCTTCCAAAAAGATGGTTGGAAAGAGACAGCTGCAGAAATTCTGGTGCCAACTAGGGAGAGAAATCCGAGCAGGAATGGACAGCCATTTACTGTCCCAGGGTTCCAGTACCGTCCACTCACAACCGTGATTTGTGCTGCTTTCTCTGAGGCAGCATCAAGATGGTTTCACTCCTTTCAAGCACTTTTGGATGTCCCCTGTAACTGGTCAAGAGCAGTGTCTCTATGATGAGCTCTATATGTCAGATGCATGGATTAAAGCACACAACGATTTGCAGAAGGAGAGGAGAAGTGATGGTTGTACCTTGGAGAGAGTCATTGCTGGGCTTATGTTTTGGTCGGATTCGACACACTTAGTGCAGTTTGGGAATGCTTTGGCATGGCCAGTTTATCTATTTTTTGGAAACCAGTCCAACTACATGCATGCCTGCCCTACCTCCAGTGCATGCCATCCTGTAGCATTCATTCCTACTGTAAGTGCTTCCAAACACTACCTGCTACTAGGTGGTTATACTAACAGTTGTGTTTCATAGCTACTGGAAATGATCAAGCGATTTATTGCACAAATTAACCTAGTTAAAAGGAAGAGTTACAACAATGTTCTAGCTTATTGCAAGTGAGAGCTGTTTCACATTATCTGGCATATTCTGATAGATGATGATTTTGTCGAAGCGTACAAAAATGGCATTGTCGTCAAGTGCTATGATGGGGTATGCCACAGAGTATTTCCTAGGATATTTACCTATTCTGCAGACTACCCAGAAAAGTAAGCAAACTATATCCTTTCGACTTCCCTTGTACTAACCAAGATGCCGCTAACAGAGTTCTTATTGCAACCATTTGTGATAAGGGAATTTGCCCATGCCCATGATGTCTCCTCCCAAAATCATATTTTTGGTGCATTGGGCTCATCACTGATATGTCAGCAAGAGTTTCAAGAGTATGACAATATCTTGGAGACAAAATTACTGTCACACATGATGCCATCTACAACTTAGGCCTCCCTATCAAAGGTGCTGCTGTAGAACATCTTCTAAAAGAGTTCTCCCTTGTTCCTACTTGTGAGCCCATTTCGTCTTGATAGTTAGCTATTTATATACATCGCATCTTTAGAATGCCTTTGCAGATCGGCTAGGCTTCCTTGGTTTAAATTGTTGTCCCAATGCTCGTTGTCAACCTTTTACATGAGTTTGAACTGGGCATATTCAAGTCCATGTTTAAGCATCTCATCAAGCTCCTTCATGGCATAAATTCTGAAACAATAACTGTCCTGAATGAACAGTAAAGACATTTGGTTCGTTTAAAGACTACTGATTTTATTTCTGACATGGACTCTTTCTTACCATAGCTTCCGCTCAATCCCTTCCTTTGGCAGGGGTGCCATTTGGCATCTTCCATCAAGTGTGTCAGATGTGCGGCATAGTGCTGCATGGCACTTTGAGGACATTTTACAGGTTAGTTAGTCTGAGAACTTTGCCATTTTCCAAACACTGACTTCCCATTTCTGAGTAGTGTGCAATCCCAGCATTCGAAGGATTATTCCCTGCACAGCATGACAATGTTGTCTGTCTTCTTCTTTTTTGACTGGCTGAATGGCATGCTTTGGCCAAGCTTTGGCTTCACACGTATGATTCGCTAGCTCGACTTGATCAGGCACTGGAAGGTTTAGGAAAGCAACTTCAAAAATTCCAGCAATTTACAACTTCCATTATGCTTACTGATCCGCTTTAGCTTATACTTCATTCCCAGTTATGATTCGTTACCCATCCGACTTACCAATATGCTGTACACATACTTTGCTTATACTTCGTACATAGCCTCGCGTCCTTGCTTATTGATCATTCCATTAGTTATCTGTAGTATATAAACCCTTGTACATGCGCTGTAGTAGATCAGTTCAAATATCATCTTAGATTGCACTCATTCCGTCTGGACTCTAAGTCCTTCCGTTATCCATCTGGACTTGAGTACAATACTCTTGTCTACTCCGAGACTTAGGATTGATTCCTATAGTCTATATATCCGCCTCTGTCTTTGGACAGTCCTCACCTGTTAGTTTCTAGTTTGGATCCGATCTGGATTAGCTGTTACTCTACACATCCAATATCCAGAAGCCTTAATGGATCCATTACGATACTTATCCATCTCACTAGATGCGATACTCTAGCACTCTGAAATAAGGGGCAAGACTTGGGAAAGGGGCACAGCGCATGAGCTGAGGCCGAAGCCCTTCGGATCCGATACTTCTTGAGTACAGTCTTAACAGATTACATGGGCTCCATTAGGCTATTTGGAACAATGGATTCATATATGACTCAGATTGTACGTAGTCGTAGCTGATGTTCAAGTATCTAACCACCTTGACATTCTGCATTTTGCAGGGTGAGCTTTCCCACTGTCTCATAAAAATGTTGTATCAAAATACAAATAAGCAAGATGTCTCGAAGCAACTTGCTAAACAGGAAAGAAGATGTACTCGTGTCCACTGGCAGCAGCAATCTACAGCCCCCCTCCAGGATATACATACCAGTGACCTACCGATCGAGGCTCACCACTTTATGTCCAATACATCCAACTTCCTGAATCTAGCCTGTTACCTGAGTGAACACGAGGGTGATCAAGCTATCAAGGTAAGATGCTAGTCTACTAAAACTTCACTGCTAACGGAAACCAAAAGGGCTTCATTCTTAAACTGAATGTGTAATATCCGACCCAAGAGAACTGCTAATGAAGCAACTCCCTACTAATAAGCAAGGGAAGCAGTAGCGTGAAGTGCAGCATCAAGGGAAAATAGTCCTGACAGTATTTGTCTGGACAGCAAATAGTCTGCTGTTGAACTATGTCAGGTGTCTGTGTGAAAGACAATGATTCCTAGCTCACATGGCCATATTCATTCAAAAACTAGCAAGAACCAGGAGAATCAGCTAACAACACCATTGAGCACCTCCCCTGACCATACTACTGATGCCATCATTGAAGATGATTATGATGGTTTGCAATTCATTGGAGAGAACATGGAAGATGGTTGGTCGACCAGAAGTGATAAATAACTTCATCCCAGAATCGCTCTTCTCCTTGGCAGACATACAACAGGCAATTGATGTTTTCAGTTACCATGGTGCCTAATTGATATGTGTGTTGGATTGCAAAGCTTTAGCAGCAGGTGTTGGTTGTGTGTCTTTCACGACTGATCAGCTTGGATTATGATGGTGATGAGAGGGTTTTCACTGATGTGGAATGAAACGGTATATGCTTCATTAACAACCTGAACACAGTCTCCCAAGCCAAGTGCCTCCAAATCAACTACATGACCTATGATGTCTGTCGTGATCAAGATACCTTGAAACCAGGGTATGGTGGTGTTGTAATGACTTTGTTGAGAGAACATGACGGTGACACTCATCCATTTTGGTATGCCCAAGTTTTAGGTGCTTTTTCCGTACAGGTGCTCCATGTTGGCCCTGACATTCATAATCGCTCACCTCAGTCCATGGAATTCCTGTGGGTTCAATGGCTGAGTATAGTCCCGCGTTACCACTGGAGCATCAGGGAGGGTCGTCTCCAAAAGTTGGATTCATACTGGACTCACCCTCTGCATTTGGTTTCCTTGATCCCTCTGTTGTTCTTAGAGCCTGTCATCTTATACCCTGCTTTGCTGATGGCCACTTAGATACTCTTCTTTGGTATGGTCCAACTGTCACGCGACTGTTCAGAGAAGTAAATGACTGGGCTGCATTCTACATTAACATGTGAGTAAGTTGACCTTGTTGATGTCCTGATCAATAACAGTTTGGGATATATAGTTTGCAGATCGTGACATGTTTGCTCGTTTCACAGGCATAGGTGTTGGGCATGTGGTTCAGTATAACTTGTCGAAGGACACTGAGTGTGAACATGGGCCAGGAAGCTGTGATGATGAATTGGACATTGTCATGAGCAACACCAATGCTGGAGACCATTGGAATCAAACTCAAGGCGAAGAAAAATGATGATAACGAGGACAATGAAGAAGAAGATGATGACAACAATGAAGATAATGATGCGTGGGATGACAAAGACGAGGATGACCACATAACTGATGAAGGCAGTGACTTGGAGGAATACGAAGACTCTGAAGATGAAGGACCGGAATAGAAATTTTCAGGTCAATTCTCTTCAGCTGCATTCCCCCTCCCCCTCCTCACCCTCTCCTACCCCACCTCCGGCCAAAAATGTTAAGTTTAGTGCTGTGAAGGACAAAATGCCTGAAGGTAAGAGCATCAACACATTTAGATCGGAATGGGATTATTGCAGTCATACAAAAACTGAAAATTCTCTAGGACGGACTCCTCAAGCCCAGTGAAACCTCCAACTGTGTCAACACCATCTCCAAAATCCTCCTCTCTCTTGTGACCCAGAGCACCAGGAATGCTTTTCCTTGTCTGTCCAAACTAGTGTTTTAAAGTCCAGTTGCCCAAAGTTTGTAAAAAATCAAAGGACTGGTCCAGAACTGGTTAAGATCGGTCTTTTGGGAAACCAGTTGCTATGTACATGTAGTACTCATCAGCGCAATTTTAACGGTGGTCCAATCATGTCAAACGGTTAAGATTTGATAAAGTTATGAGACTTACAAGAAAAAGCTGCAAATTAATGGGATGTCATATATCTTAGCTTTAATGTAGATCAAATCATAATCAATTGACATGGCAAAACCAGCTATATACTTGTCTATACTAGGGCTACAGTTAGTATTGAGACACCTAAGCCTTATAACAACTTTTATTCGTCCACCAAACAGGGAGATCATCCATGCTATGAACACCTTCACAACTTTCACACACAAAGCGCAGCAAAAAGTCGATTATCTTCCGACGCTTTCAAGTATGCCTGTCAAAACTGGACTATCCATCTCTCATGCATGCCAAATCCACGGGATGACATGCTCAACCGTAAATTCCACGCTTTCTGGAATCGTCACCTCCTTTCCTGGCTCGAAAGGCAGTGATGTTTGAAGGGTCTGCAGTCCTGTCTTGATATTTTATCCAAAGGGCAGAAACTTGCAAAGGTGTGCATTTTTCTCATAATTCTCGATCCACATACCTAACAAGCTGATGTTACTTTGTTTCAGGTTCAGTTTTTGCTTGATTTTATGACACCCCTTTTAATTCTCTCTCATGCTCAGTCTGAACTCGTTATCGCGCAGCCTAATACAGGGCTGTCAGCCATCGATCCTGATTTCCACCACTCGACAACAGTAGCTTCGGCACCTGTGTCTACCTCTGACACGTCGACCAGAGGGCCATCAACTCCAGCAACTATACTTCTCATAGACAAGCTTGTCGTTACCTCACATGCGCCTATTCCTAATCATTGCCCATCAACTCAGCCTCCTCCCTCTACCTCCCCTCTTTCATCACCCTTATCACCTGTCCCTTCTTTGAGACCCAACACCGCTGTGTTTTATATTGGCACATCCAGGAAGCACATGTTAGATGGATTTTGAATCAACAGTGATAGCCAGCCCGAATCAGGCACCCCCTCAAAACGTCAGAAATGAGTTGAGCAGTGTTTGCGACGCAAGATTGGCAAGAGCACAGTATGTTGTGAATGTTTACGTGATGTAGTTTGCTGCTTGCTAACAAAATGTTGTCTCTAAGTGCATGCAACCATTTTACAGTTTAATACAGACCTCCATTGAGAGTTCTTGGGCTTCTTGAGTAGTGACACATTCCAAAATCCTGCTCACAGTGCCAGGTTGGTCCACAAGAGCATGAGTGCACTTTGGTATGATGATTGGGCAGTATGTTTTGCTTTCTGTGTCAATCTATGGAGTGTTGTATGGCTACTGCGATACAGTCATGACAGAATCTGGGCAAGCATATCTGGGCGGCCATAGTAAGATTTGTGAATGGAGCACTGTGACATGATGCTGTGTTACAAGAATCTTAATCAGAAGTAGCGAGCTTCGAGTTACTGGCAAATGCAACAGATCTATATGGAAATTATTAGAGGGAATTTATATAAGGTAAGTTGACACACCAGATTGCTATTTGGCCATTCTACATAGTCCATGAGAGAAATCATCAGATCAATTAATAATGACTTGGACTGGGAGTCACTAGTACTGCAGATACTCTCCACCAGGAGAGGTGAATCACGAAGACTGTGCTGTATAACAGAAGCTGTTGAACAATAATAAAGGTGTTGTCCACTCCTAGGGGAGTACCATAACTAACCCTCTAACGGGTGGGGTGGTGGGGTTGAACCCTAAACTCTAATGTGGTGGTTGAAGCTAGCTGTGTGTATTCCCTTGTTATGCTTATTGGATGTTTGTCTTGTATTGTAGTATAGTGTGTTGCTGTTTTGTAGTCTGTCAGTTTGTATTGTGTTGTGTTGTCTTGTATCACAGTCTGTTGCATCTCTTGTCCTTGTCTTGACTGTGGTGCATTACATGCGCTTATTGTAGTGCTTGTTTGAAGTGATGCATTGGACTAGGATGGGACCTTGCTTTGACTTGACTTGATGTTGCTTGATTTTTGATGTTTTGTTGCTAGGGTGTTGCTTGATTTTTGCTGTGATGTTGCTGTGGTAGTCTTGTCTTTGGAGTGATGCATGGGCCTAGGACAGGATCATGTTTTGACTTGACTGCATTTTGCTTGATTTTTGTGATTTTTTGATGTTTTATTGCTTGACTTTCTTTAATTTCAGGTGTATTATTGCTGTCATAGTCTTGTTTATTGTACATGTATCTTAGTGCTTGTCTGGGGTGATACATGGGCTGAGGACAGGATCTTGTTTCATCTCACCTTGATTTTGCTTTTGTTTTGCATTTTTCTTGCTTTCATATTGCTTGATCTTGGCTGTGTTGTCGTCCCTGTGGTGGTCTCGCTTATCATGTGTTTATTGGAGCCCAGATGTGTCAATTGCTATTTGATTGTCTTGCTTATCACAGCGCTTGTCTGGGGTGATGCATGGGCTGAGGACAGGATCTCGTTTTGACTTCACTTCACTTTGCTTGATTTTTGTCATTTTTGTGCCATTTTATTGCTGTGATGTTGCTTGATTTTGGCTGTTTTATTGCGGCGGTGGTGTTGTGTATGGTATGAGATCGTGTTGCTATCATAGTCTGGGCGTGTTTCTTATCCTTGTGTTGACTATTGCATTGTATTGCTGATCCTTATCCTTGACGTATGGGCGAAGGTCAAAACCTTGGTAATCGTGTGAGAAGTGCACCATAATGCTGTGTGGAGTTATGAACATAACAACAAATTGACAATAAAAATCCCTCATCATGAGTATCCATGTATTGGGAGCATTGAGAGCATGTTTTTGAAAGCCTGGATTGTGTCGTGTACCCAAGGCACTTCATGCTTTAGTATACCCAAGATAAAGTTATGAAGTGAGTGTTTCAGTTTGACAACCTATGCCAATCAATGGTATAAAGACATCTTGAGTTACTTGAAGAAGGAAAAAGATATAAGACCTACCAGTGACAATAATGAGAAATAAAAAGTGGTTCCAGTGTCAACCATTCTTGGCCAAAATCAACATATGGCTCCATAATTGATAGAGATTTGTTTGGTTTTGTTGTCTCATAGCTTCCGATCCTGACAGGCATCAACAACCACTGTGACACGCATTCAGCAAGTCCCCGTTTTGACATTAATCAGATGTCCTCCCTCACAGAATCTTTATATTTAGACAGTGTTCAGAATCCTGAATCATCTTGCGCTGATCCCAATGATAGTGACTTGGATTGTGTTGTAAATCAAAGTCCAGATCTCCAAGAAAGTAGCAATGATGAATATACTGGTACCCCCACAAAGAACAATACAACACCATCTATTCAACCCCTACCAGTCGCTCGGAACCTAATTCATCACTTTCTCACCAAGTGCGTAATGAACTTGAAAATTATGTCACAAGATCTATGGCAATTGCCTTGTCACACTGAGATATTCTGCCTTAATTCTCCAGATAGTGCATGTCATTCAACACAAGAGCAAAAGTGATGATGTGAGTAGTTCTATAAGCTATGAAATACAAGATGCTAACATTTCTCCAGTTCACGCTCTATGAATATTGCCTCAGCTTAGAATATAGACATTTTTATGTTGACAGTAGGAGAAACATGTTCTATTTTTTTTAAAAAAAAATCCAATTTATGTCCATGTGGAGTGGCGCACTCGCTTTGGGACTAGACAGCAGGTAGGATATGGAGGAGGCACAATGGCAAAGGGCAGACATGAGGATGTGGTGTGTGCGTGCATAGTGGGGGCAGGTGATGAGGAAGTGTAGTACGGTTTCTGCAGTGGTTGCACAGTGTGAGCAATTGGGCATGGGGCTTCTGCTGATACGAAAGAGATGCTGATTAAGTGAGATGTGTCTGGTGCAGAGCCAGATAAGCAGACTGATATATCGTTTCGGGAGATGTTGAGCAAGGGAGATGAAGGAGCCCTTGAGGATGTTGGGGTTGATGCTGACGGTGCGGTCGTGCCGGGGCGATTGACTCCAAAACCTCACCCAGCATTTGGAAGATTCATGTTTTTTGCACTTGTTTCAGTGCATGCTGCAGGGAAGAGTTCCTTTGTGGAGGAAGGGGGGAGGTGTGTTCTGGGGCTCAATTCCGAATGTGAATCAACTGCTCTCTTAGCTTCCTGGTCCACTAATTCATTCCCTGCCACTCCATCATGCCCTGATATCCACCTGACTGTAATTCTGAAATGGTGGTCTCAGCTGGCTTTCTTAATGTCCATTATCGATCTGTGGAAGTGATCTATCAAATAGTGGCCTAACATGTTCTATTGTACGCCATGTTGCATGCATATTTTGATTGGAATGGATGGTTTCTACTGCTGGATATGCACACACTGGCAGAGGTCAATGGTCATATCACAGCAGTTATTGAATTGAGGAAAAACCCCAACCCTAATAATAGCAAATCTTTCTGGTTGCAGGTACTTACAATCAAGTTACTCATAGTATCGCCAACCCATGAACAAAATATTTATTGTTGTGCAGTGGAGGCTCAAAACGAAAACACAATACACCCTCATATCCATATCCTGCACAGATCCATTCTTTCACAGATCAATCACTCATCAATACCCTTATCTTGACCTCCCATTACTTGAATGTCATGTCGCGCCTCCGTTTACCATGATAAATGCAGGGCCCAAGTGCGAAAGAGATCAGATAGATCAGATCATTCTTTGTTGTTATCCGCAACAGACATAAGGGTCTACTATGGAATCAGACACCAAGGAACTTAAACAACAACTTACACTCCTATGTGACACTTGGGATCTTTTCATGGATCTGGATGTGAGAGCAGCTGCGAAGGCTTGGGAGAAGTCAGAAACAGGCAGTAAGAGGAAGAGAGAACAGAGTGACACTGGTTAGATGAAGAGACGTAGCACATGGTCGAAAACACACTCTGGACATGGTGGTACACACTAGTCTGATTTATCCAAAAATATATGTATCAGAATAACAATCAACACCTACTAGGTGATTGCAAACGTAAATGGTCACCCAATTCAAGTGGGGCCACTCTCACTGAGCATGCAGTCTCACATATTGAAAAGCAACAGAAGGCGGACAACTGGGAAATGAGCATCAGACACTGGGTTGTGGAGTCAACCAGGGCCTCATCCCTAGACCCAAACCTTCTGCTTGATTTCACATCAATACTTGCCTGTGCTACTGTTGGCAGCATAATAAATGTTTGACAGTGCACTTGAATGAGGATCTCACTTTGCGATCTTCTCAGCCAACATGGTCTGACGTCCTCGAAGGAGCTCCCCACATTGCTCACCTTGGGCCCCTGATTGGGTGGTTTACCAGAATGAACGACCTGGCATGTATGAGCCTAATCGCATTGGATTGCTGAAATTTATGGTGAAGACAATTGTAATGTGAAAAACTACAAGGTAAAGACCGCAGTACAAGAATGGGAGGAGAGTACTTAGTCCAGGACAATGAGTTGCATGGCTTGTTTGACAGCCTGCAAGCCAATATGCTCCCAATGGTGATCCAACATTTGCAATTGCCTCATAATGTCCTTCACTCTAACCTCAGTGTTCTTTCCCCTGATGCCCATTCCACACATCATTTCCTGCACAGGTGCAATGAGAGCTTCGGTGTCATGGGAACATAGGCCTCATCTTCCTTGTACATTGGTGGATCTGAGAGGTAGGCATCCTCTTCAAGAACAACGCACTTGGCTGATGAAAGGTGGTGAGACGAAAACATCGGGCTAGAGACGGGAATGAGGTCGGAAGGGGGGGACAAAGGTCTGTCATAGAGTATGATACTGCCTTGTTCATAGAGGTTGGTTGAGTACAGCCCACATAAAAAGGTGCTTCATCTTCATATGGGTTGTGGTGCTCGAGTGAGAATGAGCATTGAGGCGGACCTTTGCTGGTGTGTAGGACCTCCGTTGGTTGGAGTTGGAGTTAGGTATGGGAACAGTGATGTGACCCAATTTGATGTTTGGAAGGTGTGTTCTGGGCTGATCTGCAGGAAATGTGGCATCAAAAATCGATCTGAACATTTAACTCACTTTCTGGAGTGTTATTGGGATCCATGGCATCAAAACAGTTTGCTGCTCATTGAAACTGACATCTTTTCTAGTCAATATGTACTCCTCTATAGTTTGAGCAAAAGTTTGATTGTCCCTGGAATACAAAAAAACCTTGTTTCTCCCATCCGCTGAGGTCATCACATGGGTTGCCCAGTAGTTGTAGACATCCATGATTGATCAATGATTAATCAATGGGACGTCTAGTCTGACTTTCAGATTAGAGATCATGGTAGAGTTAAAGTGTCAATGTTAGGACGACAAGTGATTCAAACTTCTGCGACTACTTCCTGATTCAGAAGTCTTCTGTGACAATGCCAACTTTTATATATTGGTCAATGATTTATCAGAGTTCTTTATATGCTGAGGCATCACTTAAATCTCAATACATATTAGGGCGGAGGTAGAAGTCCCACAAAGTCAGACAGGAATTTTACATGTGAAGAGTTAATGGGTAGTTAAAATCAGTTAGAGACATATGAGACAAGTTCTAAGACATGTCATACATTACAACTTCAGGGATTTTTGAGACGTATGAGAGGACTTCTTAGACATATACTCAGGGACTTTCAAGACATATGAGATGACTTCTCAGACAAATAATATACTTCAGGGGCTTATACCTTGGTCTGTTGCAGATTACTACCTGATGAGTGTAGCTGGAGCAGAGTCAGCATGTTGAACTTGGACGGCATGGACTGATAGACCGTTCAGAGGAACAACAAGGCACAATATTACCATAGTGTTATACCAAAGTTCACACCAGATGACATGGAAATTAGATAAGAGCTGAATACCGACAGTATTAATATTGAAAGAGTGCTATCTTACCTCCAAGAAAATAACCGAAACTGTCTGAATTGCATGGGGATTATCATATTGGAATAGTTACCTTAGAGCATCCTTTTTGTACTTTGCCATCTTGGCGCCTCAACTTGATTCTCGGTGCAAGTGATCCGACACAATATTGTGCAGAGTTGATGAGGAGTTGTAGTATGTCTCAATGTGTATCTTCTCGAGGCAAGGTAGTGCTCTGGCAAGAAAAGTGGAGACAACACTGGGGTTATATGGTGGGGATACACCTATGTGCAATGTAGTGATCGAGGAGTTGACTGGGAGTAAATAAAAGTCCAACACACCCTTACTGCAGGAGAACACCAGCCCCAATTCTTTCAATCCTGGGCAATTGCGCAGTACTGCAGAGAGTCCAGCAAGCGATGCCCTTGGAGGATCTGACCGGTAATGATGTATGCCAAGAAAGATCAATTCTAAACTAGGAAAGGCAAACGAGAGTGCATGTAGGGCATTGTCATTTAGATTACACTTGGAAAAGCGCCCCAGGTTGATATGTGTGATCGGGACGCCATAAAGAGGTTTCAAAAAGTATGATGGACCACAAGGCACCACAGGGCCATAGCAGAAAATTTGGAGTGGTCGGAGATGTCGAAATCTTGTGCGAGAGAAGCAATAAAATCTGTCAATGCAACTCCTCTGAGGTGAACTGGAAGTGTGATAGTGAGCTGAGGACAAGGGGTGGGAAGTGCATGCAACAGGCAGATTGCAGAGTCTAAGCCATTATTGTCTAACTCTCCGAACACAAATAACCTCTGAAGTACTATTTGAAGTGAAGTGATGGGATGAACAGAAGTGACGATGTATCGTCTACCACAACGGTTAGGGACTCCAAGGATGGCAAAGATGCAATAGTTTGCATTCCAGTGGGTCCAAGAAACAATATCATGAGATGTTGAAGTGAGTCAAGGAGATGGAGATATTTTTCAAAGTGTGCCACGTTTTTCGAGAGATCAATGTAAACAAGACTTTGAAGGGAAGAGGGTGCCGCCAGAAGAGTAGACACAGCAGACTCTAAACCCATAGCATAGTATGAGAGTCCAACAATTGTTAGATCATCATGAAGCAATATATGTATATGCTCCAAGAGGTTGTTGTGTCTGGCTCTGAGCCATAGGCGATCTAGGCGTGGAAGGAGGGGGTTTGTTGAGGTTAGAGAGTGTACACGCGCAATATCATTGTACTTGAGTACTGACTCTGCGGATATGTATGCTTCAGTAGTAAAAAGGAATGCTTCTGGTGGAACAAGCAAAGTCCGAGGTGATGGACATATTTGGGAATTGCACTATGGCAGTCACAAGTGCAAGGCAAGCGTGGCAGTAGTGGTGATTTGACTGCGGGGAAGAACCCTAACAGAACCTGGTAACCAGCATCAAGGACATCTCATCCAAAGTCAATGTGAGGAGAGCATGCAGTGCATGATTGGATATGCATTATAAGAGAGGAAAGGGTGCATGACTGGGTTGTCTTTGGGGCAATCAATGACTAGTCTGAATTTCAGACTAATGATCCAGTTGATGTTGTCAGGAGTGGGTTGGTTGAAAAACAACATCAACTAGATTTAGAAGTTCTGCGATTTAGGTGACTTCTAAGGACATGTGACTACACAAGTGACTTCAGTGACTTCTAAGACATGCGAAATACAATAGACGTCAGGGACATTTAAGACAACCATGACTTCAGAGACTTCTAAGACATATGATATTCCTGCAACTATAGTGACTACTTCAGTCAGTTCCAGAATACTACCTCTGTGATCAAAGGCATATCTACAACGATGCCCAATGTTACATGAATCAAGCAATGATTGCGATCATAGTATATCTACAACAATGTGACAGGAACCAGGTAGTATGTATATGCAAAGTTCATAAAGTCCATGACCCAAAAGTCTGTATCCCAATCCATGTAAAAGTACATTCTGTTGCTGGGTATGTGCTATGTGACATGATAAGAGAAATATTAAAATGATGATGATGCAAGCTAATCCAACACTGTGAAAGATTTTGGATCCAACTGATCAATATCATAGCACAATAACTGTGCTTGTGCCTCGATTACAACCTTCGTAGCATCTTTGGATGAAGTTAGAGTGTGTTGCCAAAGTCTTGATAACCACTGGCTATGGGTGGGGAAAGTGTGCATATATCCCTGTTTTGTATCATAGTGATGTGCTTCATGAACCACGTCTCTAAAATTGCAGTCCACTCTCCATCCCACTGCATGTGCTTCACAAAGACATCAATGGGAGGCCACAATGAATGACCATTGATGAGCGGGACAGTGGGATGTCAGGCCCTCCATAGACGGAATCTGATCTTGGTCCTCATGGATATGACTAATCTACCACAAGAAATAACATGTAGAAGGTGGTAAGGGGGGTAGCATGCGATGTTGAGAAGGTGGTTTTGAGGGTCACTATGCAACAATGGGGACAGCGGATTGGCATCGTCATACTGCAAAAGGCAGCTCATTTGAGCCAAAATGAAGTGGGATGTGCTGTTTTGGACAGGACAGGACCCCATCCTGTTAAACCCTGTGATGGTTGTGACAGTAGATGAAGGCAGGAACTGTAAAAATCCCATTGGCAGCACCAAAGTGCCAGGGATTGAAGGTAGCACTGTGGGTACAGTCGTGGGAGGTGGCATTGTGACATGTGTAGAATGGCCTGAATCAAGAGCTATATGTGTAAAAAATAAGTTGGTGATGACAGTAACAAAGTATGCACTCACGGTGCTGGTCAGTTGCTGGGCCATGACAAGGTGAAGGTGCTGTGATTGAAAAAATTAGCCATGGCTAGTTTCTTAGGGAAGGCACACTTACTATGACAACTTTGCTGGATAGGGCTGTAGCAGTGGGTAGTCTGCCAGTGATATCCTCGAGTTCCAACAGGTGAGGGAGATCTACTGCGACATGCAAACTGATCTGGGGAAGGTGAATGTCGACGACAAGCAGGCGGGTGATGGTTGAACCAAGACAGAGCATAGTGTCTATATGTCGATGGTCGGATAGACGTGCACGATGAGGAGATGGATCTCTGACCATAGTTGTTGGGTTAGAGGCTATTTTGCCAGGTTCAATATCAATGTCCATGCTATCGTCCAAGACAACATGCTCTGTTTGAGTGCATTGAGTTGCCTTGGGTGATTCTTGGTACAGGCACTTGCATTCGAGGTGAGCTTGTTTGAGGCAGTGTTGTTTCAGGTGTTCGCGTTCAAGGCATTCACACTGAAGACTTTCGCACTCAAGATGTTTGTACTCAAGGTGTTCGCGTTTGGGGCGTTCATGCTTGAGATGTTCACATTCCAGATGCTTGTGCTTGAGACATTCACATTCGAGCTCCTTCTGCCTCTTGATCTCCTCCAACCATTTAACCTCCTTCCGTCTCTCAATCTCAGTCTGCTTCTGTGTCTCTTTCTCTTTCTTGAGACACACAACCTCTGCTGCCTGTGAATCTGCTTTGTCCTTGGATCTCTTGATCAGTTGCAGCTGCCTTTCTTTTTCTCATCATCTCCTTCAGTTTGACCTGTTGGAAAGCTGTCCAATGGTGTCGAAAGAGGAGGGGGGCCACTACTGTAGATGTAGATGCGGTAGTACTTTGTTGTGGTGGCTTGTGAATATAAGGGCGAGCAATCTGCTTGAACCACAATGCTCATGTAGATGTGGGATTTGGGATGCTGAGGGGATTGCCAGAAACATTGTGAGTGATTGTGTTTAGAGCAAATAGTCTGCAGGAGACACAGAGTCTTGTTGGATGGTGTGTGGTAGTGTGTTTCCTTGGTCTTTGAATGGGCCATCAAAATGCACGGTAAGCCACCGCTGTAGCTTTTGAATGAGTGCTCGACAGTGTGCCATTCTTGAGTATTTTTGCCTGTAACCATTTGTCTGCATCAATCCATAATGTTTGAGCCTCGTGCGCTACGTGGGCCTTCTCCCAGAGAGCCAGTATCCAGAAAGGCAGTGGTTTGTGTCTAAGTCGGGGATGGAGAATCAACCGCTTGCTGTCCCATATCGCTTTGTTGACTGACACTCTGAGGCTATTGACCCATGCCTTGTGCGGGATCCAATGAGTTGTCTTCTCTATCAATCAATTTTCCAACTGGAACCTGGATGATCATAGTAGAAGGAACAGAGGGGGCAACAGAGACTAGAATCGTGGTAGGTGGAGGAATGGGGGCAGCTGCAGTACAAGGTGGAACATAATCATTGTTGATTGACTTGAAGAAATCATCCTCGTCGGAACCATTGTAATCAGAGTAGTCGTGGTAGAGATGAACATCACCAGTTTGTGGATGGAATGATTGCATCGCTCAAATGTAATCCTCCGGCCAGTTTATTTCCTCATGGTTGTGGGTAATCTCTTTGAGGGGTTGATGTTTGCCTTTGGTGACAAATATATGCTTGGGGTGTTTCTGTCCGTTGAAAGGAGGTTCTTGGCCATCAGGCCAGAATTGGCCTGGCTTGTCACAGTAGTCAACAACTGGAGTGAATGAATTAGATTGGAAATGGTAGACATTCAGTCGACATACCTTTATGGCCATGTTTATGTGTTGTAGTTACTAGGGCAGTCTCCTCCCAATGGTTCTCTGCCCAATCTAGAACTCCTGATGATGTCAATGCAGCTCCTGCTGACAATGATGCAGGTTCATTTTCTAGAGAACAGAGATGAGGTCCTGTTAGTTAGGGTTACAAAGACTTTGAAGACTTCAAAGACATACTACGACTTCAGGGACTTCCAAGACAAACATTAGAGATCTTTGCGACTTTAGAGAATTTAAGCTATACGGAACTGAACTTGTCTTTTATCCACTTGGCAGCAATGGCATTCATTTTGACCTTTGGATCAGGTATGTTAGTGGTAAAGTATACTGGATCAATGCACTTGCCATTGCCACATTTCGGCCTACAGCTTGAAGGCCCTTTAGAGACTGCACCCAAGACAGCCCCATGTATATTTGTCCTGAAACAGTATTAGTACATGAACTGAGAAGATGATGATCAAGGCTTACCATTGGCAAACAACTGTCTAAATTGACAATGACTTTTTCAAAGCCCAACCCCTGGCTCTTGTGGATAGTCATGGCTCAACCTAATGAGAGGGGGATCTAAATGTGTATCTAAATGAGTGAGCAATTGCAAAATAAGAGTTAGACCTGAAAGTGTGTGGCCATATATTCTTTATTGCCTTTGACTCATTGAAATACAACTTACTCCTCATCGAGAATGAACATTTTCATGTGTTGAGCTGATTTCAAACTTGACTAGGGGGAAAGCATTTGCTTGTGGCCTCTGAGTGTGCAAACTGGACCTGATGGTGCATGGATTGGGAGGCCATTGTCATTGACTTTAATATTGCAAATTGAATGTAAGCTTTGTGGCTTCTTGGCCCTCTCGTCCGGTGGTAAAATGTGGTGTGAGGAATAGAAACCTAATATAATGCCCATACTGCCGTTGAAGAGACCTTTACCTATGTTCTTGTGTAGGACAATGTGCACTCCAACTTTGAGCTGGATGATTGAGCTGACAGGTGCTGACAATAAGAGTCGTTTTTGGTATGTGGATCGGGCCAAGTCCAAGGCAGAGTATATTGTGGCTTGACCGTTGATTCTGTCCAGCCTTTCATTGTTGGCTTGGTTGGCCAGCCTTAGCGTACAATAGAGGCAGAGGGCATGATATTATTTATTCTGATTTCTTTGAGCATGTCGAGTAACCTTTGTATGACGGAGCATTAGTCATCAGTAGCAGCGGTTAGGACAAGTGTACCTTCTTCATTCTGCCAATATACAGTGGTTAACCTGATGTGATTGTCTTTGAAGGCGGCATCCCACACCAGAGATTGGAAAGCAAACTGGACAGATTTGCCTCCCAATGGTATTGGGGGCAATTGGAGAAAACTGCCTGACATTATGATCTATGAGATGAGTTAGAAGGATAGGGAGCAGTGCAAGTCTCCTATGCAGATTCCTCCAAAGGGGAGTTCAGTTTGCACAAGTTTCGTGCGATAAAGTCTAATTGGGTCAAAAATATGAGGGTTATCATTAATACTGTGATCCGTTAAACATGATGTATCAAGGATTATCAGATGAGGTATACCTTTGTCAACGATCAATACTTTGCATTCCAGCCACCATGTTGAAGTGATAGTACTGTCCTTGACCTTTTTGAGAGCTCATTCTGGACACACCTCTGAGCTTGTTAGACCAGCCCAGGAATGGATAGTTTGGCCTGACATTGTAAGAAAGGGAGCTGGAAGGTAAGAAAGACTCACCCTGGAGCCTATTTGTGGCAGCTCCAGTGCTTGCTGTGATTCCCAACTGGGACGGTTTGAGGAGTGTCATTAGGACCTCGATGATCTTTAGGAGGGTGAAGGTCTTGCCAGTTCCTAGAAATCAGCAGGCGAGAATGTGGACATGGATTAGGCCTACCTGGGTCACCAGTGAGGAAAAAAACTGTTCAGATCCTTGGCCAATCTTAGGGCTGTGAGTTGTTCGGAATCCAGCATGGACGTGTCTACATTTACATCTGCTTCTTTAGCTTTTGAGAACATGACATGTAATGAGCATGTGGTGAGAAGGTCATGGGAGGCGTTGGCAGGCATATTGGAAGTGTGGGATGAGAGGAACACATGGAGAGGAGGGAGAAAGACAGAGGATATCAAATATAGGGGGTGTGATGATGTGAAGACTGACATAGTACGCACAGTGTTGAGGCAGGAGATGGTTATGATATGCCAGCCTTGGGTGAAGGAAACATTGGGGACATAACTACAAGACATACACTGACATCACATTAGTGTTCAACTGGGAGATGGACATCTTCCTCGAATTACAAGGAAAAGGTCTTAAAAGAGTGGCTAACAGGTATTGCAACATTGGATGTTGAGGTTGGCTTTGAAGTTTACATACGACATCTGCGCTGATTGGTCCATATACTCCCATGCTGTTTTAACTAGCCTGAGCAATATTTGTACCATGGAGAAGACAAGGCAGATGTTACTACCATTGTTGAGCGTGAGTCCTGAAATAAGAATGCTAACTAATCCAGTATTATGGTGGTATACAGTGTGTCTGGAATGGTATATTCTAGGTAGGTATGCATGGAGAAATTTGGTATCCAAGTGTCATAAACATCTCAAGGCATGTAAGTAGTTCTTCCCTGCTGATAAGCTGCCCTGGATGCATTTGGCTGTTACTGCTATCTGTTTCCTTCTTGCAATACACCTTGGTTGTGGTCTTCATGTTCTTCCAGAAATATTTAATTATAGCATTTGCAATATCATGTGCTTATTTGGTCGTCCTCATTTTTGCTTGTGATTTTTGAGTGTCAGTGGCCACATATTTGTTGCACCCTAAGACCATCATACAAAGGGCGATGAGGGGGCACCTGTATAACTCTGGAAGTCGTGTCACAGGCATGCAACATCAAGCGATTAATAGATGAACTTACTAACATGATGTGATATGCATGGTAGGTTGATGAGCAATCAATGAGACATTGTGAGGGAGTGTTCGTGAACTTGGTTAGTGAGGGTCCTTCCTAGTTTGTGGTTGATGTAATGAGACAGTTCAGTTAAATGCATGAACTTGTAGTTGTAGAAATGCCCACCTGTTGCAAATATGGCAACAGGCGTGTAAACCACATGGAACTGCCTGGCAGGTTGTATACTCGCACTTCTAAGTAAGGCTCAATATTATGTCAGGATGGACTCACAGTATATCACCAGGCAAGAGAGTTACGATTTCACCATGTCAGTTCTGCTGGATATTTTCGCAGTTTTGGTAAAGATCTACCAGTGTAAGGGCCATCTCAGAGAGGTTGGTGTGAGTAACTGTGTCCTCAGTGGAGCAAAGCCCATGAACGCACAGTGAAGTTGTCCAGGTGCACATTTTCATGGATGGGGCAGTCAATGGTGGATTGGTTCCATCTGTTAATGATGCCATGGTCGAGAGTGCTGAGGATAGACAGTTTAGTGTTGTAACAGCATATGAGAGTTATTTACACACCTCATGAATGATGGGAGACCGCCTTGTGAAAATGGGATGTTGAGTATACACTGGATCTTGTGAGGGTCATATATATTGCTCATAAATTGCGCAAGGTTGGCGTGTTGGTGGGGATATGTGAAATCCTTTGTTCATTGTTCAGCATCTGGTTATAGCATTATATCAAGTCAGAAAATAAAGGATTTCAACAGGCTCACCATGTACCACAACAAGCATGAGGTCAGATATACCGCGATCTTCAAGGTACTCCAGATTAAGGGTTGTGGGCTCAGGTGCAGCTGACTTGCCTCATGACGACGGCTTTACTGATGTGAAGCGCGGCAGAGATCTCATCGCATAACTGTCGACTTTTGGAGTGCCAGTCACTAGACTGTAAGTGGATGACATTTTGTGACAGTGCAAAAAAAGACACTGCATTGGCGTCTTCTTGACATATGTTGATGCTGTCCTTCATGATGCATGGAAGGATAGTGGTGGATCCATTGCACCATTAATCTGTTTCTGACTGTTTGTGGACTTGAGAGCCAATTATTGGTGTGGAGAGACCGTGGGAGTCCAGGTTGGTGAGTACAGACAAGGCAAGTGAGGGGGATGTTTGGATATGTGGAGGGGAGGGTGAGTGGATGAGGGAGTTGGGCTGTCATTACTTTGACATTGCACATTAGATGGGGAGTCCCAATGACTATGGGGGCCTCTTGGTTCAGGAGGATGGGATTGATTGGGATGGGTCTATGTGTAGAGTTAGATGGCCCATCAAGACCGGAAGGTGTTTCAGCAGTGGGGATGGGGTCATGGGCAGAGTTAGATGGCCCAGCAATATCAGAAGATGTTTTAGTAGGTGAAGCCTGATGCCACTTTCAAGGAGGGTTGCCTTAGGTGCTTGTGCATGCAGTTTGTTGGGTCTTCTCTGTTTCTTCTCTCTTGCATTTTCTCTTTTGGGCATCGTGGAGTGTTTGATCTGTACTTAATAGCCCTGCAGGATGGCTGACATTAGTCAACTCCATCTGGAGTTTATGCACTGTGTTTACCTTTGTAAGTAGTCTATCTTCTGTTGCAAAGAGTGATGCTGTGACTTCATGGGTTTAGGTATGGTCAAGCACCTTCTTCAATCCAATTAACCCTAAGACTGAGAGAATATTGCGTCAGCAGCGCTTGGAGATTATGTTGTCCGAATCAGCTGATCCCAACCAGGAGCAACTCGATCTCTTGGATTTATTTACCACAGACCGTGCAATTTGTAGTCATTACTTGACCATGCTCTAACTTTCAGCTGCCATACGAATCCTGTCCTCATGCTTAATCAGCCCTCATAAAGTCGAGAGAGGCTGTGCAGCCCTATTGCGAACATGCCAGAACTGGGCAAATATGAGCGTTTATATGACCCCATATTTCCACTTCACCCAGCACGTTCAGCGTCAAATGCTGCACTTTGGACCATGCTATGCAATGTGGAAGATCTATGTAATTGACTGCACTGTGTGACCGAAATAACATTTGGCCTCAGTGCACAAGGGAGTCCATGAGGTAGAAGGTAACATTGAGTATTATATCTAGTTATGCGCATGAGCTGATGTATCTACTAGCCCGCGAGGCATCTGTCGAGACTGTTCAAAACTTGCTCCAATACTCTGCAGACTTTCTCAATCTCGCGGTGCATCTCCTCCATTTGGGCCAGACACTGCTTGACACCCAACAACTTTGCCTCAAGTCTTACCTGTTTCTTCTTATCCAGCGGCTTATCGACCCAGTCAGATGGCTTTTCATCCAAAGCGGTAACTTTGTCAGAGGAGTCAAAAGATTGAGACTCTGATTCAGATTCGCTGGCAGCGTCTGAGTCTGATTTGTCGCCAGAGTCTGATTCAGATTTGTCGGAAGAGAGTGGAACTTGAGCCTGTTTTTTAACTGAGCCATGTATTTGTGAGCGTAGAATATGGACTCAAGGAAATAAGGACTTACCATAGCTACACCTCTGCTGGCAGGCTGTACATGCTTCACCCATTCTAGAACGACACCTTATCTTCATTCTTCTGCAGTATTTACAGCCTGGAATTGTCGGTCCAACCGCCCTCATGATACCCAGAATCCGTGGCATACGGGCTACAATTTGTCATTAGCATTAAGGGATGTGACGTCAGATGTGCGGAAATTACTTACCTAGCAACAACAAACACTGTTTGCAGCATCTCTGACATGATGATACAGAACAATATGCATAGCATGGCTGGTTCTCAGCCATGCATGAATCACACCCAGGTTCTCTCAACTTTAATGGTAAGTATGGCATGGATGAGCGTTAGGAAGGGATGCATTAAAATGTTGCGCGTCAGAGATGGAAAATGAAAGGATCAACCTTGGACGTTTTAATAGTGCAAGACCACACCAAATGTCCACTCAGCAGTTGACTAGGGAATAAGAACTAACCATACTACAAGCACAAGACTTCAGGCACTGCCTCCTCCAAGAGATGCAAGAATGAGATATTGAAGACGGAGTTGGCAAGGTAGGCAGGGGTATCTAAAGGGGCCTCATCTTCCTCATACTCAATCACCTGTTTACACTCCCTGAAGAGCAAACCCAATCCCAACACAACAGAGATGACTGATGTTGCATTGGAAATATTGGCCTTTTTAAGTCTTTCCAGGCTGATTTCCAGTATCTTCCATGATTCATGAATGTCCTTTGAAAGATGAATGTGCCTCCAAGACCATTTAGCCCAAGGCGGCCAGTCACTATGATCCTTCAATTAAGTCTTTTGAATGGTGAATATCTGACTATCCAATCAAAAATTCAGGTTACTCACTGTCTGTCTAGGGAATCTTGCCAAATCTTGAGTTGTATCCACCAATTCGAGGTAGTTCTCATCCATGCTGAGGTCACGGAAAAACACCCATTGCTCATCAAAGACCTTGTTGAAGAGGACACTGGTCGGGGTAGTGGAAAGAATATGATCAGCCAAGATAACCGACTTTACCCTCGTCTCCATCAGCAGAATGAACTTCTACATAGTCCTTTTTTTTCTCTTTTTTCCCTCTTCATCAGCCACCTTTGCCATCCTGTCACCCTTCTTTGCATTGATAAAAATGTCCAGCTTCTTCTTTACAAGGTCTCGTCTCTCCCAATGGTGCCAAGGGAACTTACATCCTCTGACCTCATGTGTGAAGGGTCTCTCACCACCAATTTATCAGGAATGCAACCAGCCTCCAGATAGTGAGAGGTATCGGCAACAATCTGCCGCCAAGGTACAGGTTTACTGCTCTTTGTGAAGACCTTTATGGACCAACAGATTAATCAAGTGCAAGATAATCGAAGCTTCAAACTTACTATATGAAGCGAGAAAAATGTTTCTGATCAAATTCTGTTGTCCCTTGAGAGCAACACCATCATGAGAAGCTTTGCATAGTCTTCTTCATTAAATATAAGTTCTGGTAGGCCACCAGCCTTGTCTGAATCATCTGACCCAAAATCATCCTGATCTTACTCTATAGGATCTATTTTATTCATGAAAATTTATGAGTCTATACCAAATGCCACCAGTAGAAAATAAAATATACAGAATTCGGTCTTGGATCATTCTGCAAATAATTCAAAACCTATTGAAGACCACTCCTTGATACCGTCAGAGCTGACAGAAAGTTTTTCTTGACACTCTGCAGTTTAGATTCATGTCTAGAAGTCATTATTAGTCTTGCTAATTTTATAGGTAATACAGAAACTGACAGGGCAATGGCCAAGGATTTATTGGTCTTCTTCTTGTGACTGACTAGCATTACAACTCAGCAAACCATGGTATGATGTAGCTCTTCGGAAAAATCTTTAAGCTTTTCTTGAGATTATTCTTCCGATAGCTTTGAATCTAGTCAGCTTAAAGTCAACATCCTATAATATGTCCACTTACACAGCCTGATTTTCCTCCAATGCACCCTCCCTGTTTCATTTCTCCATTGCATCTTTAACCTCTTTCTCTTGCTCAATCATCATCTTATTAAACCATTCTCTGGCATGTCCTGTCTGATGCTTGATATAGTCATCCAATCCTTTCCTCAGCCTCTCTGTCTTGTCATAGTCATTGATCCCCTGCTTAAACAACATTTGGGCAACATGCCACTGATTGCATTCTTTCTTGTAAAATAGTGCAGTTTTAGGATGTGCAACAGCTTCTCTTTCCTCAGCTGTCACAACATGTTCATCATCCACATCTGGCCTGCCTTCTTTATCTGATTCCTCAGAGTCAATAGTCTCGTAGTAAGAGGTTCTAATGGCCTATACATAAAATCAATGTTGATGATCTCAATTGTCAACAGAGTTTCTAAAGTAACATTTTTCAATAAACTTGGCAAGGGTACTCCAGGTTGATCTCCCTGAGCTTTAAGAATAGCATTTTTAACTTGTTTCACCACATGAGAACGATGTGTTGGAGAATCTTGGTTGGACCGGAAGTCTTGTTCAAACTGATCAAGAATAGATTTGAACTTCAGAGCCCAATTGGAAGACATGATCCTGAGAGTGTGTGTAAATATAAAAGATTAAGAATCTGTAGGTAGAGGCACACTTGTATAATGTTGGCAGCCAACTTGTCCTATGATTTGACACCAACATTGTCATGTGACCGCATTTTGGATCATGTGACCGTGTTTGACCTATAATACTTGCTATGTATGGACAAGTCTTCCATCAAAGCGCTATACTGAAAGGAACACTTTGACTAGCCAAAATCATGATTCTAAGATGAACTACATAGATCTAATATCAAAGGTAAAAACTAAGTGGCACTCACAAAGGGATCTCAATCCAACTGGAAATACGAGTTTTCCCTGGTACAAGCACCTTTGAGTTTGCTGGCACGCTAAACACAAAGCCCTTCCTGCAATTTCGCCCCTTGCACTCAAATGAGTATTCCTTCTGGTGATTAGTGGACTTCCAAGTATCTACCAGACCACAGTCAGGGTACTGGAGCAGCAGGAAGTTGCCCCAGGGGTGCAGCTGAGAATGAGTCCAGCAGTATTTGAAAGCGTCAACAGAGTTACTGTCATACTTCAACAACAAAAACACATCTGAATGGCAGCCAAGCTTGTAGGATTGCCCAAGCATGTCAGGGAATGCTTGCTGAATGGAAAGACGCTGGATGAGGACAAGTTCGCAAAAAGAAAGCAAGAGATGAGCTGAGAAGCTTGGTTGAAATCGGACAGCATTAAACGCTATGGCAGCTGAAACACCATGACTAGTTCAATCAAAATAGTGTTAGCCATGAGTGACAAATGACCACTTACTTGGCAACCAAATATGCAAGTTAGAAAAGGATTCTGCATTGTTGACCAGTGCACCACAAGAAAAGAGCCAAAGGAATGACTCCAGCACGCCATCAATGAGAACCTGCCATGGTCCAAGAATGATGGTCAAAAACTATGACCAGTGAGAATCACATAGATTGAAAATGAAAACATGCACATCATGAACCGGAGTAGCAACATATGACTTTCTGTCATATCATACCCCACAATGGGTCTCCAGACGAGTTGTCAGTATGGTTAGATATACCAAACACAATGCACTTCCAGGGGATACTAGATAGTTTGCCCACCAGGGCCTCCATGCTGTCTTGGTACTTACTGACCTTGAAGGCAGTACCAACATTAAATGATATCTTGTGGTATTCCATGCCAGTGTTGGGGAAGTACGGCCTCAAAAATTGGTGGCTGAGTTCGAATGAACCACCTGCAGTATCATAGTCCACCAGGCTGAGATGAACGAAGAGAAGATGGTCGGAAGAGAGTTGTGAAGTCATGTTGATCTCAAGGGCAGCGTGGATTGGGAGGAACGAGTCCAGTACTGGCTTATTGTTCCTATAGAAGCTGTCATATCCATGCATTCAGATCTCAGATCAGATCCAGATCCAGTCCACTGATCTGATATCCAGTCTACAGGTCCGGTCCACTAGACAGATCCAGTCCACTAGTCCAATCCAGTCCACTGATCCGCTTTCCAGTCCACAACACAGTTATACCAGTCCACAACTCATTCCTGAACCCAGAACCTTAAATCAGTATCTATCCCCTTTTGGATGTTACCTTCTCTGGTACACCGGTTATCTTCCCTTCTGCCTTGCTTATTGATCCACCCTATGTATTCATGTCTGAACTTCATTTCCTCTGATCCGTTAGACTTACCAATAGACTTTCCACATGCTTCATACATAGCTTTGTTCCATGCTGACTGACCATTCCGTTATGCTACCTACAGTATATAAACTCATGTACAACTCTGTAACACCTCAGTTCAAATATCATCTTAGATTCTGCTCATTCCTGTCTCCGTCCGAACTTGAGTTCTCTCTCGTTCACCTCTGGTCTTAGGATTGCTTCCTTTGACTTATCTCTGGCTCTACCTTAGGGTAGTCTTAGTCTGTTCTGTTTCTAGTCTCGGACTTCGTCCAGACTAGCCTTTCCACTACTCATCCAATATCTGGAAGTCATCCGGATTGACTCTACAGTACTCATCCACTCTTCCGAACGTGGTACTTTAGCCTTCTGAAATCAAGGGCAGTACTCAGGTAAGGGGCACAGCGTACGAGCTGAGGCCAAGCCCTTCAGATCTGATACCCTTGAGCATGCTCTTAACAGAAGCCCTGTTGTTTGATTGAGCATCAATATATATAAAAAGATTTGAAAACTCACAAAGTATGGCACCAAGGCATTGCCTCCTTAGCGCTGTCTTGTAATGTGACAGCAGATACAGTGAAAGTCACATGAGGCGCACTGACAGCCTGTGTGAAAGCTGGGGGAATCATAATGCAGTGGGTGCAGACAACGTGCAGACAGTCGTCACACAACAGGAGATATTCGTCGTCCACAGAACCGTCCCTGAAAATTATACAGAACTGAGATTGATGAGGTAGGTCAAGTCAATAAACAAAGTATAAACTCACATCATTGTGATGAAATCCTTTGCATACTTCAACGTCATCCTGTCGTGCCACAGTCGAAGTATTTCCAGTGCCATCTAACACTAAGTTCACATGAGCCGCTGACCTGCCAGTTGCCTTCCACACTGTTTGTTTTGTTCTTGCCATGGACACCTCAAGTGTGGAAGTTGAAGGGTGTGGGAACACAGATGAAAGGTAATGGGAGAGCTTGTGGATAAGAAGACAAAAGAAAGCAGTAACAGTAAGTAGTAGTAGTGTAGACGCATTGAGTGGACTCAGAGTTGACGTGTTCTGAACCAGTGGACCAAATAATGCTAAATATTCCACATTTGGATTCTGTAGAGCGCTGAATTCCTTGGTGGAACAAACAGTCACAATGTGACACATTTATCATGTCCAACTTTAACTTCCCACAGTTCAACTTTCCGCTCTCCTTCCTTCACCATTTCCTCTCACCAAAATGTCTATTCTTATTACAATTCTTATTACAATCACTGTCTATTGACACAACTTGAAGGCTATCTCATGGATCCTTGCAGGGCCAAAGGTTCTCCCTCAAAGTCACCACTGAGTACAGTAAGTGGCTTTCCTTTGCACTTCTAGCACAGGTAAGTTAATTCTTTACCTGTCCTCATATGCTAACCTAGTTGTTTTTAGATTTGACTTGTACTTGACAGTGTCTTTTTGTTGGTAAGTTGCTGATCTTCATCTCAAGTATGCTAACGGTTTTTTTCAGACTTGACTCTTATTCTGGATAGCATCTTTCTGGCAGTGTCTCTGTTTTTTGTTAGTAAGTCCCTGATCTTCATCTCAAGTATGCTGATGGTTTTTTTTCAGACTTAGCTCTTATTCTAGATGGCATCTTTCTGGTGCCACCTCAGTTTTTTTGTCCATAAGTTGCTGATCTTCATCTCAAGTATGCTAACAGTTTTTTTCAGACTTGACTCTTATTCTGGATGACGTCTTTCTGGTGGCATCTCTGTTTTTTGTTCGTAAGTCCCTGATCTTTGTCCCAAGTATACTGACATTTTTTTTTCATACTTAGCTCTGATTATAGATGGTGTCTTTTTGGCACCAGTTTTTTTCAGACTTAACTCTTATTCTGGATGGCGTCTCTATTATGACGACATCTCTGTTATGATGGTGAGTGGTTGATCTTCGTCTCATATGCTGATGGTGTTTTTTTCAGACTTAACTCTCTTGGGTCTGGGGGATCTATTTGATGCAGTGCATGCTACATAGTGTAGCTCCTGTGATTTTGGTCTGGGGCATGATGCAGTGCATGCTACTTAGTGTAGCTCCTGCACTTTGGATCTGAGGGCTTCATGTGGTGCATGCTATGTTGTGTAGCTCCCATACTTTGGGTCTGGGGGCTCAACCTCTTGTAGCACATTAGTCCCTTTTGTGTGGGTCGTGCTTTTTGGTCCTGAGTTTGAGTGAGTCCTTCTCCTTCCCACAAATTTTCTCACTGATCCACTCCCTGCAGATCAGTGTTTCCGTATTGTTTTAAAGCTAAGTGTTCCACTCCGTTTTACAAACCATCTAAGATATTTGCAGGATTTTCGTAGTTTACCTTTGTTTTCATTACCTACTTTTCTATTGGAACCAAAACTTGGGTGGACAGGATTATGTAGAACCTGTTGCGGTGTGCCCTTGCCTCTAGTAGACATCTGAGTGTAATCTGGAGACTGAATGCAGGAGAGAGGTATATATACCTGTGGATTATCAGCATGCCAACCTAGACCATTAAGCCAATGCATTTGTTATTGCACATTTCATGAAAGATAAGGTACAAGATAGGGTAGGGGTTCCCAGGCCTGCATTTCCACTTCAGAAGGAATTTTTGCACTTATTGGGAAGGGATCAGGGAGTTGAGTGGTCAAAGAAAAGATTGAGGCAAAATTAGAGTAAAAGAGTAGTCTGGTAGCTGAACATTAGCATCTAGGCTATTGGAGTGGTCCCATTGGGTAATTAGGTTAGTGATATAGTGAACTGAGACAATTTTCACAATTTCTCCACCCATCATGTCACACCAGAGAAAAACTTGTCTCAAGTTTCAGTCTTTCTCCTACAAAGAAAGGGGCCGACTATCCCAAAGAAAGGACTTGGATGTTGTATATGTCACCCACAAAAAATCAAAGGAAAAAAGAGGAAAACCTTCTGAGTCACAGGCTGTCCTGATCCCTCCTATGAGATTTCACAACAAGAGTCGTCAGAATCCTGTAGTCCATGAAAAAGAACAAAATTTAGTCCTCAAGAACTGGAAGGGATTCCCAGAGACTTTGACAGGGAGCTTCATGGGGATTTCAGTTCACAGAGTGTGAGGCAACAAACCAAGGCAGGTCCATCCAACAAAAGACAAAAGGTGCTGCTTATTCGGTTGAAACACAGACTCAGAATAACTTCATTCAAGATTATCTCATCTTCTGCGAATTATACTTGGACATCTTGACCCCACACTGCCTTCACCTTTGATGTCCTGGACCATTTTCTCATTGACGCTCTTGAATGCAAGACTTCTGCCATAAGCTTCTTTCAAAAGCTTTGTCGGCTTACCAATAATGCTTTCCCTGACTCTGTGCCAGTTAATTATTGTATCTGCAATGTTGTCCATTTTTTATTGACTGGGGCTGTTCAATTGGCAGAATCGGTACCGTGAATTGATGAGGGCATCTCGCCAATGGAGGGATTTAATGAACCGGAAACAATTTGGATTTTGGCATGATATTGTGGTAAAGCCAGGGGCCAGTTATTTGGCTCTGTTTTGTGTGGTCTGTCCACAGCCTGGCATCAACATACCCCTCACTTGGCAGGACCAGTATGAAAGGTAAGTAATATAATTGTATTTTAGGGATCTTAGGCAGTCTTGGATCTACAACAGTCGTTCTGAGCTGGCTGGCAGACATATGGTTATATATGGACCTTGTGCCTCAGCCAGCCAGCCATGGTATATGCAATGTACCCAAAGACTGGCCGGTGACATCTTTGGATTTATACAATACCATTGACGCCTTTTTGAATAGTTGACTAATTATGTAGAGATATGTAGTGGATGGCAACTTCACTGCTCAACACCTGAATATGAAATAACCACACCTTGACGTCACTCTATCTGATGGCCTAGGGTATATGGTGACAGAGGCTGATTATCAGGCTCATTTATTGTCAGCCAAGGAGAGCAAGAAGGTGCATTCAGGTTGGGGTTATTGGATTATCTGCACCTTCTGACTAGATATGTATACTAGAGGTTCTCTTGCAGCAATCACCATGCTGTTAATACAGCAAATGCAAATCGGAGTAATCAGATTAGAGCAACTGGAGTGGCTGCTACTGCTTGTGCATGTCATGGATGCTTTGTTTCTCACACTGTGGTAGATTTTCAGAAGGATGAACGGTAGGTTCTATCTTATGTTTAACAAGCATGGTCACAAGTTCATGCACATTGTCAGCCACATGAATGTCGACTACTCAATCTGCAGTGCTATTAATTATCATTCTCGTGATATCAAAACCTCCCTGATCATCTATGATATAGGGTGTCAGTGGTGTATTCATTTTGTGGAGTGTATCAACAACTCCCCAGGATTATCGCTCCCCAAAAAAGGGAAATACTGACAGCTGTTGGTAAATTCCATCTCAGCACGCACAAACTCCCCTGCTTTGCAAGATTTAGTCTTAACTTCATCAAGGGTGCTGGCCAAGTGGATGGAGAAATTTTGGAGACTTTTGGGGCATCTTTTAATGAAATATCACCCACTGCACAGTCCATGAGTCAATATCATCGACAGGAAATATTTGATGATCACATGAGAGACTCTAATTGGAAGAAATTGGTTGGAATCAGTGAGTAGGTCTTTTAAATTTCAATATTACTGATACATAATTAAATACTTCTGACAGTCAAGACTCTCTTGAAAAAGCATAAATGTGCTGTCAAGGGTGTCAGTGATACAAAGCCCCCTTTTGATGAGTTGACACATTCTTTAGACACCCAGGAAATTGCTATGTAGGAAAAGGATGAGAAGATTGCAGCAGAGCTTCAGGGGGAACATCTTGACATTTATCATTTGAAGATTAATAAAGGTAAATCCCTTAGTATTTTCTCTCAAAGGATATGACTAATCAAAATCTGTGGAATTCTGAAGCCCCCACAATGGCTGAGATCTGGTTAAGATTAACTGAATTGGAGACTTCTGAAATAGGCAGGCCAGGATCTATTTCTTGGATCATTCAGGGTATTAATCTAGAAGATTCCTAGTATGTCATCTTTAGATTTTGTGAAACAAATAATCACATTCATATCAGGGATGGATTGCGATTGGATATTTGATGCCTCCCACGTGATGCCACCTCTACTCAGAAGGCCAATCTTCAAGAGAAGCAGCTGAAACTAGCAGCTTAAATTATCAAATTTCATGAAACTGGAGATTGAATGATAGAGGGAATAGAACTGGATACAGGTACAGTCCATGTTGATGACTCTCGATTTTGCACAGCAGAAGCTGATGAACAAGCCTGGGAAGTTGCAGATGAAGATGATTCAGAATTGATTGATGAAGAAATTCCAGCAGAAGATATGGGCATCTGGATGCCATCATCAGTGACTCATGACCATGCTGACTTACTCAATCTGGCCAAACTGCAGGAAGAAGAATTAGACTTGAGAAAAGGTCAAGCTAATGATTGCCTAGAAAAGATCTGATTGGCTCTTGGTTCATGAGAGTCAACAAGATGCTTGGATAGATGAATGTGAGTGCTGCCATCTATCTCAAAAGAAAAACTAACTCCATATTACTAGTCTATAGGGTTAACTGGTTAAAGGCAAAGGCTAGTGGAGGAGGTGGGAGGAGGAGTTGAATTTGACAAGACATGCAATGAGATAGACCATAAGTTGGTTTAATTATCAGAAGGGCCAATGGATTCGACGGTCAATGCAGGCTATGAAACCTAGTCATCAAGCCTATGCCTACAGATAGGCGCTATTGTGGAAAATGTTTGCAGAGGATGTAGAGAACAAGTTTAAGGACCATGTGTTGTAGTATAATGGATTTTGCTTGATTCTAGCCACATGATGAAGAATGAACAACCGGACAACTGGCTTGCAATGTGATTTGTACACTATGTAGAATCACACTGGCCAGGAGTCTCAGGGTTGGTGAACAACCGGCCAGACTGGATCTGCATGTAATAGGAGTGATGCTGGCCAGTGGGTAATACAAAATAATACTGGCCAGTGTGTGTCTATGTGATGTAGAATCACACCAGTCATTTATCATCAGCACTTTCAAAGTGCTGATTCTGTCTGGGCTGGTACAAGGTAGGTCAAAGCAGGATGCTCGAAGGTGCAGCCTCAAAATCAAGACATTGGTCAGAAGCTATTAAAGGGCAAGATTGGCTATGGAAAGGCTTGACATGAATCACAATGATCTGGAAAATATATTTATCAAGAAATATTGTCCAAACACCAAGTCTAACAGCCAGGCTTGTAATAAGAATTATGCTGATGTGGAATCACATCGGCCAGACTAAATCTATAATAGGTGTTATGCTGGCCAGGGAATGGGTAATACAGAATGATACCGGCCAGTGTGCTTCTATGTGATGTATAATCACACTGGCCAGATAGAGTCTTAGTAAGGGTTGATGGGCTGGCCAGACTATATCAGCATGTAATAAGAATTATGCTGGCCAAGGAATGGATAACACAAGATGATACTGGTCCATGTGTTTCTATGTGATATAGAATTCTTCTAGTTAGAAAGAGTTTGGTTGGCCAGGATATATTTCTGAAATTCTGAAATAAATAAATATACAAAGATGTTGGCCAGTTTATAGCACTGTGGATTAGACGGACTAGCCAGCCTGGATTACAGGCTGGGGGCTGCTTCCTAGTTAGATTGTACAACTATAGGTAAATCAGGACATGAGGGTCCATGAAGTACATGTTGCTTGGCCAGTAGTATGCACTTCAGAAACTGCTGACTGGCCAGCCATACCTGTACACATTGTAGAGCATGGTATAGGTGTCAGCAGGCCAGTAAGCAAATGATGAACCAGTGGTCGGCCAGCCATGAGTGCACATGTTGTACACTTGAGGCTAGCTACAACTACTTTTAATCAGTATAATCCATATCTAGACCTGGCCAGCCATGATACTATCAAATGTAGGCATAAGAGTAACCACTATTGCTTTAATCATATACTCTATATATCCACAATGGCCAGTTATTAGTCTATATGTAGTAGATATCAGCTGGCCCATGCCTCAGCTGGTGACTGGCTGGCCATGATTCTAGGGCCTTTTCGCATGTCTAGAGCCAGGGTTCTACATGAAAAATGACTGAAGGGTCTGCATGTGTAACTTTAGACTTCAAGGACATAGTTGAATGCCTGACTTTGAAGACATAGTTGGAAGACTTTGAGGACATCATATCTGGACATTTATTGTTTGCGCGATGGGCACACTCAAAGTGCAAGATACATGTGTGCAAGCAACTAGAGGGCGAACATATGCAAACTACTACTAAGGAAACGTACAAGATATGTCAGTAGGTATTGATATGTTAATTAATTGTGAGACCAGTTCAGTAATGCAATTACTGTGCATGCAATGATTATTCTAACAAGTGGCGACACCCCATGTCAATATGGCTGAAGATTTTCTTGCTCTGATTCTTGTAATATTTGAGGTTGAACTTCCACTTCTTGGTGGTGAGCAAGAACACAGATCCCGCACGTATTTTCTCCAGCCTGCATTGGAACATTTGTTCGCAGGAAAGGGTCCAACATCCTGTATCCAGCCCAGATGAACCCATAGCTGAGGATTGGGCCACCACACCAATGTGGTGGTTTGAGTGTGTCTATCTATGGACGAGGTTATAAGGGGGATACATTGAATGAGTAGAAACAAGGTGTACCTGCGTTGATGTAGTATATCCCACATAGGATCTCAATCTCATGCTTACTTAGCGTGTCATAGAGATATGTGTGGGATGAAGTTGGTGATGCATCTACAAAATAAAGGACATCGGGTGAAGGTCTGTTGGGTATCTCATTCACAAGCTCCTGTTTGCAGAGATGCCAGAGAATTCCTCCAGCTTGGGCAACTGCAACTCTTACATGCAGCAATCTCAATAAACAATTTTGGCAAAGTTCATAGTCTGCATATTTGTACTCATTGGCCATCCAACCATAAGGACAGCAGTTGGATTCAAAGACAGATATGGGATGGGGAATGGAAGGGTAGGCGACATGGAACAGCAGTTTGAATGGTATACTGCGCTCGAATAAGCAGAGTATCACATCCTCTAAGGATGGCCTCCATTGCTCCCTAATGCACTGAACAACAGAAGTGGCATTTCCAAGGAACAAGTTCCAAGTGCAAGCATATTTCGGAACGAGAGGGAGGACCAGGTAGCAGTTAGACTCTTGTCCTTCACCTGCTCAACCTTGAAATATAAGTTGTGGGTTAGGAGCTGCTGAGCGTGCTTGGGATGTAAATCCCATAGGATTGAAGGTGGTTGAACCTCGAGTGCAAAAGAGGATATAAAGTACCGGATAGCAAATTCATTGCTGTGGTGTTCCAGCGGGAGATTGGCCTCCATGATATATTTACAAATGGTGTAGGTATCAACAATCTGAGGGTCTTTGATGTGTATGAAGTCACTTGCAGACTGTATTTCATCCTGCATGCTGCAGAGCAGTCCACAACAGCTGTATAAAATGTCTTCCAGGTATGTAGAAAACAGCATGTCCTGCCCAGTAGTTGTTTGGTGCACCACAATTCTTCCCAACTTATTACGGTTGGACATGAGGTAGGGGGATTGCTGAGTAGGAGAGCTGACATTGCAAAATTTTCCTGCAATGGTTGGTCAAATTGTGTGTTGTCGTGAAGCAAATCTTGGTCCTTGTTGAATAGGGAGCAGATGTCCCATTGGTTTGAGATTTTGTTGTAGGCAAATTCTGCCCAGCATCTGTTCTTACAGGAACGTGTATGCAGTTGAGATAAGGGTATAGTATCCCAAGTGCTGAGGATTGGGGATCAAGGACAACACCAACACATCTCCCGAGCACCTCCGGTTGTAGCACATCAAGAATATCACATACATGGGTCTTGCTGAGACCAGATTGGATGAGAGTATGAGAGGGGGAAAGTGGGCGTTGAGGGTCTGCATAGTTGGCAGTTTCATATCATACAAGAGCTCACCCATAGAACAAGTTGACAACCCTATGAGACTGTGGAACACAAGTCTTGATTTCAGCACACACCGAACAGCATGGGACTGCTTCTTGTGGAGGCAAAGGTAGCCGTAGCAGGAGGGAAGGGGTAGCATGGAGAACTCCAAGGGGAGTAGGGAGTCTATGCTGAAGATGGAGGCAGTGTGGTGTAGGATGTCCTCCAGCCATTTCCAGCTGGCTTTTTGTCCAGCAGACAGAGTGTGTGAAGTGCCAGAGCCGATGATCTGAATGGTGGCGAGGTCGTCATATCCCGTATTCCGGACCTATGTCCGATGATGTTCCCACACCTTCCGGACGCCTTACAGATGCACATCCGGACCTCCATACCCTTATCCATGACTCCATACCCTTATCCATGCCTTCAGTCCTCCAATCCACTATCGGTTTGGATCCGTACACCTTCGTACATCCATATATCAATACCTTCGGACCTCCGCAGCTAAGCCTGCTTCATCCACCCTTGGTCCTATCGGATCCGAGCTCATTCCATCTCGGACTCTACCTTCCCTAGACTATCGGTCTATATCCATGATCCATATCCTAGTCTCGTATTCACCTAGATCTCCGGATCCGCTCATCCGATATCCAGACGCTTCATCCGATATCTCTAGACCTCTGGATCCGACCTATACTCATATCTGAGGCCCAAACCTTAAATCAGCGCCTATCTCCTTATGGTAATCCCCTTGACTCTGGACTTCGGTTATCTGTGTTTCCGTCTTGCTTATTGATCCTTGTACTCTGTTCATATCTGAGTTCATTTACTTATGTTCCATTCATACTTACTAATATGTTTCCACATGCTCGTACATAGCATTTGTGTTCAGCTTACCGATCCTCTCAGATCCCGTCCAGTATATAAACCTCTGTACAACTCCTGTAAAGTTTCCTTAGTTCGAATATCGCCTTAGACTTTGCTCTGTATCAACATAGACTTGCTCCCTCGCATCTTAGACTTCACTCATTCTTGTCTTGGACTTTGGTCCATCCGAGTTCTGCCTTTCCATCAAGGCCTAGGGATGGATTCCCTAGGCCGGAAATCTGGACCTTCGGATTTGTCCCCTATGTCTCTGTTCTGAAGTCTAGGGATTGATTCCCTAGACCGAAGTTTTGCCTTTCCGGCACTTCCTGTCTTTCCGAGACTTCTGTCTAAACCCCGTCTATCCGACTCTACCATAAGTGTAGTCTACCTCTGTTTGTTTCTACTCCGGACCTTGTCCATAGTAGCCTTTCCCCTCCTGTCCTAATCCTGTCCGCTCCTCCGGTCCTCATAAACCTTCGGACCTTCGGACATCGTAACCTTCGGACGACATAACCTTCAGATGTCGTAACCTTCGGACGACGTAACCTTCGGACGACGTAACCTTCGGACGTCGTAACCTTCGGACGTCGTAACCTTCGGACGTCGTAACCTTCGGACGTCGTAACCTTCGGACGACGTAACCTTCGGACGACGTACCCTTCGGACGTCGTAACCTTCGGACGTCGTAACCTTCGGACGACGTAACCTTCGGACGACGTACCCTTCGGACGTCTTAACCTTCGGACCTCCAGACGTCCTGTCCTTCGGACCACTCCTCCTATCCTATCCTGCTTTGGACTCTGTCCCTTGCAGCCTTTCCTCTATGTATATGTTTCTATCTAGGGAACTTACTTTGGAAGTCTTACCTTCGGGTCTGATACAGTGGATGAAACTCCTCCGGAGTTTCCTATACTCCTCCGGAAGTTTCTCACACTCATCCGGAAGTCCTCTAGCACTCTACTAGAGTAGCCAGCCTCTGGAAGTCCTTCGGACTTTGTCGGGTTCCATCCGGACTTCATTCTGAAATTAAGGGCACGTACTCGGGTAAGGGGCACAGCGCACGAGCTGAGGCCAAGCCCTTCGGATCCGTTAACCCTTGAGCTACAGTTTTAACATCATTCCTTTCTATGACCCAGAGCCTGGTGCTCCGCCGCCCTTCCCTCTAATGCTCACAGACCAACTCGAGCTTTTTGGCAAAGATCATCATCGCCTGACTACACTGGTCGCTGACGAAATCCTAGTTCCTAAAGTTAGTATCGTTACCCCCCACTACTACAAGGACTTCATCCACACCTGCCCCCGAGTTTAAACTTGCAAAGCGGCCACTCAAGCATTCTGATCACAGTGCCTCTCCATACCTGAAGAAGGTTGCCTTTATGCATTCCCATTCTCGAACACCCATGCCCTCAGATGTGTTTTCTGACAGCGGCTCCTTGACTTCAAGCATAAATTTATCAGAAGACTCGAAAATACCTAAACCTGCCGGTGAACCTGGACGTCCAGAGCGTGGAGGGTATACACTTTATGAGTCTAGATTGGAATCCAAAGGCATATGTGAAGTTCAAGGTTCGTAAAGTGTGCCTTCAGCATTGTCGAGAAGTAACTCACGAATAACTAGAAATGTATGCATCACCTTATTGACGACCACCTTGACACGTCGAAATGTGCTTCTGGCCAAAGTCCTGCGGTCTTACAAACTGTGCACAACAAGGTGAGCAGTCTTCATCTCTTGACATTATTGATGATCTCATGGTATCTTAGGCTCTCGACGAATTCCCAGACCTCAAAAACTATAGCAACCTATGGCCAGTCAATGATATGATGATGACGCGCCTGAAATACATGTCCTCTCACACTCGACGAAAAGACGGAGAGATGGCTTTAGGCAAGAGCAGGAGCAGGAGCACAAAGTGACAATCAGAGGTGGGTTTAAACTCCAGTTTTGCTACTACTAAGGCATGACTGATACCCCTACAGCAGCCTTTGAACCATGTGCTTTCGCTCTTGCTCTCGAGACTCACAACTATCTATAGTAGACGTAGACATGGATACACATGTATTTGAATTCTGCATCACATATATAATTACACAAGCATTGATGAAATAAAATACCATCTTCGTGCATTTCCCATGAAAATGAAGACAGATGGGAGATCTGACACCGTCTTCTGGATTAAGAGAGATGGGCGGTTAAATGTTGAAGGCACGCCCATACTGATGGCTGATCTACATGAGTGGTGACCACTCGTGAATACTATCATAATGGAGGTTGCTGATTCCACAGGATCAAATGTTCATAGACAATAAATTTAAAATGACTTCATTAGGAGGTTTTGCCCCGCTGTGCTAATAACAATACATTTGCAGTCCAGCTGAAAATATTATGCTGCTCTACACTTTGCCACTAATCGAAGGTTATTACAAGTGCTCAGAGGTTTCACAAGAGTGAGATCGCGTGGGAGCCTAGCTCTTGGACAACAGCTTATGCTCTTTGCGAAGCTAACAAATAAACAAATAGTTAATGTAGGCTTGATAAACTGTTGAGTTAACCAACTCACTGGTGGATTATGAAGTCGGCAAGTGCATTGTCTCTCCCTCGCATATTCACAACAGAAGAGTTTTTAACTCCAATCCTTGTGACTACTGCGTTACCTCGGAATTGACGATTACCACTGCTGAGGAGTGAGTTGGCTCTTAGATGAAGATGCTGCTTGAAGAATACACAGAATCGGTAGGTGTGTCTCCCTTCGTACATGGTGATGAAGCAGTTGTGAACATAAGGTTGCACAGTAGCTTCCTCAAAGAGGCTTTCAGGAACTGGAAAGCGCTGAGCACTGCACAAGTAACCGGAGCATGGTGTCAACATCATGGCCTGACGAGGTCTGTTCCATGATGTAGAATACAACCTGCACTGCAGGTGAAGCTCAGGGGTCTAATCTGAAGGTAAACAAGGGTGCGAGAAAGAGGGGGATAACTTACGGAAGATGTCGGAAGGATATATGTGCGAGTGTTCACCATACTGATAGATACAAGAAGTAGGCAAGGTGATGAAAGTGGGCAACGAAGGCTATGGTAGTCCAGATTTTAAATTCAAGAGGTTAATCGCCAAGACCATAACCATAATGCATTTCTTGTTCGGGAACATAGTTGTTGACAACAGCGGGGAGCCAAACTAGTGAAGCATGACAATAGTATCTGAAATATACTTTTGTTAATACTGCAGTATGGTGAGGGTAATTGTATGAACAGGTCTTAGAGCTGCAGTGTGCATTGGCAAGGCTGCAGCACAGGTTGAAGGGAATTGTACGAACCTCCATAGGGTAAAGCTGCAGCGTTGCGCGTTGGCAAGGGTAATTGTGCAAACTTCCGTAAGGTTTGTAATGCTGCAGCACAAGTTGGTAAAGGTAATTGCAGTGTCGCGAAGGGCAATTATACAGTATTGTATCTGAGATTGTTACTTGAAAACAAAAGTTCAGAAGCGGGAAGACTTTGATAACAAATGAGAGGATAAATATGCCATGAGTGGGTGACTACAGCAGGTCACCTTTATCCGCAACAATGCCTCTCTTTGCCACAGTTTTCAAGAAGTCGACACAGCCGCAGTGTTACAAGACGCTCACTCGTTTAACCACATACAGTGGTTCCATTCATGCACTTGCCATTTCTAATGATGGGCGTATTCTTGCAGGTGGTGGTAAGTAAGCAGGGACTCAGCCACAGCTAGTGCTAAACACAAGTAGGCACGAAGGGCATGAAGCTCTGGGATATTAATTCTCGCAAGGAACTCCCATGTTCGTCTCATCATGAATACAGGGGAATGGTTAGTTGTGCAGTCTGGGCCACAACGAGGCAAACCGCAGCCGCAGTAGAGACCCTCTGTTACGGAACAGGCCTGGGTTATATCACATTTTTGCGACGTGGTCACATAGATGTAAGCGCCCAGCCATGTCAATTGACTTTCTGTTAACGATTATAGAACAATTTTCAGGAGATTTGCGCAAGGAGACTTGGATCAGGTTTTGAGATTACTTGCCTGTCATGTCATCCAACTTCTTCTGAAGGCAACATACGAATTGCAGTTGGAACAAGAGACAAGATGGTATAAGTTCTCATGCTCAATATGAGCGCGCAGCTCCAGTCTGTCTTCGCAGTGCAGCTTGAAAATACAGTACCCAAGTCTGTAGCATTTGTGGATAACAGAACCATCTACATCTTCGGGCTGTATGACGGCAAATTGTGAGTCCCGCTAGTAACTGCAAAACTTTTTCCTGATACTCATGATCAAACAGCATGAAACTGGAGGAAGAAGATGGTACTATAGTGGAGGAGATTAGCTGCAAATCAATGATGTAAGCTGCCACTGCTCTCGACATGCACATTACTGACATTATTCAGTTGGACATCGCATAGCGCTATCGCATAAAACAACTTGCATAACGCTTCTCACTTATATGCACATTTCTCTGTCGGAACTCACTTGTTGCTGATCGCTATAGCGCTACTCATCAGTTTTTGGTCTTAGGTCGCTATAGGTTTTTAGTCCTTCGCACTATCACTTCCCTTGCATATTAGTAGGGAGTTGCTTCAATAGCAGTCCTCTTGGGTCGAATACTACACTCACGTCTATTTGGATAAGTAGCGCTAGTTTCTAACAGCCTGTTACAGTCTATGTACACCCCTATTCATTTTCTCTTCTTACATTGTATTACGTCACGATCGCTATCAAGCCGTCGCTAGACTTATCTCTGACTCATTGTATTACATCATGATTGCTATCTAGCCGTCGCTAGATGACTCATCTCTTATCTCTGACTCATTCTGATTCATCGATACCTGCCCTAAAGCAGTTACCGTTCACTATATAAACCCATTCTGTACATTGTATTTCTTTACTTTAATCTTACTAGGTTTTACCTGGAACTTCCTTTGCTTAAGACCTCCACTCTTAAGACGTCTGAATCAGATTCAAGTCAAGGACACTCTCCTTGTCTTGTCTTATGAACTCTTGTATACGCAAGAGTCTTGACTCGACCTTAGCCGAATACTCTTATTGAGTAGCTATTGTCGGAACTATCCTAGTTCATAACACAGCCTAGTCGCTATTTCTCTTTCACACCAGTGACGGGATCATCCAGAGAGAGAGCTGTGAACTTGAATAGGCCAGCCAGTCGGTTGCTACTTTGGCTGTGTATGAATTCATAAACCATAGTCACGGCTGCGCGGACTTTAGCTTCATCCACAAAAACACTGATTACTGATAACTCAAACAGGGCATCAGCAGTGATTTTCCAGGCAACTCCATGATATCCCAGACTTTCCTGTATGGTGGCTAACATGACATTGACACAAGAGATAGAAGACTGCTCAGCTCGAGCAACGAAGCTGGTAAGCTGCTCATGCCGGGCTAGGTCAAGGTGGGTCTGCGCAACAGATAATAGGACACCAGCTTCAGTGGGATGAACGTCCAGTATGGATTGGAGAGAGGCAACAGCTTCTGCAAGCCTTCCCGCTTGTTGTTGGACTTCCCTTGTGAAGTATGCGCACTTCCAATTGTCCAGTCGAAGCTCGTGAACTTGACCAAGTGCCCTAAGAGCAGCAACTTAACGACCCGGCTTCACTGTAGGCTTAACCAAGTCTCAGCCATGAAGGTTGGACATCGATGTTCGCTTGGAGTTGCCACTTGAAAGGCCTTGATGGACTCCACACAGTTCCTCCTTATCTGTGCCCAATAAAGTTACATAGATCAGAAATAAACATCATAAGTACGATCTTTTACCAGCTCCACAACACCAAGAGCCTTCCATGCCCCCACTCGTTTGTCAGAAGATACTTTCTCGAAGTTGCGCAATATCCTTCTTCCATACCTGCACCCATCCTGCCTTCACCATCTATAGTACGCCGAGCCACCACCTCGACCAGATCCAATCCATGCTCATCACCAAACCCTTCCATGGGGCACCTTGCAACCTCTGCTTCACAGGCATCAACTTTGAATGCTTTCTGGAAACACTTTGAAGCCCGCGTAGGTCGGGTGGTGACACGTGTTTTGAGTAGTATACACCTAGTGAAGTGTATGCCGGCACATACTCGCGATTGTGTTTGAGCGATGTGATGAGGATTTGAAGGCTTCCTTGTGGGGACTCTCCTGCAATAGGGATCAGTAATGTGAGGCAAAAGGTGTGGATCATTCACCTCCTAAATCCCAGTAGCATCTCCCAATCCGCCACAGGCGCCGAGCTCTATCAATGTCACCACAATCCTTGATATCCTTCAAGGTCTCAAAGACCTCTTTCAAAGCATCTACACCAGGATCTGCATGCATCCGACTGAGGCACTATGCACTCTCCTCTTTTGCTCCCATGCCTTTGTCCATAATATCATCAGGTAGCTGCTTCCCCACTTGCACAAATAGTTTGTCTGCCTTTTCCTGTTTTTTCAGCATATTGTAATACATACGCCTTCCCCATCAATTCATCCATGTCGGTGGGATTTTGTCGCAGGGACGACGTTCAATAATAAAGAGCACGAGGGTGGTGCTTAGGAGGAAATAGATGAATGAAGGATGTGGCCAGAACAATGCAAGAGGCCCTATGCACTCTAAATGGATGACAAATTGTCACTGCAGTTTCGAGGTTCTAATTATTTCCACCTACTCTCGCGGTTTGCGGTTCACGGTCTGTGTTTGGCTCATACCTGTGTATTAATTCCAGTTCATTTTCAATGACTTTGATGGCATCTGTGTATTCGAGTTCCTGTAGTTGAACTCGAGCTGTGATCATGTTTGCTGGGCCACAATGAGTCCAGGAGTACTGAAAAGGCATCCTGAAGAGAGATGTCAGTGATATCTTCTGGGGCATGATTCATGAACACTTGAGATTATGCAAGGCCAAAGACCTTCTACTAGGGAGCCCAATTCAGTAATGGTAGACAAATTTATGATGCACCCAGTACCAACTGTATCAGAATCTCTTCCTTCAAACCACATGCACCAAGCAGCCTCATCCAGAATGCCAATCATCACAATATCGTGGAACCATCTCATCCAGCAGCATGCTAACCTGTGGGTCAGTAGAGGAGAGTGCCAGGAACGATTGTTGTTTATATTGAATGAGTTTTGATTATGTGGTGCGCTGTGGTTCATCTGAGGTGTACTGGGGGTGATTAGGAATATCATTGTATAAGGTTGGAAGCCGCAAGGTGAAGATTAACTTGCGACCAGAGTGTTCACAAGGCTGCTTTACCTTTGATGAGTGCCAAACCTCGATGCCAATATCTTTCTGAATTGCTCAGGCTTAGAGAACATCAAGCCACTCCTCACATTCGCAGGCTTAGTGATTGCCACATGGGTCTTGTCCCAACACAAAGTGGGACGAGGAAACTGTTTTCGATTTGCGGTCCAGCTATCTTGACTAGCATGGTCTTGAGTGGATATCGATATCCTCTTACATGAAGCTGTCGCCCCAGACAGGTCAGATGGCTCGAAGCATTGAGTGAATTTGACTTCAACATGATCTACATACCTGGTGCTGAGAACACCCTCGTGGACATATAGTAACGAGCCTAAAGGCACAGTTAGATCTGTGAGTGAATATGTAAGTGCCGAGGATGACGACTCACCTCATGGCCTCCTGCTGAATTTCATATCAGCTCCTATGTATAGCGGGACTCCTTTGTTCCTGGGCGCGACTAAGCATGACATCTGCGCAGATTGCCACTTGGCGTGTAATTGGGTGAACAATCACCTACCCACAGGACTGGTGCATCAGAGGCCGCAGTTTATACCATGAGGACGGATGGATGTGGCACTCGTCAGGCAACGCCAAATGAAGTGCCATGTACCTTGGGGGCCATGAGGGTCCAACATCTCAGAGCCTGACCAAAGATGTGCCTGTGACTCCCGGAGATAAGCAGAATCGGACTTGACAGCACTCACCATGAACATGCCAAGCTCTGCTGATGCAGCATCACCTAAGGGCCAATCCAACAATAAATGGGGTTATCCTGAACTTAGGGAAGCCGTCAGCCTCCTGGATGGCGAATAGTGAGAAAACAAAAGGCTCACCAAGAACACCTAGTCCTACCCCATGATGTCGGCCCCCAAGTCAAAGGCCACAACCGTGCTAAACGACAAGAGCAGTGAGAATGTTCAATGCTGAAAGTGATAAGTCCTGGCAGTCGAGGTAAAATCACATGACAAATGACATAAACGCGGTCCTGAAGAATCGCTACTTAGTACTTAGTACTTCTACTACTACTACTACTACTACTACTACTACTACTACTACTACTACTACTACTACTACTACTACTACTACTACTACTACTTAGGTAGTACTAGGGATGCCTCCTCACCTCACTGAAATCATCTCTTAATGGGCAGGATAATTGGACAAGCATACTCAAGGTTCAGCAGTCTTGTCATTCCAGCCTGCCTGAAACCTGTTTGTTTAGGTCCCTTTGCCACCTGTGGCTGATGCACACAGCATGACTAATATTATGCCTCACACTATTCTCATTGCCACCTCAGGCTTTAGTGGAGTCAACGGTCTATGTCTAGCGAGACTTGGTGAGAAGGTCTTTTTACCTCTTCTCACTCAATGTTCAATGTCCGAGTCTGCGTCCTCTGATTCAAGATGTAAATGCTAGAATTTGTTCCACATTTGGAGGTGAATGACTCACCAACTAGCCAAATTTAGCAAGAGATTCATTGATGCCCGGATCAGGCGCGTACTGTGGTTTTTGCTGATACATTAATTTGTCGCTATCAATGCACTAATAAACATGTGTAGTGTCACTACTAGTAGAAGAAGGCCAGGGATTATCCAGAAAGACACATCTGATAATGCTCTGGGTATTCCCTTATTCTATGAGACATTGAATGTCCTTGACATCTGATCAGCTGTTGACCTCACTTTGTGTCATCTGCACTCATTGCTCACCTAATCACATGTTGTATTGTGTTCATACCCACTGAACTGCGTGCGGACTCCATTACTGTCCTTATAAATGGTACCACCACTCGGTCTGTCTCTCAGGTCACCTCCCACTCAGCCTCAACACTTGTCCTTATGGCTCAATACGCTGCTGACAGGTAAGCTGTTGAGTGCGAGTATATACGGCATTTTCTAATGTCCGAGCGCTCCGGCACATCAGTACCACCAACGACGATTCTGATATTCTAGATGACAGATTGCTGTCTAATGCAATAGAACGAAAGCAGTCCATTTAATCTTGATGATGTCCCTTCAGCTGTGGAATCCAACAATCCTGTACCGCAGGAAGAGGTGTTTCACAGCATGTTTATTGCCTGTGAAGGCCAGGAGACAACTGGCCATACTTTGGAACAGACTCCTGTATACCTTACCTCTGTCAGCCTTCAAGAAAGTCTTTCACAAGAAGGACAAGGCAACTGCAGCAAGTTTATTACTGCGTCACACTAATCTCCGCGTTGATCCTCATCTCACATTTGCCCCCGATCACCCCAGTCTGTTGTGTGATGCATCGAAACATTTCCTTGACTTTGTCCTTGTCATATCAGGTGCAATTGGCTTGCATGAATTCCTCCTGAACACTCTTTCTGACCACACCCTTTCCGTCTCTCTGGATTTCTGCCTCAATAACAAACAGTTCAAACCCAAGTTCGGCAAGCATGGTTTTGACCCTACAGGCTCGATGATGGCAATCGGGACTGGCGTTTCATGTGAGCTGTGGTTGGGGATTTTGTCCCTTGACACACATCGAGGATATTTTTCTTGCAGATGAGGCTCCTTTGCTAATGAAAGAAACATGGTGAGACACATCTGTCATCCCTTCACTATCACATGGCTGTGATATTTATTGCCTCAACATTGGCACAAATATCATCCCTACCTATCCATATCATGCATACATACGGAACCAACGAGGATTTTATGCAGTGGAGAGTCAAGGAGGGTCACGAATCTGTAGTAAGTCTCCAGTGTGACACACCCCTGCCATGAGTTTCAGTGGCTAATTGAAGGTTTCCCTTTCAGTGATCAGCTGATCATCAACCTCCGTTTGGAGTTGAAGGCCCTCCACAGATACATCGTATCAGATTGGGATGAATGGGTTCACAAAGCGCCAGCATCTTGGAAGGATGACGGTTGGCTCCAATCCTGTGCACCTTTATCCATAGCATGCAGGTATGGGCAAAACCAAGCAATTGCGAGCTTGGATCCGGCTGCTCAAGGCATTGAAGAGGCAAACTGGCAAGTGGAGCGCGAATATTCCGACATTCGCTATATGTCCATGGCTATTGCCACGGATCTCACGTGTGTACCGTTCATCCTTTACTGTGACCCGCTCTCTGACTTGATAACTACCGACCATTGTCACCAGCTGTAAACCAGTGTCTCGGTGGGGTGCAAATACCTGAGGATGAGTTGTTGGGAGCCCACAACATCATATATGACTCCCCAAACTCATCCTTCTGGCAGCCAGTGAATTTGGAGGACTTCCCTGCCTGAGGTCCTGACACAAATAAAGAAAATAACATCTACGACAAAGATGATCATCGAATTCCCCACTTTGATGGTCTCTGCAGCCATAATGTAAAATCTTGCGGTGTTCTTGTCAACCTCGAGATTATCGCAGAGTTGTTTTCTGCAATGATTACCAATGATGACATGGCCCTCAATCCTGATATCATCATGGACGATGGATGACAATCTCCATATTCCTCGCGTCAATGTCTATCCTCAAGCTTTCCTGAGGAAGTATGGTCATATCCAATGCAATGCAGTCTTACCCCATTTCGCTCCATTCACGTCAAAAATTTGTAAGGCCGTTTCTCACGACACAATTGGTCGAGATGAATTTGATGACCACACTTTGGATGACGACCTTGACTATTTGAACAATTTTCAGAAGCTCATGCCAACTGTACTCTTGGCTAGCGGTTGCCAGTTCTACAATGAGATCTCGCATTGCATCAGGCTGTCCGCCGCCTTACACAATATTCAGAAAGGTCACATCACTTCTGCCCTCTTGGGTGCTTATGCCACTACATGCAACACTCAGACCACGCATATGATGGTTCTTAGAGAGTGTAGTCTGCTCTTGCCTCACCAATGTTACAATAACAAAATCGATGTAAATGATGTTCCCCGTGCGTTGCATCTGGAGAACATATATATCTTCCAGTTAGACTCCTTGAAGTTGGCGAAGCAGAATGGATTGTGAGTCGTTAATGTCTAGGTCTTCGATTCAACTGACATAATGCATCTTGCCCAAGATCAATATATCGAGACATGGTTGTACCCTTGGCAAGTTACTGGTCGCATCCCACCATCTTCGAGGCCATTCGCCCACACCTGTTTGTGTTGACCGCTGAAGTACGCCGCTGTTATACATCATATGAATGAAGTCTCACCATCCTTCTTTGCAGGCATTTCCCCATGTTTATCAATGGACCACCTATCCAATCACGTCCCTGCTCGAATGTATATGGGAACATTTCCTGCCTGTCCTCACCAAAGGTGGTGAACCTGCCCCTCAAGTCATTGAATTATGCTCCATCCTTGAATGCACGTTGGCATATGCTCATACTGGAAACTCAAAAGTAATCGCTACAAGTCTCATGAGGCCTTTGTGGTTGGTAAAGAGTCTCTTGGAACAAGGTCTTCCAACCTTCACCCCCTCAGTGCAATTTTCCCACACTCCATGCGTTCCTGTTGCCATCAGTCCTTCAGAGTGGCCCACCCTCACCAACATGAATGTCCCGACCATCACATCCAAGCGCTCACAAATATTGACGTATGGGAATGATCATTTTGAGGCATGCATCGTCTCATTCCGTCTCTGTCCTGTCATTAATCGAGTTCCTCTCCTAGGCATATAAGGCAGAGTTTCATATACAGCTCTCGGTCAATCAGCTGGCGCCCAATACCTTTAAGCCATACACTAGCAATGTCCATCATGCAGCCATCATCGCAGTGGTCGCCCTTCAAGTGTACATAGCTGATGTCAAGACACTTGTTGCAGGGGCTGTCACCACTGCATGCAATGCCATGGAGGCAGAAGATGCCATTGATGGGGAACTCCATGCATCGCAGCGGCACAGAGGACTTTGCAAATGGCTTGCAACCGCTCATTCTCTTGGTCATGTTGATAAGGCATATGAACATTTAGTGTCCTGCGTGCTTTCCAAATCCACTGCCCACCACAAGGGATTGCCAAATCCAACCAAGGACAAACTCTCCATCCAAGACTTTGCTTGCCTCATTTGTGAGATGTCTCGAGGGACCGACCCTGTCACCATTGCCACTCCTCTCATCTTCAATGGGGTTTCAACTCCTGTCTTTCGCATCACTCTAACATATATGCGCAAATATGCCCCGCAGGATTCTACACAGTCTTCAGAGAGGTTCTTGCAGGAAGCATTCATCATCACCACCAATCATCTTCATATCAACAATATCCCCTGGCATGGTGCAGCAGGACTGTGTGGCAGACGGCGTCAGAAGCCTGTCTTTGATTCCTGGGTCAATCTAGGAAAGGCCATTGACTCACAAGCTATTGAGTGTCATCATACCCAGTTGAGCAATGCTGCGGCCAATGCATCTCGATGCGCCCAGGTCACAGATACCAGGACAGCTTGGTCTGCTGAGTTGATCACCTTGCAGTCATTGGCCGATTACATCCTTCGCTCTCGTCTCCCTGATGAACTCGCGATTGAGAGCATTGAGCTCCCAAGAGGCCCAACAGCTGGCAGCAAGCCTAGCGTGAGTATGATCTATGAGTGGGTTTTTGCAAACTTCGACATCGATAAACCTCTGCATCAGATCGCACTCACTGCCGGTATTTATGTCAGCCAGATTCTTCCTGATTTATTCTTCACCGACAGCGATAAATCACAAGGGAATGTGACCAATCCTGTCATGCTCACAAAGGCAATACGCGCTCTCCCATGGAAGCCACACCGCCGCAGTCACAAAGGGTGCAGACTGCCAAGCCAGTTCATCGCCATGGTGCCTGCCTATATAATCGCAGTGTACGCCCCAACAAGCCCCTTGCGCATTCATTTGAAAAGTGGTAATAGCTTCCCCACCATCTGGAATTCGAAGAACATTGCAAAAGGGATCGGGCCACTCCTTCTTGTGCGACTAGGCCTTGCAAGTGCCTTATCGCACAGAATTTGGAAAGGTGGGCTGCCTTTGGTGCATTGGATGTTGCTCTCTCCGGAGGATATAACCGTCAAACATCGGGAGATCAGTGCGTGTTTGGCTGATCGCCACTACGGTCCCTTCCACATTGCAGTTATGTTTGTTTGGCATTGATAAAGCTGTCAACCTTGGGCGCACATCTTAGACATACACCATCAATCCTGCTATTGCGTCCATCAGGGCCAAAAAGCACATGTTGAAGGTCGATTCTTATGACGACAAGGTTGAGATTGTGCAGGTGAAGACAGTGAAATTTGCTCATTTGCACTGGTGCTGTAATAATCATGTATGCTACACCGTGAATTCAAACAACTGTCCGAGACTCTGAGGCCTTGTAGTTGAGACTCAAGAGACAATCACATTGAACACACTCGAACATTGAATCTCACCATGTGAAGCATAGAGTTCTTTGATATTTGCGACAAAGGACCAGGAACTAAAGCCCCAAGCTTGGTCGTCTTTACTATCTCTTTGATAATCAATTCACTCTTCATATTGGCATTCACTTTGTGTTTCTGTACTTCAGTGAGTAAATGAACCTGAATAAGTAATCCAAATTATACTTTTGCGACCTTTTGCAGCTGTACGTGGGTGAGCTGGCGAAGGGTAGCTTCATTGGTGTCGCTTGACGATGGAGAAGACATTTCGTCATTGGATGTATCTGACATTGGCTGATTAACGGTCTTTCGTTTTGTGCAGTGTAGGATTTAATGCATCATGTTCCTCACTTCAAGGTACATGCAGAGGTCAATCAGTCAAGCCGAGATCCCAGATAGAGATCAATAGAGACAAACAACCAAGTACGACATACTCAATATTTTGGTCATTGACGGTCTGGATATTGGTGCTCAATGACACTGACTTTGATGCAGCTCTGGTTAGTACTAATGATGGCAGAAATAACATTATGGTGTCTGCGTTCTATCAGGTTCTTACCTTGTGTTTTGCTTGTCTTCTCGTACTCACTGCCGTTGTCTTGTCCAGAGTCAAAACCAATCTTTGACATCCAATGCTATTCATCATGATAGTACATGGCCTCGCAAATGTGCGAACCTCAATAGCCACATGGCAATAGCTGGATGGATTTAGCAGTCTCAATGATTTAAAACACTGTAGGCGTTATGCTGTAATGAGAACTCATGTCACCATCATCGCAAACTATCAACAGCGCACCGCAATTTATTTTTATTATTGGGGTGTCAGACAGTCGCGATGGTCACGTGAATGTGTTGTGTTGTTTATGACCACAGGTCATGCTACATTTATATGACCTTGCTCCGCAAGGTAATATCACCATCACAATGATACACTCGCGCTTATTAGTCAGCGAGGGCGTTTAAATTGTGGCATATAAATACAAACAGTCAGGGGAAAAGACTACAGATGCGGCAGTCAACTATGAACAATGCGAATGATTTCTATGATGCAACTACATGTATCTATACAGCGTGACTCGCTCGAGTTGAGATTCAAAATGCGTGAACTGATTCAAGTACATGATCCCTGTTAAGACTTCTTGATTTTGTACCTAGAGCAGGGAAGCGCCGATGTGCACGCACGCTTGCGCTTGGAGGTTGCAATGACCACTGGCTCTTCTCCCTCATCTGCCTGCTCCGAATCTACATAAGAGGAATCAGCACTCCCTGTGCCGAAATGCTTTTTGTGCCAGGCGAGATATCACTTGTGGGCGGTGACATCCAAAGCACCAAAGAGTCGTTTTGAGACAAGGCACCAGTTGGTGCGACACCTGACTTCACTTTCTGCGAGAGCAGTGCAGTTGATGCTAGGCTCAAGCTCCTTCTGGAAAGCGACGAAAGAATCCCTAACCTTAGTCAACCCTCATTCAAGCATCTCTGTGACAGTGTCCATGTCTATCTCGGGCATTACTATCTGCATTAAATTTGTGACATCGAATCGAAAGCGTGAAATCGATAAAGACACTTACCCCGTATGCCATGTCCTCTGGATCTTGAGAATGGACATCAATCAGCGATCCATCATCTTTCTTCACCCAAACAAAATATTCAACGGAAGAGAGGTGGCACCAGGTGTTATCGCTGATTATGGTGGGCTCACCGAATGAACGTAGCGTGGTGTGTAGATTGATGAACTGCTTCAGTGTAAGGGGTTTCGGATCACTGTCAGTGCTGCCACATAGGGCTGTTGGGACAGTGGAATCACAATAATCGGGGGTGGCATATTCTCTAGCTTCATGAACTAGAACAACAGCGATGCAGATGACGTCCGGATACGCTAAGATGATATCTTCTGCTTTTTCAAATACATGTTCATCGGTCTCTGAGAGTGCACACTCCACAATGAAGGGGATCAGCACGACTTCCGTGGGTCCCTCCACAGCGGTGACAGTTATCGCCATATCAGGCATAACGGTGAAGGATCTTCAACTCAGCTGAGGGTGCAGCTGATATAATTGTTGAAGGGAGGAAAATATGAGTGCGATATGTTCGTCCCTTAGGGGAAGCAGAGAAAGCAAATATCCACTGGTCAACTCTAGGGGGAATGCGCAAAGCGCGGGAACAAAGGCGCTATAGGCGCGCGAAGCGCGGGATAGTCGCACGTCGAAAAGCGGAACTGGGTGAAAGCGGTATGCGAGCGATAGTGAGATGTTAAGACGTGTACTGAGATGCTGATAAGACAACTGATGCGGATATGGCCACTAGAGCTAACTGCTACTAGGGCTTGCGATGATTTATTCAAAACATAATAAAAACTCGGAGATGGTGACTGTCTATGATGATGGTGGTCCGTGGTAATGTGTGTTGTGTGTAAAGTAAAAAATGTGTAATGAAAAATGTGTACCAAGTGAAAATAAACATGGTACGATGTTGAAATAAATGATAAATGGAGAAATGCATACCTGGGAACTTGGTTGGACATGGGAAAACACAGTGGGAAGTCAGGTGCCCTATAGCGCTTAGGCGCGGGAAAGTTCGCCTAAAGCGCGCGCAAGTCGCGGAAGTGTCGCCTATGTCGCGTGCGTCGCGCGAACGTCGCGTTTATTGCGCAAGTGTCGCGTTGCATGCATATTACTGTAGACTCGACCTATGTTGCAATATATGCCATTGTGAGGCTACTCAGGATCGAGTCTCTACAACGGAGCCATCAGCGATCTCCAGCATCAAAGATGTATCAAGCATTGGGCAGATAATTTCGGGGTCATAGGGAAGATCATGGATACAATCACTGACGAAAATCCTCACATTGTCGAAGGACACTTGATGGAGTACAGTGGGCATGTTGACGATGAGGACGTGCATGTTGTAATCCTAAGCCAGCCTTCGGGACAAGTTCAGCATTGCCTGAAACAGTTGAATGTAATGACTCGCCTAGGCTTCGTCGATACCTGGCCCATTTCTTCCACCATGCCTGGTATAACTTTGAATTCTCGCGCTCCAACACCGTGGAATTCCTGTGATATTTGGTAAGCATATGAACACAGCACAATTGAATGACTCAAGGCTCAAGAGACATACCATGCGGGACATGTGCAAAGTTGGTTTGGATAAATAATTCAATACCTTGCGGACATCTTCAATCCCATCAGAATATTTGTCAATTAAACCCTTAATTTTCATTGAATATACTGCAGGTAGTGCAGGGACCTCAGGTTGTATAACTGGTTTGTTCTCTGATGCCTCCTCTTTCCCAAGCAAGGATAGTTTGTTGGATATTACATCTTGTTCAGTACTGGGTCCTGATGGTAAACCTGGGGATGCTGGTTTTATGAATTGTGTTGCCTTGTGGGTAGCAGCCTGTGTGGAGTTGCTTCTGGTTTCATGGTGTCTGTAAGAGTGTTTAGGGGGGAAAGGAATGCTATAGGTATTTTTGTCAGGTTGTGCCACTAGTGTAGACATGCCTGTTAAATGCTGAGCGCTGCACTTCAGTCAACCATTTGAAAAGACCTCTTAGGTCTAAATGTTTGTGGCTAGCAAAGGACCTAGTAGGTGTGCTTTAGGATGGTATTCCTGATAATTTACCCTATATACTGGGATGTCCCAGACCACACTGGACCAAGTATCTGGGCTATCCCCAGTACCTATTTGTAATCTTTCCCAATCCCATCTGGGATCAATTTAGCATTTATCTGGGACATCCCTGTGCATCTATTGTGTGGGCTTTCCCATCATAAATAAGAGTGACAGGGGTCCATTTTGAAACATTTTGGGACTTTGAAATATGCAATTTGTACATTGATTGGAGCAAGAAGTAGTAGGTATATATGTATGTGTATGTATAACAATTGAACAATAGGATGCCACAATAGCAAAGAGAAGACACTTATATTTTCTTAACACAATCACATTGAAGGATTGACATGATGTGATTATACAAAAGTCTATATAGAATTATAGGACATTTTTTAAGCTCCCCACAAGGCAAACTAAGGGAGGAGAATTCCCTCAAAATAATAGTGTTGAAAATTGCAAAACATCTTTATTTTTTCAACCCCATAATTAAGATAATTTGCAGCACAAATTTTCCCAAACTGTTTAAAATTATATAAAGAGCTGACTCACTTAATTGAAACTTAGATAGTAAGGGGATCATATGTGGGAAAGCCCAGATACTCATGGAATGCCAGGTGGGAGAGCCCAGATACTCATGGAAGGCCAAGTGGGGGAGCCCAGATGGTGACAACATGGTAGGTGGGATAGCCTGGATAGTGATGACATCAAAACAGTGTTACTTACTACTGAACAGATATAAAAAAATGTCTCTGAATTTAAACTTTTAGTATTTTTTAATGCACAATAATTTACTGTAGTCTTTTGGAGCTCTATTTCATTTCATATAGCTGTGATAAAATGTTGCAAAATATGGTATTGCCAAATCAGTGTACAAGGTCATAGTCACAGTAGGCCATCATAAAAAAATGTCTCATGCACAACTGTACTAATGCAATCAATTTGATGGCCTACTGTGACTATGACCTTGTACACTGATTTGGCAATACCATATTTTGCAACATTTTATCACAGCTATATGAAATGAAATAGAGCTCCAAAAGACTACAGTAAATTATTGTGCATTAAAAAATACTAAAAGTTTAAATTCAGAGACATTTTTTTATATCTGTTCAGTAGTAAGTAACACTGTTTTGATGTCATCACTATCCAGGCTATCCCACCTACCATGTTGTCACCATCTGGGCTCCCCCACTTGGCCTTCCATGAGTATCTGGGCTCTCCCACCTGGCATTCCATGAGTATCTGGGCTTTCCCACATATGATCCCCTTACTATCTAAGTTTCAATTAAGTGAGTCAGCTCTTTATATAATTTTAAACAGTTTGGGAAAATTTGTGCTGCAAATTATCTTAATTATGGGGTTGAAAAAATAAAGATGTTTTGCAATTTTCAACACTATTATTTTGAGGGAATTCTCCTCCCTTAGTTTGCCTTGTGGGGAGCTTAAAAAATGTCCTATAATTCTATATAGACTTTTGTATAATCACATCATGTCAATCCTTCAATGTGATTGTGTTAAGAAAATATAAGTGTCTTCTCTTTGCTATTGTGGCATCCTATTGTTCAATTGTTATACATACACATACATATATACCTACTACTTCTTGCTCCAATCAATGTACAAATTGCATATTTCAAAGTCCCAAAATGTTTCAAAATGGACCCCTGTCACTCTTATTTATGATGGGAAAGCCCACACAATAGATGCACAGGGATGTCCCAGATAAATGCTAAATTGATCCCAGATGGGATTGGGAATGTCCCAGACCACACTGGACCAAGTATCTGGGCTATCCCCAGTACCTATTTGTAATCTTTCCCATGCAGCGGTGCACCAAAAGCGTGGGGTTTTCATCGTAGACAACACAACTGATGGCTTTACATTGTATCGCCTCAAAGGCAAGGGGGAGCCCCTTTGAACATTCATGACTGCTTTGCCAAGCATGTCAGTCCCAAAGCAAGTGGTGTTTGGAGAAGAAGGCAAGGTAGTTGTAGGAGGAAGTGATAATGGTGTGACAATCATACCAGCGCTAGGTGCGTATGAGTGCCATAGGCATATTTTGCCTTGCATAGAGGAAAAGAGTCAGGCGCTAGTCATCAGCGCTATTCAACTCCCAAGCTATCCGCTTTGGAACCGCTTTCTCCCATTGCGCGCTGCCCAGCCCGACACCTAGGTATCCCGTCCTCCCATGTCCTGCCTATGTCCACCTACCTCCACTGGTGCATTATTTTTCCTTAAATGTCGCTACTCATCAGTTGCAGGTCTTATTACATGCATCCTCGTGTTCCACTGCGCTGCATGTCTTATTACCTGTCGCTACATCGTGCCTCCATCAGTGTCGCTACTATTCTCGCCTATGCATTCCCGAACTTTTACGCAGTATGATAAATGACCCGTCGCACATACAGTACAGTACTTCTCTTCCCCAGACCTTTGCTGGTGTCAGAGTCACTTTAGTCGCTATATCTTAGTTTTGGTCCAATCGATTCCGCTCTTGCCAATCTCTCTGATCGCGTGTCGCTTGACTTGCTTTGAGTGCGCATCGCTAAAGTTGCCTCATAAGTTTGATCTTCACAACGTCGGGATCGCTATTGGTAGTCGAGCTATAATCTAGTCGCTATCAGGCATTCCACTTGCACTATCATACCTTATCCCTCGCTTTCCCTTCTTTTGATTTCTTCTCGCTGTCGCTAGTCGGACGTCGCATAGGACAACTTGCATAGCACTACTTACTTATACGCATGTTTCTCTGTCGGAACTCACTTGTCGCTAGTCGCTGATCGCTACAGCGCTACTTATTGGTTTTTGGTCTTAGGTCGCTATAGGTTATTAGTCCTTCGCAACATCGCTGCCCTTGCATATTTGAAGGGAGTTGCTTCAATAGCAGTTCTCTTGGGTCGAATATTACACTCACGCCTATTTGGATAAGTAGCGCTAGTTTCTAACCAGCCTAGTCGCTATTACTCTTTCACAACTGGAGCCCACCGCGAGAATTTCTTGTTTCTAGGCTCTCTATGCTCACCAACCATCCCACAAATTCGCCTCTTAACCAACCACAGTCACTCCTTTATCAGTTTCTCCCACTTCCCCCTGTTTTCACCATCTTCTCCTGCTCCCTCAGCAGTGATAAGGCGATTTCTCATGCATTTTTGGAGCGGACCTCTCGCATTTCAAGGTGACCCACCGGGAGTTTATGGTTGGGGAAGGGCTAGATTCCCCTCACTCCTGGCTTTCCAATGAGCCCTCAGTTGTCCAATTTGGCCCAGTAGTTGTGGAGATATGGAGGTTTTGTGTTTTGGAGAGGTTGTGGATTAGAATGCTTATCCTGGGAGATCTAGAGCATGTCCCCTCTCGCTTTTTTGGCCATATAGCATCCCTCAGTGGCTCTTGCCATCGCGCCATTCATCCCCTTGATCAGACCAGTCCTTGGGTCTCAACTGCCTACCCCCTCCTCATACCCCCTCCGCACTTTTGCCTCTCTCACCAGTCATCCCTCTATCGGATCCCTATCATCCCTATACTCATTCTGGAGCTCTTTGCCAGGGCTATCCATCCATTTTATCGCGTCCCTGATCCGCTCAGCTGTTCCCTCGCAATCCGCGTTTTACATCGCCCTGTCAATTTATCACCCCTTTTCACCATTTCCTTCATATCTTACCCATTCCTTCACCAAACCCTGTCCACCCTAGACTCATTTTGAAGCTCTCATTCGCCTCTTTCCATCCATTTACTCCCCATCGCCTTTCATGCAGCCATTACCCTGTCCTACCCATTCCCCCTGCCACAGTACTGAAGTGGTTCACCTGACTCCCTGCCGATCAGTGAAAACAGGTACTGGGCACCACTCTTTGCCTTGCCTGACCCCTCATCCACCGAAGCAGTTCATATGACTCCCTGCTCATCATTGAAAACAGGTGTGAGGGTCATCAGGTTGCTTTTCTTAGTTTTGTTTAGTTTTGGTTTGCATGTGTAGCTGACTGGGGACAGTCAGTATCCAAAGTCCCCATGAGATGTGACAATATAGTTTTCCCTGAGCTGATATTCCCCCTTTTTACTTACCTTCACTTACCCACTTTCCTTAGTTTATGTTTGCATTTTTACTGCTTACATAATCATCTCTCCCTTTCACCAGTGTCAGTACCAGTCTGAATCACAGTCTTTTGCTTGATGATATTTCTACTCTCTGAGCTCTGAGTCTAGTACAGAAATCCTTTAGGGTTGAATAGCAGCTAGGCATAGCAATTTTGACCCAACATTTGAAGAGTACTTTACAGAGTTCTCTTCTTGTTGTGTTTCCCACAGCGACATCAGAGAGAAATGGTGCGATCTTGAGCAGAAATTGCTCTGGTGCCAGGAGCGTTTAGGTGCGGGACTGTACTTCCACGTGCTCCGACTAGTTTTGGGTACCAGAGATCACATGCAGACACCAGGCTTGCGAAAAAAGTAGCATTGAGGTCGTGTAACACATTTTTATATACATCCACCCCATTTTCATTCTGTTGCTTGGTGGCTGATATATTTCTAGTAATTGTCACTGCATGTACATGGCACATCATGAGTTGTCAGTATCAAGGTTCTGATTGTGCCTGGACATCTCTCTTAACCGACGACCCTGCATATCCCATACCAGCTGAATGGGTTCTGGAGTTATCTCGCTCATTTGTAGGGGATTTATCAACTAATATACCACACACCAGGGTCTTCATTTCTTCCATCTCCTGTCCTTGGGAGGCACAGCTACCCATGTTTGAAGCATTCTCGATCCCAATCTGGGTCTGCCATGACAGAGACACTGCTGTTGACATGAAGTTGCGCCATTATATCCTGTCCCCAAAGCCATTGAAGGCGCAGCAGTTGGGCCAGATGCATGGTGACAATGACAGCGCCTGGAGTCAGATGCATGAGACGTGGGGTCAACCGGACAATGGAAGTGAGAGTGTCGTTGACTGGGATCAGGCTTGTAGTCAGGGCACCCTCAGATGGGATCTGGATGGTGGAGCACACAAGCCCGTATCAGCGGATCCTCAGCAATGCACAGACCCCCGATTTCCGGTCCCAGAATGACGCAGCGGGCATAAGCCAGGAGAAGACTACAAGGCATTCTTTACACAGCGACGCGAGGAAAATAAGATGAAGGAAGCTAGTGAGACTCTGACTTACTGGCAGTCACATCAGAGTTGTGAGCGTTCAGCAATGAACCATGGTATTCCAGGCAGATGGAATACAGTCGTTGTATTTGAATGGCAGTCCCAAGATGAATTTGACGGCTTTCTTCTGCGCATCCATCTCACAATGGCCCAGATACCAATTACTTGGGGAAACTATAGTTGATCTACTAGGATCTATGACTTGTTTCATAATGAGTGGGACCTATGTGATGTGGTAGATCCAAGCAGCATTCCCAATGGCGACTGGGAAGAAGAATATTTCCCGCTTGTTCCCGCTCCTCCTAGTCCTCCTCTGCCTCCTCCACCCCCGCCCTCACTGTCCAGTTTCATGCAGGATATTGAGAACTACTTTGGCCATCATGGAGTTGCACCCTCGTCAAATTACACTCATCGCATTGAATGTTTCGCCTCAATCCTTTGTTTCCATCTCGGATTTCAGCTCACAGCATCACTCACTCAGCCCATGATAGATCAACCACATTTGAACAGTGGATTCAGAGGACTATGTGGATTAACCTCTGCAAACTCATCAGTGACTTGGGTGACAACGTTGAATTGGTTGCAGACGCGCAGAAGCGCGTTATCAATGTTTCATTGGTTACCTTGTTACCCTCCCCAACTCTCAGTTGCCTGACATACCGTCTGATCTCTGGGACTTAGGACCCGATACCTCCCTGTCGGCCTTGAATGCAAACATTCGAGTTTCCTACATCCACGTGTCCGAGCAGCAGTGGTTCTATGACATTGAGCCATGTCTATCATTAAGTCTGGTCATCTGGAAACTTGTTGTTCCCGACGCTGCTACTGCTGTGATGTGCCTCCGCCGTGACTGGGGGTCTGACATCATGAAGATCGCACTCAATCTTCTCCAAACAGGAATTCCAATCAAGACATTACAGTCGATAGCAGTTCCACCTCACGCACGACGTCCACTTGTGGAACTTCGTACATACTCGCTTGGATCAAAGTGCCCCGTTTTTAGTGCTGTATATGCTGATTATGTTGTGTACAAGCAGTATCGTCACAAGTATATGAATCAGCCTCATGCAAGAGCTGCACTTCTTCACAGGGGGCTCATATGGCGGCTGGCCTTACATAGCATTGGTTTCAACGAACTCCCCTCAGTCCTTAACGGCATTTCGCGGGAAGCTGTACCATTTGGCCTCATGTTATCTGTTAATGGCCAAACTTACTTCGACGACGAGTTATCAGAGGAGGTGGTGGATTTTGTATGTGGGACTTATCACATATATGATAGTAAGTTTCTTGCCCTCACATAGGCAGCACTGACATTTGGACTGTTAGATGCTGGAAATGTAGGAAAGATTTCTTAGTGGCCTAGACCTCAGGCTTGGGCTACGTCTGGTTTGAACGTGGGGTTCTGGTCCACTTGGTGCGAGTAATGGTTCCAGAAACGCCTCAACAACATTCGAGACGGTGTTTCCCGAAACCAACATTTATCTGCAGATGATGCTAATGGTCCAATGACTAACTCACAGTGGAAAACCTCCATCAAGTTCAATACAGGCACGAACAAAATGAAAAAGAATATTGACGCGGCATGCTGCAGTTTTCTTGCTACCAAAGCAAGCGGTAAGAATATTTTTTTGCTGTCACTCATGCATTTCTGAGTTCCTGCTTAGCATTTACAGAGAATTAGTGTACAATACATGTGAAACGATGTAATCTACTGATTTGAAATGATTGTATGGCTCAACGCCAGTGCTGACTCGTAAATTATTTTCATGGAACATACTGCTTTGTTTCAGCCACCACTCTGTCATCTACTCCCTCGGCTGTAATTTATTCCCTCCTAGAGTGCCCGATCCTTCACAATATCTGAGTGATTTGGGTGGGCAATGGGCGGGCAATGGATGGGCAATGAGCGGGTGAATCATTTTGTCTGTAAATGAAACTTAAAATTTATTCATCACATTTTGTCGCCAGCATAAACTTCAAATTTTCAGGGGCGTCTAATTGTTGGACAAAGCTTAATACATTCACAAGCATGTAGTGATGGACTAAACTTCAAGTTTAGTCCAACATTTCATGTGACAATTAAACTTCAAATTTAAGCAGATGCTGAAAATCCAATTATATTTCAAATTTTCATTGACATATGATTGGTGGGAAAATAGTTGTTGATGCTTCATATTTTAGATTTCGCACAAAACACTGCCATTTCTTTGCATTTTGTACAGCATATAAACCACTCCTAAATATTGATAACCCCGTAGTGTATGGCTCTGGTGCTTCATTGTTGATAGCATGTTGCTGTTCTGAGTCTGGGAGTGGCTCAGCTGGTTCTGGAGACTGTGAATTGGACTTGGAGGGAGTTATGGGGGCACAGAGCTCCTTCCGTGTATGCAACAGCCCCCTTAATGTCTTTACTGAGTCTTCCTTGTCTGTTAGAGTTGACTGCTTTCAGTTAGAGAGCATTGAGTACAGACACACCAAACCAGGCCCCTTGACATCCTAGAAGTGTGTGTGCAATGATGATAAGTGAGTGGTTTTAGTTAGTCTTGAGTGCTCTGAGTCAGCACAGCAGTCTGTCATGTGTGCTGTTGTCATGCCTCTTATCAAATATAGAAAGGAACCTTTGAGAGTTTCTTTGCTTTTCCTCAACAAAAATTTGATAAAGTGAATGATATTTATTGTTATATTTTTTTTGTTAATGTTATTGAATCACATATGTGGTGAACTGAATGAAGTAATTGAGACTCTTGATACATGATACTCTGGGTGCTTAGCTACAGAGATAGTGGACTGGTTGTCTATCCTAAGGACAGGTAAACTGCCTGCTGGGAAGCCTAATTCCAATAGCAGTTTGCATATCCACTTGATCTCCTTACCCTCCTTGACTCCACCATGACCGGCTTCAGAGAAAGTAGAGAATAACTCAGTGGTGTGTGGGTGAGGCTTATAGACAAACCCTTGATGTAGCAAAAGATGGGTTAGACAGCCTGTTAGTGGGCTATGTATCATCATCTAACCAGTATATGCACGTGCTGAATATTCTCTTAGCCTCCTAAACTCTTCGATCATCTTCATCCTCACAGTCTAAAAGTTGTAAGTGCATAAGCATTTTTAGTTTTTAAAATTTATATCAACTCCCTGTTAAGATGGGAATGAAGTGGGCTGCTTCTAGAGGCTAATAAGTGACCAAAGATGGTCAGGACTAGAGTCCAGAGTAAGTTGCCAAAGAGGAGAAATGTGAGGAATGATACTGTAAGTATAATGACACATATATAGAGATAACATAGAAAAGTGTACTGTAGAGGTGAATCATCATATAACTAACAAACTTTATAAACAGACCAATGAGCTTAATAGTCTGATCTGTCGCACTGCATTTAAACAATTCTCAGTCACCTACTATGATGACATTTGTAAGATGTGAGATGTAGCATCCTTTCGCGATGCAAAAGTAAGTTCGAAAATTTAATAATCTGCTATGCCTCCCTTACAATTGATTCTCAAGAAATGTGATTTTGATCTTGCATAGAGACTAGGAGAATCAATTTCATATTTGGTATAGGTTGCTCTGGGAGTAGGCTTGTGATTTGTTGAAAGATCATCACCTCCGTCTACAATTTGTGTTTTTTCTTTGATGAACCATAGATGGCTGATGCCTTCTGGGAGAGTCCAAGTATGTGTATGTTACTGTTTTTAATGTTCTGATAATGTAAATGGTGTATTTTGTAATCATCTTTGCCCAAGGATGAAGACAAACCCATCACATTTATCATATATGCTAACAAGATAAAACTCTCAACACTCATCATCAAAAAGCATATCCTGTTCTTGCATGATATGCAAACCTCCCAGTTGGAATATGTAATAATGAAGAGTTTGGTGGTGGCCAACTTGTTGGGTAGCTTCCAATTGTACATCACTATTCAATTTGCAATAGAATTCAATGCTTAAAGCTGACTCTCACAGATCCAGGAGAATAAGCAATATTTTGGAACTCAGTTCTCTGTGAATTTCAAAAATGTTATCTGGCATGAATCTTTCAAATGCCTTCTCAAATCACTCATGCCAACTATGTCATTATACATACCTACACTCTGATTCATTCAATGAGATTAGCAAAAGCTATATCCAACATGTCATGCAAATGCTTAAAGCTGTGTAGCTCCTTGGAAATATATGGTGTAGTCTGAGAATGATTGAAACTTGTCTGGTCATAGTATTATAGAAGTGCTGGCTGTACATCCATAGGAGCCTCATCCCCCTGATCATGATATAAAAGTATTAGTATCTAAATATCATTAAAATAAGATATCATACTCTTGTTGCATACCTATTATACCAGGATAAGTGAATACTATTAAAAGATACCCCTCACTATTGAATTTGTTTCAGTTCATGGATAACAGCATCCTTTAGTCATTCTGCATTCCATTTGGTCACATTTCCATCATCTCTTTAATCAAATATGTCTTAGTGACTGAGAAGTACTCTCAGTACATTTCCTTACATATATCCAATTGGAAGATGTGCCTTGGGCACACTATTATGGCTACATCAACAGTGAATTGTTCAGAGCTGCTCAAGTTCAAGGCTAGCCTCAAATCATGTAAAATTGATCAGACTAATAAGCAGGGGAAACACTATAATGTGGCCATATGGTGTCTGTTTTTGGTTTCTGGTCTTGAGTAGTTCATGCTTGATGAATTGCTAGTTGGCATATATCATATACATAATTACTAGGCTTACTTTTCACTTTGCAATATAGGTATCATTCTTTTTCTTTTCATTGTATCTTTGGTGTGTCTGTCTTCTTATTAGTCTTGTTTACTGTACATCTTTTCATTTTAGATTTTGTCTCTTTCAACTTACTGCACTTCCATCTTCTTTGCTTGCTTATGACATTCATCTTCTCACTGTATTCTTTTGCCACTATATGCTTCTATCTGCTTTAGTTCTTTGTACATATGACTTCTTCCAATCCTCCTGCTGGCAGAACCACCCACACCAGTGAGAAAATCATCAGACAATATAGCTATCACAACCAGGAATAATATCTGTCTTGCCCATTGTAACAAGGCCAAAACTAACATCAATAATGATAAGTTTCTTATCTCTGTTCCTCCCATTCTCCCTGTTATATTCTCTAATCTAAATACCACTAACACTAATGCACCTTTGTATTGTCCTCCAATCCTACCTCCTCATCTACACAACCCACAGGCTCCACTCTAACCTTCAACCCTACTAATACAAATATTATTAATACTATGATCTTGGCACTTGCCAACCTCTCTCCCTTAAGGCTCACCCAAGATACATGTAACTATTTTTAACACTGCTTCATTTTCTTTGTCTACTACTGCTACTTTTACTTGTTCCACCACTACCCCCTCTTCCTCATTTATTACTGCCCTATCTACTACTGCACTTACTTCTGTCATGCATATTTCATACATTTGGATCTCAGATCAGATCTACGATTTGGTCCACCAATCTGATATCTAGTCCACAAATCCACTATCTGATCCACAACACAGTTATACCAGTCTACAGCTCATTCCTAAACCCAGAACCTTAATTCCCAGAGATGTTCAATGGAATTGGGGTCTGGAGACTGTGCTGGCCATAATAGAACATTGATACCATGGTGTTCAAACCATTTTGTGGCCAACTTTGAGGTATGCTTGGGGTCATTATCTTGTTGGAAGATAATGTCCTCTTCATCAATTCCTGACTCCTGCATACCTTTGAGTAGACACTCCTCTAGAATGGAGATGTACTGCTCTGCATTCATTCTTCCCTCTACCTCACAAAGAATCCCCACTCCATTCCACCCCATACAACCCCATACTATCATATTTCCTCCCCCAAACTTTAGTGTACCCTTGACTTCCCTTTCTCCCAATGATTCTCCTGCCTTTTTCCACACATATTCCTAGCCATCTGACCCCGTTCTATTGATTTTAGTCTCATCTGACCAAATCACCTTCTTCCAGTCTTCCACAGTCCAATGTTAGTGCTTTAAAGCAAAAGCCAGCCTTTTCTTCCTATGAGCTACTGAAAGAAGTAGTTTTTTCTTCGTGGTTACAGCCATAAGATTGGCTGCCTTAAGGATGTTTCTGACTGTTTGAGTGGAGATGGGAGTGGGGATAATGGAATTGATGAACTTGCTGGCTTGAACAGCATTTGAAGCCTTGCCAGATAGAATTTGATGAACAATAGCTCTTTTGTTCTATGGAGTAGAGGACATCCCATCTTATGATTTTCCTTCTCTGGCATGTTCTGCTTTATGACTGTAGTAATAGTAGACTTGCCAAGATCAGTTTTGGAAGCAATCTGCCTAGTAGATAAACCAGAGGAGCAGAGAACAAGGATATTATCCTTTTGAGCAGAGAAGATGGGTTTCATGATGATTATGTTAAATTTCATGATATCATGTGGGTTTATACATTCCAATTATATTAAAATCAGACCATATTATTATTATGGCATCACTTTCATTAAGAATATTGTATATGAATGGTCTGATTTTGTGATTTTAATATATGTACAGTCAAAAAGTATCTGAATGAGTCATCTGATTAGACTTACCATATCTTGCCCATATATGGTCGGATTCCCACGACATATATCTCAGATTTAAGCTGTGATGTATGGCTTTCAGACATGCCTATATACCATTGTATTATGTTTAGAATCTAGCTTGCTATTATCCAATTACACAAAAATGCATAAACATTCAGACACTTTTTTGAGCCACTGTATTTGAAGTGTGCTTTCTTGAAAACCTATGCAGCATCTAAATCCTCTGGATGTCTCTCTAATTGATGTATACACAGGGATAAGAAGTCAAATGGATCCATATTAGTATAAAAGCCATCCATTATGAATGTTGCTTTAACTAGATTAAATAGTAGAATTGGATGTACTCCATGCAATAGATAAAATAATGAAAATTCAGTGACATTGCTGGTACAGTAATACACCGTCATTTAAGTTTCCACCATCATTTGGGTTCGAGTCAGATAACACTCGATCCCACAACCATTTTAGTCATAATTTTTGTTGGATATTTTGTATTTCATGCACAACTACATACCACCAACATCTGTATACTAAAAATATTTCATCTGAAAACATGATGTTATGTTTTGTAGCATGAATTTCATTGTTTTGTGCAACAAATAATGTACTCCCTTTCACCTCCCTCTTGGAGTGTCAAAATATATAGTCATGACCTCCACTTATCATATTGTCAAGCTCCGCAAGTGATCCCACAAGCCAACAACGTGCCACAGCAATGCCGGTCAAGAGTATCTGAAGTAGACTATTAGCAGATCTAATCAATAGAATGAAGTAAGATGCAAGCCTAATTTGATCAATGCAAATCATTTGCCATGGGCCCGTAACACAGTTGCGTTGAGCTCAGTGTCATTGTTTAACGGCTCATCCAAAGCAACAGCACTTGTCAACTCACATAGTACCTCTCAAATGGCCAAGCATGCACTATCTATCACCCAAAAAAGCGGCTCACATGTGTGGAGCCAGAGAAAGCAATCACCCAAGTCATAGACATATATGGATCCCAACTCAAGAAACTGGAGTCCGAAAGAAAGCCTTTGAAGACCATCTGCCAGGAGGTAGCAGAGGAGTGGAAGGAGAAGGGAAAACCAGTTATTGTTAGCTGTGAAACAGTTCAAAGACAACTCAACGGAGGATGATCTTGTGCCCAGTTTAATGCTGAGACCAATGCTTGGCTTACAATGGAGGAGGAAGAGAGCATTGTTGGATACTGTCTCGCACTTGCCAAGCGAGAATTTCCACTTAACCACAAGCATCTCAAATTCCATGTTGATGCTCTCTTGCGAGCGAGACTTGGAGACTCATTCCCTAGTGATGGTGTGGGGAAAAACTGGACTGACTGCTTCGTTGGACGGCATTCAGCTCAATTGGGCCACTACTGGAGTTCATCGTGAGATACAGCTCGTGGTTACGCAATCAATCCAAACACAAATGTGGAGTGGTACAAGCTTCTCGAAGAGACACTCGAGGAGAAAAATATCGAGCCAGATTGCATTTGGGCTGCCGACGAAAGTGGCTTTTAGCCAGGTGAAGGGTTGAAAGAATGTGTATTTGGTCCTGCAGGGAGGAGCAATCAGTACCAGCAGCTTGATGGTAATCGTGAAAATATCACGGTGATGGTGACAATCTGTGCCGATGGTGACGAAATCCCTCTGACTGTAAGATACAAGGGGAAATCATTCTTGACCAATTGGCATCAAGACAATGCTTTAAACACATTGTCAGTTATTGACTTCAATAAATTCAATCAGATACTTACTAGTTTCTAGCGTCACACATTCACCAAAGGGTTGGACAGATGGTGTCCTTGGTTGTTTATGGATCAAGGATTTTGACAAGAAGACATGTGCGAAGGCAAACAGTCGTGTGCGGTTGCTTCTTGTAGATGGTCACAACTCCCACTACACTCAGGACTTTCTCGACTATGCATGCCAGAACAATATCCACATTCTCTGTTATCCAGCTCACGCAACTCACATTACCAAGGTCTTGATGTTGTCGTGTTCAGCCCACTCAAGCGCTATTGGACACAAGAAAGAGACAAGTATGAGTGAACAAAGAGACGCAGGGTTGATAAAACAAACTTCATTTCTGTATATAGCAAGGCACATCGAAAGGCATTGACACCATACTGCAGAGACACCAATTACCTCTCAGGACCATTTGCCCACCTTCACATCAACACCATTCACGCCAACTTGGAAGCGAAAACACAATATCCTTGACCATGAACCTGAAACAGAGTTTGAGCGGGAGTGTCAGGATGCCTTGCGAGATGCGTACAAGCGTGAAGCTGGCTATAAAGGAGCACTGTATGAAATGCAGTCCACTGTTGTGCTGCAGGGCATGTTCAGTGATAGAATGTCAAGTCAGCTTGCTGTGCAGAAAGAAAAGAGGAAGGGAAAAAAGCAGGAGCAGTTAGTTGGTGATGGGCTTCGAAGGTTACTCACAGGAGATGAGTTTTACAACTCTGTTGTTGAACACCATGAAGCTGCAGATGCAGAAGCAGTGGCATGAGAAAATGGTCGGCAGGAAAGAGATGAGCGTGCGAGTTTGATGAAGGTGTGGAAAGAAGAGGATGGAAAGCGGCTCGAGCGGAATGAAGTGTGAAGGCAAGCATACAAAGATGAGGTGAGGCAATGGGAAGCAGAGCGGGAGTGAGCAAAACTCGAGAGATGGCGGATGACATGGGCCAAACCAAAACTAGGAAAACTTGAAGCCCCACTCCCAAAGCCAACACTGGCTCAGATAGATGATGAAGAGGCAGATGAATACGAGCCTTCAGATGAGGATAGCAAGGAAGAGCGTTGATTCAAGTTAGTACATGCTAATTATGTGCTGTATCTTATCTTACCAACTGGGTGCTGCATGTACCTTTTTTGGGCGACCCAAATGACGGTGGATGCACGATAACACCTAGAACAGACCAAAGTCTTGTTGTATAATAAGGTCTTGCTCGATGTTCTTGAAAATTTGATACAAGGAAGATTAACTAGTTACAAACACATTGATGAGAGTGATTGATGATATTTTGACTTGTTGTGTTGTGGTAAACCTTCTACATTTGCATGCTCAAACGACGGTGTATTACTGTAGTCATATTCTCTGAAAATAAGGCCTGATGTATCTTATCTCACCAATGTGTAATATGCATACCACAACTTTTTATAATAGCTTCTTGGATATTGAAATGCCCCTGCTCAACAACTCCATTAGCTTGGGAATTGTATGTTGATATCTTGACTTAGGGAATATCAACATGCATGCATGAGTAATTGCTCAAATGCTCCTTTAACTTTGGGTCTATTATCAGTCACAACCTGATTAATGGCTCTATAACAGCATTATAAAATTTCTCAAAATAATTGGGCCATAGCTTTTGCAGATACTTTTCACAAGGCTCACCTTTAACATAGTGTGATAAATAATTTCTGGAAATGACAAGATTGGAAAATCCTCTAATTGGAGGCATCTTCATAATGTCAACATAAATTTTTGATGAATATTGTTGCTGGGGTAGATATTGTGATATGTATATTCTTAGCACTGCAAATTTGGCAGTCATGTCAAGATTGCACATTATTTTTGGCATCCAAGTATAAGTGAGGCTAATAAATTCTGTAGTGTATGGTCTTAAAAAATGCTTGTACACCCTTGTGTCCTAGCCCTTCATGTGCTTCATTAAGACTGGCTGCTCTCTTATTAGCAGTAAAGACAACAAGTAGAGGTGGCCAATTAAACTATAAGGACATCTGGTAAACAAATCTATATCCTTGTTGCAGAAAATGTAGCACCAACATTCTTAATGTGGTGCATAATTCTATAAACATCAATAGCACATTTCCAGATAAATCTCCATATATCAGGGTTTTATTCCAGTACCTCTAGTTTATTTTGGGTAGATAGACATACATAGATCATTTGACCAGTAAGTTATCAACAAAAACATTTGCAATATGTGGTATTTCTTCATGTAGCATAAAGCTAGTACACTTTGGAAATTTGGCAGGTGCATTCATATATCCCATAAGTAATGTAGTCAACCTAGAGGAGTTAGGAAAGCCATTAAATCTTGACATTCTGGGTACATTTTTTCTAGCATCAAATCTCTAAGACAAGCCAAAAACAGTGTAACATTGGTGGCCTGTAAATAATCCTATGAAGTCATCCACAATTGGAATAAAGCCAGCATTACATATAGAAATTTTCTTGAAAGTCATGGAATAATTGCAGTTTTCCATTCTTCTTGAGTATGCAAAAATTGGACTCATCATTGTTGGGTGATTTGCGATTAATACCATTGAGCACAACATATTCGGAACATCACTTGGTATCATGGACCCCCAGTTTGGAGTGAGCAAGATGGTTCGCCACATTGGTAGAACATCAAACTGCAGGATGCCAGCAGTGTCAGATTGCTGCATCCTCAAACACCATCACTGGTCCATCTTCTTGAGCATTGTCTGCAATGTCCATGGATGTGTTGCCAGTACATCATAATGAAGGCACACATTAGCAATTGTCGATACAGGACAGGAAGGCCAAATTTTTAAAAACCAATCATAAAAAGGCAGATCAGGTCAAGACAGAGTATGAATGGGATTCTCATGCATAGCAGGCTCAAGAACACATTCCTCATGTGCAAGAAGCTCAGGACAAGGCTGCCAAGGAGGCAGGTATATAAGAAGCTTGAGAGCAGGCTCTGGAGCATGCTAACCATGAAAGAATGGAGTGGGAGCATATCCACCAGGCCAATGTTGTCATGCTGAATGTCACCGAAGGAGATCACATGAGTAGGTCACCCATTCGTCCATCTCAATCCATGGCTGCTCATGGCACAACACAACAACACCGCTTAACACCCCCTCACTGCACTGGGAGGGACTATCTCTCCCATCTCCCAATATTGCCTCTTCTGGCTTACAGTCGAATGCACTCCTACAGAGATTCTCATTATTACTTCCTTTTGCTGGTATATGCTGCCTGTTGTGAGTGTTATTACTCTCCAATATATCATGCTCATTGTTGTTGCTCTCCTTTGCTGGCATACATTGCCCATCGCAGGCATTCTCACACTCCCATTGGAGCTCATAACAATTGGGGATTGCAATTGTGTGATCAGAGTCACATTCTTTGTTGTTGTAAGTTTCCTTTCAGCCTAATGATAACATGGAGCTGATTCTCATCACTTATAGCACTGTCTCCTTGCCCCAATACCTCATCACATCACCATTATTCAAATCCCAAACACTGTAGGTTATTGTTTGTATTAATATAATTGTACTACTAATTTACAACCAGATAGTATCCTCTGCTCATGTTGCAGCCTCGTCAGTTCAGTTTTCTGGCCCTTCATATGTGTCTCACCCAGCATTTCAGATACCATGCTTAGATTGGATGATAAGTCTTGCCCACAACAATACAACCATGCATCATATAATCATCAATACCACTTCCTTTACAGTATTTGCTACACCTGTTTGTATTCCCCATCCATGGATCACAAACCCTGAATACCACACATGGCACTTTATCTCTTGTGGCCATCTAGTCATGTTGAAGAAGACTGAGTTGTGACTACATTTCTGGAGAGCCCAATACCCAGATGTGCACCTGTGGTTTTTAGCCATCCAGTATTTGACTCGAGGGCTCAATTGGAGAGTGTTTGTGCACTTTAATCAGCTTGTCGGCTCAACTCATGGTCCCCTCATCCCCAGCCCCCCCCCACTTCATCACATCAAACCAACCTTTCGTTTGCAGTCCAACACTCCTTGAAATATACAAGTCTCAAGTCCGAGTATCCATATGCCCATTGATTCCTTATGATGGGCAGCATTATGTGGCGCATTGCATTACATTATTGACTGTCAAGTCTGTTGTCTACCACACTGTTTGGTCCTGTGACAAATGCTTATATACACTACCATGTAGATCATGCCGGTTCCAATATCAACAACACAGTCTCCTGGGCCAATATCAACCTCTTGCTAGGGTTGACAAGCCAGGGTAGCTTCTGGCCTATCCTTGATAACTGGACCAAGGCACAGAAATGGCATGGAGAATGGTCATCCAAAAATGAAGTTTGGTTTCAAAATTGTCTACAAGACATGCAGTCACATAAGGAGAATGCAGTCATCACTCATGCTCAGTGGGTTAGGAAGTGTCATAAGCACACTGGATATACACTGTCTAACCCTCAAATGATTGGGACTGAGGCACAAGCGGCATATCTGTGTTGTCAGGTTGAGGGTCTACCTTCCATGACAAATTTGTATGATGTGTTATAGGAATACATAACTCCTAGTATCCAATCTCTAGAGAATAGATATCATTTACCTTGTCTAGTTGAATCCATTACTCATGTGTTCATTGTATAGAATGTGCATCAGTATTACTGCATAATTGATCATATAGTAGCAAATTCCAAGTGTTGCAGGTCTTCTCCGATCTTGCAGGCATGGCCATGCTCAATGCACTTAGTCTTTTGATCACCTAACACTGATGGTAAAATATGCAGCTAAAAGGGTTGAAGGGAAAGGGTGGGGGGGAGAAGGGTATAACTGAGGTACATTATATTTTCAAATGGATTCCTTTGCTCATACTGTAATTACTATATATCATCGAAGCGCCGACCAAAGGGGTGTCCTTACTTTGTATAACTAAATTTAAAACCCACCACTGCTACCATTGCCAAATTGTTTCCTATCCTGATTGCTGTTTCTATTAGTGGGTACACCCTGAGATTTCTTTGTGAGTGGCCATTGATACTAGAATCATAAGATATGCTAGATTTAAGGATCATGATAGAAAGGAGATTTACTGGTAGTCCCACAAGGGCATTGTGAAGATGAAGCAGTAGTAACAGTCACAACATTGGATGATGATGCAACTAGATGACCATGTGAATGAGTGGTGAGGATACCACGTAAAGGGTCAGGAAATGTGCAATTCCAGGACTGAAATGACACAAAAATACCACTTTGACAAAGTTGGTCAATGTCAATGGGAGGAGGTGCTGCATCTGAAAGGAGAGGGTGATGCAGCAGCAAACTTGTTTGCCATGAGGCTTCATGATCCATGTTCTGGTCCTGGGTATTGATATTACCAGTCCCGTCATTGCTGCTGTGTTGTAATGGGGTGGGTTGATACCAGCCACAGTCCCCTAAGCCCATATCTTACACAATCAGTACTGAGACGTCATTAGGCAGTGTCACGGGGGTAGTACTACAGAGACTGTCATCTATTGAAATCAAAATGAGACAGGTGGACAAGGTTGTCAACACTTACCTGTTGCAGGTGAACAAGGAATATTGGAAACATCTGCAATATCATTCATGTCATCATTGAGAATGGGAGACAGGAACACAATTGTCTCCTTGGGAAGTTTAGCAGAAGTATCATGGACAGATGTTGATGAAGAAAATTGATCCTTGCCGACATATATTCATCCTTAAGACCATCAGGGAAGTGATATTATTGAGAGCTTGACTGAGGTATTGACCTTTGTTACTTAGTATGTCACATTTTTACAATTAATAATACTGCAAATCTTGAAAACTCTAGATGAAACAGAAGAATGTAATCACTGCTACAGAGTGAATATCATCAGTAACTGATCTAGCCAGCATAGATCATCTAAGTAAACATTGTAGGACACTGTAGGCTAAAACAAGAAATTGATAAAGATCTTTGATATAACATCACCCATATCCTAGAGTCTAGTGCTCTTTGCCTCTTTAACAACTTACTCTAAACTCTAGATATTGTATACTCTTACTATTCTTCAATACATTGGCAATTTACTCTGGATTCTAGTCCTGATCATATCTAGTCACTTATTAGCCTCTAGAAGCAGCCTACTTCATTCCTAGCTTAACAGAGAGTTGATATAAATGTTCCAAACTGTATGTGGGATAGTGCATCAGATATAATGTTTAGGATGCTGCTAGATAACATTTGAAGAGTGGTAATACTGTAACATTCAGCATTTGAACTTAGAGTTTGGATATTTAGACAAAGTCTGAGTCTGATGCCTTACACTTATCACACCATCTGGGGCCTATTCCTTACACTGGCACTACTAGTGCTACTTATTAATGTAATACCATGGAGGGATCCATGACTGATGCACAGCTTTAGGATCAAGTACCTTAAGGTGGCTTAGAGATTCCTGTAGGTAAATACCTTCTTACAGATGCAGGTTTTCCCTCCTGCAAAGAACTCCTGATTCCTTACTGTGGTATTTGCAGATGAGAGCAGACTGCTTATTCAAGCCACAAATGTGCACTGGGATCACACATGTAGGAGGACTATGAGGCTTTCTTACAGAATGATGACTTGGAAAATACTGATCTTGATGAGGATGATAAAGTTAATGATGATATTTACCAAGTGCACAAGTTTGATGACGAGATCAATGCAGAATAGATTTGTTGTAGTAAGTACAATTGAAACTTGTATACAAAAACAGAATAAGTCATAAGACTATTTGTATGAGAAAGTTTGGTTCAATGTAGAGATAAGTTCTCTTGACTGCTTAAATATATAAAGCTTAGTTTTAAGTTTTTAGTAGTTTAGGTCATCATATAGTGAACACCTGTAAAATAGTATATAACTTCAGCTTTACCTTAGGGTAGTCTATCTCTGTTCATTCCTACTCTAGTCTCTGTCTGGAATAGTCATATTTGTTTTCCCATCCAATCTCTGGAAGTCCACTGGACCTATATACACTACATTCATACTCTGGAGTTCTGGATTTTGCCTTGAGCCCTCAGAAATTAATATGTAAGCTCCCACTATCTTAATAACTAAGGGTCTTATGTAAATATGTGTAAAAAAATATGGGTAACCCATGGCAAGTCACAGGTACAGGTACTGGCAGGTATAGGTATGAGTCAGGATTTTGAGATCTGTTACCTATCTTCCCTGCAAGTTGGACCATAAGATCAATTTCAAAGCTGAAAATGATTTACCACTGAATGTGAAAGCATATCCCTTATCTCCTAAAGAGTTAGACACATTGAAAGATTGGTTTGCAAGTAAATATATTGTATTGTTGGCTTGATTATCATAAAAAATTGTGTGATCTATTACTAGTACTAGATTATTTGTGCTATCTACATTAAATCACTCATCTCTGAGTCTGATGCAAATGAGCTCTGGCCCTGTGCTTGAGAAGGTCCAATTTCTAATATATACCACAAATGCCACTCTAAGTCAGTCTTCTCTGTACCATTAAGTCTATCAAATGTGCAAACAATTTCTTTGAACTTATTATAGTAGGCTTTTCCACCAAAGGGGTCTGTGTCCAACTGTGTCATTCCCTATTCATGCAATATGTAGTGTTCTTGATAGTCTTGAGTGAGGATGTGTCAGGAAATGATGTGTGGTTCCAATACCACATGAACCTAATCACATTGCATTATCCACATATGAATGGAGCATTGAGAGGATCTTGCTCAGAGGGGTGTTTAGATGAGGAAGTTAACATGCTCAGACAATGATAGATTCCCTGTTGCTCTCTTATACATGGTGTCATCCTGTAATAGTTCCCATTTCTACATGGGTCTGCCCTCCTGAAGAACAATTGAACCTGAAATCTTATCATTCTCATCATTATGTGACTACTGTATGTGTCTCATTAAGTTGTTCAATATCAATGCTAACTATTCACAAAGGTACTCTACTTCAACCAAGATATGCAGGGCCTCAAGAAAGTTCAATGTATGTTTTTAATACACTGGAGAGAATCCATGATATGGTTGTTGAACAACCACAGACTGAGCACACACACACACACACACACACACACACACACACACACACACACACACACACACACACACACACACACACACACACACACACACACACACACACACACACACACACACACACAAAATAAGGACCTTCTGTAAGTACTACTATTTGGTGATTATTGTCAATTCACCAATTTAATTGTTTTCAGCAACTCATTCAAGGTTGTGAAGGAGTGGACTCCACTGAGCAAGTTACTTGATTGGGACATATGTACAAAGAACTGCAGGCAGAGCAAAGCAAACTGGATTTCATTGATACCACTCATCTCATTGTAGCTTCCTCAAGCATGCTGCTGATGAGAGTGAGATTGTATCTAGTGCATCTAGAATGAGCAAGAGAGGGAAGCTCATGTAATACATCTTGTTCTTCATTCCATCTTATGCAGATTGTCAATGTTGTCACTAGCTTTTAAATCAGACTAATTATACTACTATTGTTTTGTACACTGTAGAAGCTCTCTGTTCACAAAAATGCAGTGCACAATCATGCATAGCTGAAAGAGAATGAGATGCTAAGAGTTCAGACACCATTCAAACACCAGTATCTGCATGAAATAGGGTGTGCATGAACTGGTGTACCTAATAGTATGACTGACTCCAGACTGTCAGAGTTCTTATTCTACCATTGTACACTCATTCCAGAGTGCCAGATAGGCTATATCAGCCTGGAGGTATATGGATTCATCTGAATGATTTTCACATGGCTGGATAATCATATATAGAAAATTCATTCTCTCTATCAGCTGTTGCTACAAATAGAGAAGATGTTTTAACTACCCAAGTGGGTTCTTCTATCATATTTATCTTCATCATCTCCATCATGTGCCTTCATGTAGACTCTAATTCATTCATGGAATATTTGTAAGGAGCTATTTCCTAACATGTTAGTACAAGATTGTGTAGATCTTATTCATTATAAATATTTGACAGGTGCAACTCTATTTATCAAAGACTTCACATGTCTGTGCAAACTAGCTATGTCTGTCAGACGGAAGATTATCAATTGACAAAGAGCAAAAACATAAATAGAGATGCAATTTCTCCTTAAACAAGATAAGTAACCCTACACGATCAATCTCATGACCTGGGACAAACTGATCACCAGGGTATAAGATATCTCCAGTGTGCTTGCACTTTGACACACCCAACTGATAAATGATATCAATAATATCCTTGGTGGGTGCTGCAGTCTTGGAGTCCTCTGTAGACTGTGCACTACTGCTCTTTGCATGATAATGTTGACCCTTCCATCACAGTTCTTCTGAATCCATTTCATGTTTGTTGTATAATCTGCAAGTTTGACTGAGAGGTTTTCCAGTTAAATATGATTGTTCCTTCCACTTTTCAACCAAAAGATAACCCAAATCTTGATACCAACCTCCATCTGAACTCATATCAGTGTCCCCTTAGTATTGTGATGTGGATATATTAAGAATCCTGCAAGATATAACAGTCCTCAACCCTTCATAGTAAAATTCTCAGGATAAACCTTGGATCACATTGGAATAGAGGTGTGTATGTGGTTCCAATTATGGACAATGCCATAATTGAGATTCCTTTAATTTGTTAGAATGGTAGGTTGATGAAGCAAAGACCATGAGGACATTGTTGGAGTGGACCTTGTCCTGGATAGGGTAGTCAGTTGTAATCTGATTCCATCCATGCACTCACTATACTGTGATCAAGTTGCCTAAGAAGAAAAAGAGTTGGAGAGTTTATGGAAGAGAAAAAAAAATCAACTTACGGTAAATGATCTGAGATGCCTCGTCCTGTATACAGATAGTCCAGGATGAATTGTATGCAGTTTCAATCATATAAGTTGTACATAAAGTCTTCAATCATTCCATGCTTGATCTTCCAGGTAGTCTAAATTGAGTCTTGCTGCCTGAGGTTTTTCTGCTGCCCATATTTGCCTTTGTGAAGTGTGTATGATATTATGAGATTACATAACTCTGTTGGTTTGGATATCCAGTTGAAGTGATGTATATGAATGACATGTGGTGATGACTCTTGATCAGATTCTGGAAGGTCAGAAAATATTGGACCATATCTGTGTTTTCTCAGCATACAGTTGCTCAAAAAAGTGTCTCAATGTTTGTGGGTTTTCATGTAATTGCTTCATTGTGAGGCAGGGCGTGGGAATCTGACTAAGCTATAGGGAGGTGTCAGAATGCTCTGCCTCGTGGCATTATCTCTGTTCCCTATAGTGTCAGAATCCGATGTTATTGTGTGAAGATATGGACATTTTAATTTGATGCCTCATTGAGACCAGGGATACTATTGCTAGATTTATCAAAAAGATCATTCCAGATAAGAAAAATATCAAAATAAATCACCCTTTTAAGCTCATACCATATAGCAAAAAATCTTTTGGGTATTATATTTTGACTGGGCTCAAGCTATTGAATTCATTTATTCTATTATCCACACTACAACCCTGATACTGCTGCCGATATATTTCTTCAGAGCATCAATCAATTTTCTGATCCAGATGTGAAGGATTTCAAGATGTAGGATTGGTTTATGAAAACAGCCAAACCCAAAACAGTAACTCAAGTGCTGAATGAAGCACTTGGAACTGTCAGACAGGCACTAAGATATGGTTTTTGCATGCTGTATATACCCACACCTCACATTTGTGTATGTGACTTATTGTAGGTGATAAGGCTGCTAGACCGACTGCCACCAGTCACACACATGATGTATCCTGACACTTCATTGAGGGCACAGGTAACCAGGTGTCTCTTGTACCATAAGCCTGACTTTTCCTCTCTTTTGTTTTTCACATGCTATTGATGCCTTTCTGCTGTTGTGACTAGCCTTTCTCTTGTAAAGATTGAATACTTTACTCTGCATAGTGAAGATCTAGCATAATATATGCAGTGGAGTTTTTAGCACACCAGATATGATCAGGACTAGAGTCCAGAGTAAGTTGCCAATATATTGGAGTATAGTAAGAGCATACAGTACCTAGAGTCCAGAGTAAGTTGCCAAAGAGGCAGGGAGCACTGGACTCTAGGATATGGGTGATGTTTGGTAACAAATGTAAATAGACAAGCCACAATCCAAAGGTAAGGAATAACTTTACCTAGGGACATCCTAGGGAGGTCAGGAAGTCATGTAAATAGTCAGAGAAATGTGAGGAATGATGCTGTAAGTATATAGAGATAAAACACATAGGAAAGTGTACTGTAGAGGTGAATAATCATATAACTAACACTTGCCACAGCTGGTGGATGAATATGTAATAGAGGACTGGCATTCTTCCACCAACTCCATCAATGTGTTGGCAGTTTCATCTCTCTCATGCTCTATGATTACATCGCCCTATTCCACTCACTCCTCTCTCCATTCACTGTCTGAAGATGATGCCCAGGAATGTGCCCTTTTGTCCCAACCACTCATTAGGGTACCCACTTGAACCCAGTCACACGGGGTCACCAGTTCAAACTGCCTTCCTAGCCCTGCGCCTCCTCTCTCTAGTGTTACTCAGCGCAAACACCATCCCAGACATGAAACAACAGCATCCGCCACTTCGCAGTCAATCCAAACAATGATATCTCCCTCTGCCACCTCTTCGCAGCCTATCGACACTACAATGTCTGAGTCTCCCTTTGTAAAGCTTCCGCAGCCTGTGTCGCGCCCTTTCATCATATCACTGCTGTCGCCTCCCTTGAAGTCTAAAATGATCTCTCCCACAATGCCCACTTCTACACCAAACACAGTATCATTAATCCGCAACCGCTCCCTCACTTCATAATCTAGCCCATCTCCTGTCATTGAAACACAAGGAATTCATAAGCCTGTACATATTCTTACATCATTGGGCTGTGCTGGACTTATACTGATTAGGTCTCGTCTGGTGTGAAATCCAACAGCTGCCAAGGCACTGCTAATCAGATCAATCCTGTGCCAATTGAGACAGTGACACATAGCGGGAATGAAGGCATCTCGATCACCAATAATATTTTTTTGCTCTCAATGGATCCACGTGCTGACATGCCTAACAATGCTAGTGTTCAGCATGCATGTATGCAGATCAGCTCCGTACTTAAAGGCTTCAACTTACATCCTATTATGATGGACGAGATCTGGAAATGCATTTGCCAACTCGACGGCTATGGTCCTCTCTCATGGCAATCTATCCTGGTCAAATTGGACATTCCAGAGGAGAAGATGCAGCCACTGCTTTTGGTGATGGCACGTGCAAGTAATGAACGTTGTGAGTGTTTATGTTTACGTTTTGTCAAACTACACTAAATCATGTTGTTAGTAGTTAGTACATGATTCAGGATCGGTTCTCTCACTAGCTCTGAACGTGGCCACATGTATCCTGATCGGTTCTCTCACTAGCTCCAAACTTGGCCACATTTTGATCTGCATGTTTTCTTAAATACAATTATGGAGTTTCAGGATCAGGTTTTCCACCAGCTTTAAACTTGGCCTGTATTTTGGTTTCGTTGTTTCATTGAATACAGTTACCGTTTATCTTTCATAATGCCACAAACACCGGTTGTTCGAGTTTGTCATTCATGCCCAAAACTATCTGCTGAACAGAAAGCAGCATGTCGTGACCGGCAAGAAGCTTTAACAACTGCAATCAATGACGCAAAAACCGCCTATGTAGAAGAAGCTGCTCACATCTCGGAGACTCATCATCGGTAAGTTTTCAAGTTGGTCATTGTTTTATCCCCTCCAGCTGGATTTTTTAGTTCTCTGAAATGGACGCGGAGCCAACTCTTCTTGAGGAGTCAGATGCTCCGTCAGCAGCGAAGCATCAATTCATGGAATGTTTTTGTCAGAGTGAAGCATATGGAAGCCAATGAAGGTAAATTTGTGAACGCCATTTGAATTTAAAGTGCCTAATATAATCAAAGGTCATGAAAGGGGTGATAGGATCAAACTCACCAAGTTCATTGCTGAAAACAGGGATGAGCTTGTTCGCCAGCACTCATGGCTGACATTGGCAGAGAAACAGGCCCTCAATGCAGAAGTTGTTGAAGCAAGGCAACGAAAAAGTCATGCAGCATGCGCTAACCCCAAGGCTACTCAACACGATATGAATGTTACCTTTACATCCATGGACCGTGAAGTAAGTCATGTTTGGATCATTCATAGACTCATCTTCACTGATATCTTTCTCAGTGGATGGCACTTTGTGCTCGAACAGGTGCTGAAGGCTTCTATGTAGCTGTTCGCGGCAGTATTGAAGACCTCTTCGAACCGAAGATTTTTGTCATGCAGAAGGCTGAAAAATTTGTTCAAGATGTTTTGAAAGTAGAACCTCGTCATCTTGGTCTCAAGCTCGAGTCGTTCATTGTCAGCAGCCTCGGTAAATGTTTTCCTTGGATTCATGATACATAACTTAATTTTTGGCGTAGATCAACACACGATAAGAACTTGTCCACGTCCTTTGAACAAACTTGTCAGTGACTGTCATACATTGATTCAGGAGCAACTTGGCAAGTTGTTCATTGTCTTCTGATGTGCATTCAATGATTGACACGATCTCACAGAGGCCATCACCTTGGAGAACAACATTAATGGCAAGGTCAATATGAATTACACTAACTACAAATGAAAGATTGTTGAGCATTATGGCTTGGCGCTTGCGAACTGGCCGTTGTCTGGTCATATTCAGAATCCTTCGAAAGTTGGTGGAAGAGCCAAAATAAAGAGTGTACTTGATGCTCTGAAGTCTGGGTCTTGTGAGTGGGTCATGCTCATAGATGAAGAGTGCATCATGCGCATGAAGGATAACTGAGAGCGCCATGTATGAGGGGAGCTTGTATATATTGCCAGAAAGGCCAGGAAGACTGCTGCTGCCTCGCAACACAAGAGCAATGAGATAGTTGATTTGAGTAGTGATGATGACTCTAGTAGCAACAGCGAGTAGCATAGTACACTGAACTTGATAGGTTTGTTTTGAATATTGACTTTATTTTGACAAAAGAGCATGCTATGGATACATAGAAACCATGCTAGGTGGTTTGTGCACGACAGCCACTGGTGATGGAGTGTGCCGACTCGGAAGACAACAACCAGGAGGTAAGTAGTGTCTGGCTAGATTTGGGGCTTTCTACTGGGAAGGAACATGTCCAAGTAGTGTAATTTATCAATATAGCTGCAGTTAGAGAAAGAAGCGCCCGAAAACAGTTGAATTTGAAGGGTATTTTGTGCTCATCGTGCCCAATGATGAGCACGAAGGTTTGAAGGACGTGGGAAACAATGAGGAAGTGTCAGGAAGTAACGGCAATATGTTGCTGGCAGTAGCCACCATTTTCAGCTTTGTCTGATAAGGGAGATAAGCACTATATCATTATATCTTATCTTACAGACTTTTCTACCTACCTAAGTGACTGCAGAGTGCTGCAGAACTCACTGAAGTACCGCAGCATAGACTTACCCCCCTAGTTAGTAACATTAATGGTGTCACACAGGTGGACAGATCAGTACATAGAATGGAAAGAAAGATAACTGGAAGCTGAAAATGGCAAAGTACAAAAGAAGATGGAGACACGATAGAGTTTGATTCCAGAAATGAAATAGGAATGCAGGATGGAGGTGGATGGAGATTGGATCAACAATCTGGAGATCTTGAGATCATGAGATCAGCAGTCCAGATCCAGATCTGGGAATGTGGTATATGACAGGTTGGAGTATCAGATTCTGGATAAGTTGTGATTATTTCAGGTGGCAACACTATAAGATCAGTGATAATCTGAGTTGACAGTGATGTTTAGATAATAGCAGTGGGTAACATGTGATGGACTGGTAAAGAATCAGTACTTGGCGCCATTAACCAGTCAATTAGGTACTTGGCACCTGTTAGAGCTCACATGGTATTTACAGTGGCTTCTGCATGCTTACTGTAATTTGTAGTTCATCTGAGTCCTGTAATTGAACTTTCAATGGAATACATCTCAAATCTTGCTTTGGTTCATTACAGAGTAGATTAGACACAGCCTAGATGACTTCCCTTTGGATTTGGAAGAGGACTATCAAAGTCCCCTTCCAAATCCACAACATATGTGTGGCTATCTTCCTTTGTGCATATTTGCCAATTTGCAATTGGCTCTGCTATTATCAAAGAATATATCAGTGCTAAGGCATCAAGTGTGTTATTTCTGTGGCCACAATTCGTTAATACTGACACAATGGGGTTAGTAATATTTAAGATAGGTTTTGATATTGTCCAGAATGTAAAGAACATTTCTAAAATTTAAACTAACATACATATGGGTACATAACTTCAAATTTCACCAGTGTTTTGTGCAAAATTCAAAATATTAAGAGTCTGTTTGGACACGCACTTTTTGCAAATTTAACTTGAACGAACTTGAACCAAGTTTGCTTTGTCATGATTTGTAAGGACTGAGTACCAATGTAGATGTCACACTTGTCGCTGATATCATTACTGATAAAGATATCATCTAATACCTGTCGTTGACACCATGAATACTGATGACCCTGCCCCTGATAACAACTCAGACTCAACTAATGATACTACTGTCCACGAAAATCTCGATGGTACCACCATAGTCAACACAGATATTGAGGAAGAGCTTCCTTCATCTGAAGCATATCATGAAGATGTTCTTTGGTACCTCTTGTGCAGCCGCAGTAATTTTGACATCTGCCTCAGAAGCCCTTCGACTCTATTCTAGCTCTCACTATGAGAAGCAGCCATATCACACCTCTGCTCTCACAGGAATGGATTGAGTGAATGAATTACTTACAGGACATCCAGATCATATATGATGTGAACTTGGTGTACGCCTTCATGTATTTTATGTATTATTATCTCTACTTTGTGATTTGGGATGCCACGATTCCAAATTTATATCACTTGAGGAGCAGCTTGCAATTGTTTTGTATGCTATTGTAACAGGCCTGTCTACTTGTCACCTGGGTGAATGGTTCCAATGCTCCAATGAAACAATATCAAAGTAAGTTAATCCTAGCTTCCTGTTGACAAACTTGCTGAATTTGTAAAGGTATTTCAAACACATACTCAATGCATTCGTGTCCCCCCCTATCTATCAGTTGTATATTCGGCTACCTGGTGGAGATGACCCAACCCCCCTCAAAATCATTCAAAATCCCATATACTATCCCTACTTCGCCGGCGCTATTGGCGCTATCGATGGTACTCATGTTCCTTGTCACCCTGACAACAAAGGGCATGATGCTGCTCGCAATCGCAAGGGTACCTTGAGTCAGAACTGCCTTGCCACTTGTACCTTCAACACGTTGTTTCTCTACGTCTTGAGCGGTTGGGAGGGGTCAGCGGCTGATGCTCATATCTATTACAGTGCTCAGATCAAAGCTTCAACATCCCCCCCGGAAAATACTATCTTGCAGATATGGGATTTGGAGCCTGTGACAAGTTACTTGTGCCATATCGCAATGTGTGCTATCACCTAGCTGAATGGGGCAGGGGCCGTCTCAAGTAAGGGCCCTTACAATTGCCTCATTTTCATACTGACCTTTTGGATACTGTCCTTCTTGATTGTGAGGTATGAATCAGCGATAGAAACGTCAGATTGAAAATGCTAAATGATGGTAACCACCTCATGGTCCTCTAGACCCTCATCTTGAACCTGAAGGATAGCTTTCTGCTTGCGCAGAGGGACCAGATCCACGAACTGTGGGGTATTGCGGGTGCGCTCTTCCAAGATGTTTGTGGCACGATCAAAGAATGAAGTAAGACCCTTTGTGAGACCCTGAATCTTGCTGTTCATTTGCTGAAGCGCATAGACTTGATGGACCTTCCTGAAGCCGATTGACTGACTGACTTGGAGGAATTGGGGGGGCAAACAAGTGTTTGCAAGCGTCATCACCATTGTCAACCTCTTTGCGCTTGCCCTTGTTCACAGCCGAAGTGCCAGCAACCGAAGTACACATAGAAGATGCACCTGGTGTTGAGGGAGTAAAGGGAGGCTGCTTGGCAGGATCAAAGAAGGAGGGGGGTGGCATCATCAGGATGTCATTTATGTTGTTGTCTCCACTGCTACTGTTCTTGAGGTCTTTCAGTGCTTGGGACTGCTCCAGTGCATCAGCTTCTTGACAGCTGGAGGCAGCTTGGCCAGTCACACTGGCAGATTGCAGCGAGTAGGAGGTAGATTGCAGCAGAGGGTGATAGGTGTGAATACTGCGTCCTTTCGATGGCATGATGGTGTTCATTTAGTTGTATAGTGGTGTGACAATCATATTGGTGCTAGGCATGTATACCTGCATAAGCCTTCAATAGGTGGACCAAAGTTATCCCTCATATTATTCACTACTCCCCTATCAGCAGTCTTCACTTGTCTCAGCCATAACCCTTGTCCGATGCTATTCCACACTTTCCCACACTATGCGCGCACATTCCCGCAGCGCTATTCATGCTCCCACGACTTATCCAATGCTATTCCCACGCTTATAGCACTATCAGAACTACCAGCAATGTGTCTATAGGAGCATTAGTGCATGTCCACTCTATCTAGCGCTTGTTCCTGTGCTTAGCGCTCATCCAGCGCGCTGTTCTCGCGCTCTAGGATCCACCCAAAATGTCAGAATCCATCCATTGTCCATCCTACCTCATTGGTATGTAATTTGCCTTGCCTCGAGTTTGTAAAAAGTGCTACAGTCTGATTACATGTATATCCTATCCCTTCTGAGTCTGAGATGTTATAGTTTACTAGTATAAGAAGCCCATGGTGATTACTTTGACATTACTTCCCTTCGACTGTATTTCCTTCCCCTTAGGTTTTACTTAGAAGTAGTTACCCTTAGTTGCGCTGTGGAAATCACAAACCTGACTAGATACCTGTAAAAGTACTTAGCCAGTATACGAGGTCTTAGCTCTGCCTAGCTGCTTTACTTGCAAGCAAGAGCGTTCAACCCTAAAGGGGTCTGCTGTCTAGTTAAGTCGAAATATGTCAGTACTAGGCAAGGAGTGGAACCCGAAGGTGGCAAGGTCGAGTCTGATGATAGGAGATGGAGTCCAACGTAGGGGATACCAAGTCCGACATTTCGGGGATCGGGGAGGATGGGAAAGCGAGGGAGAAGTAAGGAAAAGTGCGGGCTTAGGATAGGGAACACAAGGGAATGTTTAGCAATAATGAGCGACTCAGGTTCAGAGCGTAAAGAGTGAAAATCAGATAGATTCAGCAGGTATAGGGGATAGGGACTAAGTGAGGTGACCTAGTATCAGGGAATTTCTCCTGTCTACCGAGTGGTAAAGTGCAATCACCTACTAAGTCCTATTTAACTAGCTACGTGAAAGTCCGGAGTACTGTAGGCGAAAGTAGTAGCGCATCATTGGGTCCGACAAAATATGTAAAAGGCCATGAGGTGCTGCAGCCAGTGGGAATACATGTTATAGTGCTGTCTACCACATCAGTAATAAGGAAATAAATGACTGCGCACCTAGTGGGGTAAAGTGCGACTGGACTGGACATAGGTAGGACGAGTCCGCAGGGTATCTGAGCGGGTCCGATCATCGGGTTGTGTCAGGGATGTTGGGTTGCATTGGGGATGACTAGGGGTGAGTCGGACAACATGGGGTATGGATGCAAATTGCATAGTGGCTTCATACAAGCCTAGCGAAAATATGATTGTCACATCTCATGGGGAATTTGAATACTGACTGTCCCCAGTCAGAGGTAGAGGTACTGAGGTAATCATTGATATGAAGGTTCATACTGGTGGTGCAGCGAGTCCGATGATTCTGAGAGCGCAGGAAAGCGCAGGTGCGCAGGTCACAGGTTTTGGATAGTGCGCATATGTGCGTTGGCTTTGCGGGAACATTCTCAGGGTGTTGGGACTAACCCTGGTTAAGAAACTGACATGTATAGGACAAGGGTATGGTGAATTGTGATGAGTCCGAAAATGCAAGTGAGTATCTGAGGGTTGCGACAGTGTGGGAAAATTAATAGTGTGGGTACAGATAGTGAGTCGCATAGCGCGGGAACAAGCGCGGGTCCAAAGCGGGTTAAGTGCGGGAAAGTGGGTTGCTAGAACAGCAGGTTAAGCGCTATTGCACAGAATGCAAGGGATATCCAAGAACTATCTCCAATGGGTCTGATGCGTGGTGTCCAGTCCCTGAGTGCGTCCATCAAAGTCCACTATGTCCTAGTCTGAGCTGTGCTCCCCCACTAGGATGCCTATAAAAATTTAAGAAAAATGAATCATAAGTGCAGGTAGGAATGCGGATTTTTATAATCAAACATGTGCAGAGTTCCATCTGACTTGTCTTCTTCGATCTTCTTTCAATTATATAGGTGCAGGAATCATCCCCGAAGGTATCCGACGCGTGGGAAAGTGGCCGGCGGGTTTGGGTTTCTAGGTAACAAAGGGCATGGCACTGCCTCATGCATTAGAAGGTGAAGGAGTATCATATGAGTGGTGCAGGCACTGAGGTTCATGTCCTTTCTCTCTATTCAATCCCTGTAGTCCAAGTTGTTTGTTTGAGTATTTTCTTAGTACTTATCTGAACAAAGACATGAAGGAAGGTCACTGGTCGAAGCCCAGGGTGAAATGAATGCTATCCTATGCAATTAAGGGTATTGTGTTCGATGTATAATGTAATCCGCAGCACAAGCGGGTTGAGTCGGATGGTAAGGTATATGCACAGGGTGTAGGGTCGGGGATGTCGGGCCCATTGGGGATCGGTGTGGACCTTTGTTCATCTTTGGGTCTTCTTCTTCTGGTGAATTCTGTTACTTCCATACCCATACAGGTAGAGCGCAATGCTTGAGTGCGACGGCCGGTGTTCCTGAAAGCGAAATATAACCAGTTTAGTGGCCCAAGGTGTGAGCAGATGTATACAGAGTGTCGGGTTGCGCGGGATTGACTTCCAGACGTCGGTAGTTTGATACCAGTCCAGAGACAAATAATTGCTACCTTTAGTTAACGTTGCATTAGTAACAAAACTGCAAAAATTGCGGGTATCTCGGGTTCTCATAGGGGATGTGTCGGGGATGGCAATACAAGTGAACTGAGTAGCCGAACTATCCTCAGTTGCAGGGGAATCAACAGGTATATCACTCCTTGAGAGCACTTCACATGAAATAGGTAAAATCCGCGTTTTTGGAGGAAGGTCAATACACACTACCTTTGCATATGAATGCATTGGGTCCTGCATACTTTGAGGTGGGTCTGAGGACGACTCATCATTTCCTATGACATGTTTCAAGTGGTCGAGGTTCGGGGCTATAAGCAGGTCTTCATCTCCAAGGCAAGTTTCACTAAGGTCGCAAAATGCGGGGTTGTTAGTAAGGCATGAGTTCTCAAGGGACAAACTCTGATAGGATAGCATCGGGTTTTGTTCAATGTGAGCCTTAGAGAGCATCGGGTCCGATGGGTCAAAAGCAGATCTTCTTTAAGGTCATTTTGAGGTGCTGGAGATGTAATCTCCACAAGGGTTGGTGCTACCACTGTTGGGATGGGGATGAGGTTAGACATTGGTAGAATATCTTGGACATCTGAATGGTGCAGGTTGACTTGGGGCTGAGTGAGTCCGCATACATAGGGGTTCGGGTCCAATGCATCTGAAGCAATTGGGTAACTGCGCTTGAAGCGGCCGAGGCTATATCCTGGGTAAACGGGCAAAACTGCATTAGCAAAGTTTTCGTAGTTGTCACCTTTTGATTCTTTGACATATCTCCATGCGCCAGCTTCGATCGGGTCCGCATAGTGCATAGCAAACTTGATGCAGGCTTTGTCCGGTAACCCCCGCTTTGTCGGATAGTTGATCCACAGTCTCTAGGAAGGCAAGGAGTTGGTCAGCGTCACCATTGAAGTATGGAGCACACGCAGATGTAGCCACAGGCATGAAAAATGGATTGGGTATAGCGGACATGGCGCGGGAAAGCGTCGGGGTTCGCAGCGGAGATGTGGGGATTTCTGTGGGTTAGCAAGTCTGAGGACACGGGTTGACAGTTAAGACCTGAAAGTACTATAATTCAAACTTAACCAGATGGACCCCTCGCGGTGGGCTCCAGTTGTGGGAAACACAACAAGAAGAGAACTCTGTAAAGTACTCTTCAAATGTTGGGTCAAAATTGCTATGCCTAGCTGCTATTCGACCCGAAAGGATTTCTGTACTAGACTCAGAGCTCAGGGAGTAGAAATATCATCAAGCAAAAGACTGTGATTCAGACTGGTACTGACACTGGTGAAAGGGAGACATGATTATGTAAGCAGCAAAAATGCGAACATAAACTAAGGAAAGTGGTGGTAAGTAAAGGTAAGTAAAAAGGGGTAATATCAGCCCAGGGAAAACTATATTGTCACAGCGCTCTATAGCCCCTATTTGACTTTCCTTATCCTTGCAATCAAAACCTTTGATCTCACTCGCTATCCATTACCCTCCTTTGACTCAGTGTCCGCTTTCTTGACTTCTGCTTTTTCCCACACATTAGCGCTCTATCTTGCGATGCGCTATTCCCGTGCTTTAGCGCTCTTTTGGTTTTTCTATCTGAGTTGTCTTTAGTAGCTTTTCCCTTGGGTCGAATGTTCTTGCTTTATTGTTTGCAAGTATAGCAGCATAGGCAGAGCTTAGACATATACTGGCTGAGTACCTTAACAAGTGCCTAGTCAGGTTGTGTTTTTCACAGCGGCCATCCCTTGTTTCTAAAGCTCTTTGCAACAGGTATTTCCTGGATCACAAAAAAGTTAGTAGCAGTAGTAAGGAACAATAGATAGGTACATACCTTAATAAGATCGACACATACAGACTCAGACTCACGCGTGATATTGGTGCTGTTAGTTATATGATTATTCACCTCTACAGTACACTTTCCTATGTGTTTTATCTCTATATACTTACAGCATCATTCCTCACATTTCTCTGACTATTTACATGACTTCCTGACCTCCATAGGATGTCCCTAGGTCAAGTTATTCCTTACCTTTGGATTGTGGCTTGTCTGTTTACATTTGTTTACCAAACATCGCCCATATCCTAGAGTCCATTGCTCCCTGCCTCTTTGGCAACTTACTCTGGACTCTAGGTACTATATGCTCTTACTATACTCCAATACATTGGCAACTTACTCTGGACTCTAGTCCTGATCATATCTGGTCACTTATTAGCCTCTAGAAGCGGCCCACTTCATTCCCATCTTAATAGGAACAGGGGTTAACAACATGAGAAATATAAAGCATTAGAAAACATTTTGTTGCCAGCTGAACATCAACAACAATAAGAAATATAAATGTATTTTAATGCTGCCCAGAACTTCAAAATGACACTTCACATTTAATACTCGAAAAAACTTCAACCATTGCACATGACTGAATGCCTGCTCATGTATGAAGTTTAGACTACCACTTCAACTGGCATTAATATTTTAAATACCCCCTGATGATAAAATATGAAGACAAATCATCAAGTTTTGTCTCCAGATAAAATTGATCGCCCACTCATGGCTGAATCATCACCCACAATCAACAGTGCCCACTCACAAGTAGATAATAATTCTCTGAAACATTAGACACACAAGTAGAAAGTCTGATTGCTTGTATATACACAAATATATGTAGTAGAGTGAACTGAAGATCAATCACGAGATAGAGATAGTATGACTATGGTATCACTTAAAACTGCTCATCAAGTAAAGTGACCAACAACCCATGATACCTTGACATTTCCCAAGTGAAGCTTGATGAGTACATTTTTGCTGAGGAAGGAGGATACATAGCAAATGGATTGACAGTCTGATCATGACAATCTAGTGGGATGAGTTTGTGTACAGCAAACACCAGTTTACCTGTGGGCGTGGCATAGATATGTCTGTTGAATCATTGCCCACTCACGATAATCTATACACGAATATGTAGTATAGTAGAGTAATCAATCCTATTTTATAGTAGTCATTTACAAAAAGAAATCACTCAGATTCATATAGGCTAGTGCTAAGTCTCTGTAAAAGCTAAGTAGGAGATCAGAATCAGAGATCTGTAAGTAACAACTATTCTTACCAGTAGCAAGAAAACTGCAACATGCTGTGTTGACATTTTTCATCATTTTGTTGGTACCCAGGTTGAACTTGAGTGAGCCTTTCCACTACTTACTGGTCATTGGACCATTAGCATCATTAGTGGATTTATGTCACTCTCGTAAAATGCCCTGTCGAATGTTGTCCAGGTGTGACTGGAACCAAAATTCACATTGACTGGACCAGAACCCCACATTTAGCCCTGAGGCAGCCCACACCTGGGGTCTAGGACACCAAGAGACATTTCCACATTCCCATCATTAAAACATAAGTGCTGCTGTCAATGTGAGTAAGAGAAACTTGAATTACTGTTGTGCACATAATATGTCCTGCACATGAAATCTACCTCCTCATCCAACAGCTCATCAGAAGGCATCAACAAGCTCATATTCAATGGTTTATCGACTATTAGAGGAAAATTATCAATCTGGCCATTAATGTCCAGCATGCGGCCAAACAGTAGTGCTTCCCATGCAAAATGGAGGGGAGAACATTGAACCCGAGACTGTGTAAAGCCAGCCACCATATGAGCCCACCATGAAGAAGGGTTGCTCATGCGTGAGGCTGGTTCATGAACTTATGACAGTGTTGCTCATACACGATATAGTCGGTGTAAACATGCCCAAAATGGGGAAGCCTGTGATTGTTGTGGGGGAGGACATGTCTGAGGGAGTATGTATGGAGTTCCATAAGCGGGTGTTGTGCATGAGGCAGAACTGACATTGGTATCAATGTCTTTATGGCAATTCCTTTTGCAAGGAGGTTGTGATCTTTGTTATATTCAAGCCCAGTCATGCAAGAGGTACATCACAGCCATGATAGTGTCGGTAACCGCCAATATCCATGGCACCAGACTTAAAGACAGATGTGGCTTGATTATGTAGAGTCACTGCTTCACTTGCTGTACATAGGAGACTCAAATGCTCACATTCAAAATCAACAGGGATGGGTCAGGTCCTAGATCCCAGAGATTGGGCAGGATGTCCAACAATTGAGATTGGGAAAGGGTGATGAGGTAACCTATGAAACATGTGATAACATGCTTCTGTACCTCTGGAATTGAGGAAATATTTGTGGGGTCATCGCCAATGAGTTTTGCATAGGTGAGCCCATTGTGTCTTGTGAGTCCAATCATCGAACATGGTGGATCTGCCTCAGGGTGTAGTGGTAGATGCTGCAAGTCAATATCCAAGATGAAAATGTAAAATTGAGACAAATTCACTGAATACTTTGAGTATATTGCGCTGAGGGCACAACTTCATAACAACCAAAGTAGGTTTCAATCTCCCATAAGAAACTGGACAGTGGGGGCAGAGGGGATGGTGAGCTGGGCTCAGAAGGAGCAGGGGGAGAGGCAGGCAGAAAATTACCTTCTTCCCAATCACCATCAGGAATGCTGACAGGATCCAATGTGTCGCACAAGTCCCACTCATTACGGAATGAGTTGTATACCCTGGTAGATTTGTTATATGATATCCAAGTCGTTGGTACCCTCAGCCTTTGTGAGACGGATGTGTTGAAGAAAAGCCGCCAAACTCATCATCAGGTTGCCATTTGAACACCATGACCATGCTAGATTTGCCAGGAATGCTGTGGCTCATGGTTGTGGATTCACAGCTCTGATGGGACTGCCGTTGAGCGGATGTCTCTTTCTCCTCTTTCTTCTTATTCTCCTCATGGTGCTACACAAATAATGCCTTCCAATCTTCTCCTCGCTTTTGTCCAGAGTGGGGTTGGGGGATTGGAAATAGTGAGTCCGCATGGGCTTCAGGAATATTGGATATGGGCTGCTCTCCACCGGCTTGATCCCATCCAAGTACACTACTGTCCTATCCAAGGGTGCTCTGACTGCTGTTGTCTGGTTGACCCCATGTACTGTCATCCTGCCGACCCCACGAACTATCATCTGGCTGACCCCATTGAACTGACTCAGTCGCACAGGTAATAGCTCCCTGAGATGAGATATAATGATGCAAGCTGGAATCAACAGTAGATGCATTTTGAGAAAAGTGAACGCAAATCAGGATTGAGAACTTCTCAAAAATGGGCAATTGAACATGCCAAGGGCAGTGATTGGAAGAAATGAAGGCTCCTGTGTGAGATCTCCAACAAATGAGTGTGACAACTCAAGAGCCCATTCAGCGTATATGGGATACTTGAGGTCATTCGTTAAGATAGCCATCCAGGGATGATTGGAACCATGGTATTGATGAGTCATGATGTACCATGAGCAGGTAGCAGCGAGTACTAGAAATATGTCAGGCAATCATGGTGAAATGAACATATGGTTAATGTACATAGAAATATGTTCTGCGACCTCATTGCGACCTTTTTTGCAAGGTTAGCGTCTGCATGTGACTGTTGGTAGCCATAGGCAGTTGGAGGGCATCGAAGTTTAGTTCCCCATGGAATGAGCAGCCCAGTACCCATATGTTCCTGGCACCAGAGCAATTTCTGCTCTAAGGCGACCCATTTTCCCCAAATATCATGGTGGAGAATGTGCTTTTCCTGTGAATTTACCTCTGTGAGGAGTGAGAACCTGGAGCAGTTGAGGCATCCAAAGATCAGCCCATCGAAGGTAAGATTCAAAGGTATAAGAGGAAACTATGGACAAGCTCTGTATGCCCAACAAGTAGAGAGCAGCCTATCAGCATTGTTGGGAGAAGAATTGTAGTCTTCACAAGGCAAAGAGGCTCATAATGGATAATGTTGGGAAGCGAGTGTGCAGTGAGAGAGGTATAGACCTGCCCATCATGCACAAAGACATGGAAATTGTTACTCATGGAAGTGTAGAGATGTAGACTACCTCAACAGTACAAACTGTTACATTAGGAGGTTGGGATGAGAGATGTTAGAGAAGCAAGAAGGGACATCTATATAGTAGTGGCAGAGTTTCAATGAGTGATTACCATATCAGTGGCAACAATGACAGAAAATCACAGGTGTGGCTTGAGATGTGGACTAAAACCAAAAAAAAATGGTGGTAGGGGTAAGCTTTGAGTGAGACACGACCACAACAGTGGTAAAATGAAAAATGACATTCAGTACAAGAACTACCCAAACAAGGAAATATATTACAGTTGTTAGTAGGGTGTGGATGACATGATGGACTAAGACACTGATGACAGCGAGAAATGAGGTATAGGTGTATGTAGTACTGAAGAACTGACCAATTGTAAGTAAGAAAGGAAAACATCAGAATGACTTCTCAGTGCAGTTTTTGTGCCTAAGGATGTTAAACCCATGATCAATATGAGGAAAGTAAGGGGAAATATCATAATGACACACCTTCGGTGCAGTTTCTGCCAAAGTTGTTTCTGTGATTAGCAGTCCCATGAAAGACAAGGGCAAGAATGTTAAGCCCATGATCAATATAAGAAAAGTAAAGGATAGCATCATAACAACACACCTTTGGTGCAGTTTCTACCCAAGTTGTTTATGCAATAGCCGGTCCCATGAAAGATGAGGGCAAGGATGTTAAACCTATGATTAATTATGTGATGAGGGGAGAACAGGCAAAGGATGTTAAACCCATGATCAATATAAGAAGAGAAAACTGTCAAGATGGGAATGAAGTAGGCCACTTCTAGAGGCTAATAAGTGACCAGATATGATCAGGACTAGAGTCCAGAGTAAGTTGCCAAAGAGGCAGGGAGCACTGGACTCTAGGATATGGGCGATGTTTGGTAAACAAATGTAAACAGACAAGCCACAATCCAAAGGTAAGGAATAACTCGACCTAGGGACATCCTAGGGAGGTTAGGAAGTCATGTAAATAGTCAGAGAAATGTGAGGAATGATGCTGTAAGTATATAGAGATAGAATACATAGGAAAGTGTACTGTAGAGGTGAATAATCATATAACTAACAAAAACATCATAACGACTCACTTCATCAGCCGGTGCAGTTCACAAGTCATTTCTGCAATAGGTGGTCCTATAATCAATATGCGACAAGGGCAATAGCAACAACAGTATGTACCGTTGTTTCTATGAATTGGACAGGGAGTGAGAGTCGTAGAGTTTGAGAGCCAGAACCACTGCATAGGCAAGCTTTTAAGTGAGACAAACAACAACAACAACAGAAGAAGAAAACAACTTGCAATTTCTAGTAATGAAACAACAGGAACAACGATCAGTGGAATACAACAAGATGTTACAATCACAGCAGTAAGCCTGGTACTAAAATGTGATGTTCATTAGAACAACTACCAAACGAGGAAATAAACTAGCATGTGCACATATGGTGATACTGTGGAAAAGAGGTGAAAGGCTACCACAGACATCAAGCCAGGGAGTGATGAAGTTGACTTGGAGTTGGGATGTTGGCAATGGTGACGAAATTAGAGAACACTAGGTACAACCGTACATATGGTCGTGCCCTGGGAAAAGGTCATGGAAGGTCATGGCAAGCTCAATGTCGAGCCAGGGAGCAATGAATGTTGACCTGAGACATTGGTGATGAAATTGGCAGAGAATGCCAGGCACAACCGTACATACAGTCATGCCCTGGGAGAAGGTTGTGGAAGGTCATTGTCAAGGACGAGAATGACAAGCTCGACAGTACAAATCATTGAGCCTGTGAGTAAGAAAGGATAGTAAGGTCCATAAGTATTAAGGATAAGGAAGTAAAGAATAGTGAGTCAAGGACTTAGAACTTTGGCGATGAAAGGTCACAACAGTCACAAATATCCCAAATTTGGAAATTGTTACATAATAATATTCATGGTCGACAGATCACAGAAGATCGATAAGGACAACAGGCTCAACAGTAACGACAGTCAAGCCTGGTGGCAATGAAAGTAGAGAATGATGAGCATGATCATATATACAGTCATGCCCTGAGAGAAGGTTGTTGAAGGTCATTTTCGATGAGGAGAACAATAGGCTCAACAGTACATACCATCGAGCCTAGGAAAAGTAAGGAACTTGGAATCACATCAAGAACAATCATCGATGGTTGAGCAAGAGCCACCGCAATTTCAGCCGCACGATGCCTACCCTATGTCCATGATGGGGAATGCAGTCTCCAGAGGTGTAGAGGCGGCACTCAGATGCATCTTCATTGATAAGGGTCTCCTAACGTCCACACCAAAGGTCACAGCAAAGGGCATCTTGGAGACTGCGGCAGAAGTGGAGGAGAGGTTGACCACAAAGAGAGACAAAAATCTGAAGTCAGTTCATCAAACAACTCATTGGTGAAATGTATGTCCATAACACAATCTCAAGGCTTTCAGGGTCAGCAGGATGACAGTACATGGAGTCAGACCTCACACAGGAGCCTTCATTTCTTCCAATCACTGCCCTTGGCAATTCAATTGCCCATTTTTGAGAAGTTCTCAATCCTGATTGGGGTTCACTTTTTCCAAAATGCATCTACCATTGATTCCAGCTTGTGTCATTATATCCTGTCTCAGGGAGCTATTACCTGTGTGACTGAGTGGTCAGTGTTAGTTATATGATTATTCACCTCTACAGTACACTTTCCTATGTGTTTTATCTCTATATACTTATGGCATCATTCCTCACATTTCTCTGACTATTTACATGACTTCCTGACCTCCCTAGGATGTCCCTAGGTCGAGTTATTCCTTACCTTTGGATTGTGGCTTGTCTGTTTACATTTGTTTACCAAACATCGCCCATATCCTAGAGTCCAGTGCTCCCTGCCTCTTTGCAACTTACTCTGGACTCTAGGATATGGGCCATGTTTGGTAAACAAATGTAAATAGACAAGCCACAATCCAAAGGTAAGTAATAACTTGACCTAGGGACATCCTAGGGAGGTCAGGAAGTCATGTAAATAGTTAGAGAAATGTGAGGAATGATGCCATAAGTATATAGAGATAAAACACATAGGAAAGCGTACTGTAGAGGTGAATCATCATATAACTAACAGAGAGCATGTCCAATGATATTAAGAACAAGGCAATACTGCCGATGAGGTGTAAAGTGAGTACCTTCAGTACATGCCTAGGGATGTGAGGTGTACATGGGTGTCTGGGTAGCATGGTACATACTTCCCATCACCGACATCTCCTGATACCAAGCACTTAAGAACATGCAGCACAGATGCTTCATTCAACTTCTTGTACATCAATCCTTCCTCAAAGACTTCTGGTAAGTCAACCCTCCATGTATCCTTTAAGAACACAACTCTGTCAGTTTGGGTGCTATATGCCTTAAACCCTCAAGTCACATGACCATGAGGAGTATAAGATGGAGCTAAAGGAGCTGCAACAATATAGGAATCCTGACACTCTGGCACTTTAAGCTTAAAGAGTTAGGTTGAAAGTGGAAAGCCAAGTGGCCTTGCTACCATATGCTTCTGCACATCTGTGGGCTGGGAAACAGATGTGTCGTGACCACATATTTTAGGTGATGCACAAGAGAACCAAGCAAAGAATTCAGCAAGGTGAGGTTCATCGTTATAACCAAAGTCTAGAAGAAGATTGGGCAAGTCTATGCTGATATTCAAACTGAGGAAACTCTATAGGAGTTGTACAGAGGTTTATATACTGGAGGACATATGATGGGATCAGTAAGCAGAGGACTAAGACTATGTATGAACATATGGAAACACATTAGTAAGTGAGACAGAACATAAGTAAATGAACTTGGAGATGAAACAGAGTACAAGGATCAATAAGCAAGACTGAAACACAGGTAACCGAAGTCCGGAGTCAAGGGGATTACCATAAGGGGATAGACACTCATTTAAGGTTTGAGTCTGGATATGAAGGTACAAATCTGGATATTGGATCAGATGTCTGGATATCGGATGTGAAGGTACATGAATGTGGACTGATAGTAGACTGAAGGTCTGGAGGCATGGATAAGGGTACAGAGGTCCGGAACATGAAAGTATTGATATATGGAAGTACAGGGATATGTAGATGTATGGATGTGCAAGGGTGCAGGGATCTGGATGGATAGAGGATCAGAGGTCTGGAAACTTGGACAGAGGGTATGGAGGTCTTTGCCTCTGTCCTTGGACAGTCCTTATCCGTTAGTTTCTAGTTCCCTTATCCAGATTAGCCATTACTATACTCGTCCGATATTCGAAAGCCTTAATAGATTGGATATGATACTTATCTATCCTACTAGACACAATACCTTAGTACTCTGAAATATGGGGCAATACTTGGGAAAGGGATACAGTGCATGAGCTGAGGCCGAAAGCCCTGCAGATCCGATACCTCTTGAGTACAACCTTAGCACAAAGAGGCAGTAAATAATGAAAATATCATTTGGCTTGGTGACTTCAACCATCACCACCCCTTATGGAAACTAACATCCAATAGCCATCTACTTACTGCAGCAAACTTAGACGCCACAGGTGTACTAATAAACTTATTAGCTCTGTATAATCTAACCCAGGTACTCCCTGGGCATAGCAGCACTCGAAGCTTCAACAACCAAAAACCTAACATACCCAGACAATGTCTTCTGTTCATCTCAGATTTTAGACTCATTCATGTCCTGCAATGTTGAGTACCAATTAAGACCAGTCATTACTGGCCACTTCCCAGTGATTAGCTCCTCAGAACTCAACCCTGAATGCATTTACAGTACTCCTCACCCCAACTATAGAGCTGCAGATTGGGACATTGTAAATGAAGCACTAGCCAAAAACCTCAGCCTCCTCCCTCAGCCAGCCAAGATCACAACAAGAATCCAATTCAAAGAAGCCATTGACAACCTCATGGACATCATTGCTAAGGTAATCAAAGAGAAGGTCCTAATGTCCAAACCATCATCATACACC